GAAACACGAGTAGATATCACAAAGTGCGTACAATATTTGTAAGCAACCGTTTGTTAGTCAGCGATTGCATACATTCAGTTGAGAAAAATGAAAGAAATACTCATATACGGTGAGGACGGGAAGTGACTTTTCTGGTGTTACATCGATGTTAGAACAATGCTTGCAAGCTGCGGCTAATGCTGGTTTCTAGTCGCGATTACTGCAAGCAAGAGCCGATTCTTGAGTTTCGCAAACAGGATATTACGCAGTTTCTCTTCAGTGTTAATGGTTGCGTACTGCATGAAAATTTGCCGAAGAAAATTACTACAAGAGATTCCTTTTTGCAGCATTAAATGTATGACACATTCTCCTTTTCTGCGTCCAGTTTACGAAGTCAAGGCATAGTGTGCAATTAGCAATCATTCTTGTACCGAACTCCGAATTTTTTGAAATCTTTTCTTCTGATGGTGAATACCTTCCAGCTTTATACTTACAGCCAGCAACCACGAGTTTAATGAACAGGCCGGCACGTATACTGCCGCTCTGGACATTTTAAATTCGCAGTACGGCATGGTCGTCGGACTAATGAGCCTTGGACATAAGCAGAATCTCCTCCCACGTAGCATCACTGCCGTCCTGTAATCGGATAATTTTTTAAGACCGCCGGACTTGCTGTGGAACGAGTCAAGACTCACTAATTCCTTGAAATTCGAGTGGTTTAAATGCTCTGGCGTCTGGCGGACGCATGCGTAATTACAGTTAACCCATGTTCGTAGTATGAATCTCAAATTTCTTCATAATTCTGCAATATTTTTTGTCTCAGCAAGACCGTAGTATCACAGACCCTGGATGATAGATTATGTATAATAATATACTGATTTAATTTCTGCCGTGCGGCACCAATCAGGACGATAATTAAGGTACAATTTCATTCGCGCTTGCGATTAAAGATTCAATACGAACTCACATTACATTGCAGATGAATATCGTTTCGACTTCGCAAGTCAGATAGTTACACGCTCATGCTTTACAAGCAAGATTATGTAAGAGTAATTATATTCTTCTCTCCGAGAAATAATGCAACCTTTCTGAAAAAGCCAACAAGAGAAATAATTTATCAGAATTAACTAGGGGTCAAGGACCAAGCAAATAACATTAATAACTGCACAATATGAAGCCCTTTGTGCCTTTGACCCTAATTCAGTTCAGACAAATAAGTTTCTCAGCGTCTTTCGGTAATCAGCGTTCACGGCGAAGAAAAACACCTACAAATAATAAGCGGTTCTTTAACAACCAGATTTGATCACCAGTAAAAAGGCATGAATGAAATTAGGCAATCAACCAAACCAATATAAAGAAAACGTATGTTGCGCTAAGACTTTTTTGTAACTGAAACGCGTTACAGTTACGTAGCGCACCGGACTCGCCGCATATCCCAGCACCAGCGCGGTTCGCGTGTACAACAGTAGGCGCACTTCACTCCGCCACCAGCCAGCGTAGAATATGGTCAAGATCGGCGGTGGTAGCGTACACATAAAGTACCAGGCAAAGGAGAAAAACAACGCCTTCGCAATGGATAATCGCCGTGTCAAGATAGCCCGCTGCCGCGCACTGCCGGGATTTTTTCCGATCCACGCGAAATGCGAGTGCAGAAATAAACCAGTGTACATCACCCCCAACAAGGCCATGGGCAGATACGTAGCAAATACCCCGATAACGGTAAAGGTCACGCCATCACTGCGCACCCAGCCACAAGCGCCAGACGGCAGCGTACCGTATTCCACTTTCTCAATAACGTTGAAATTGGGAATATTGCACAGGAACGCAATAATCCACGTACACAAGATTAGGCATAGACAGAACCGAAGGGATGTTGTACGGGTATAAAAGTGCGGTAGCATGATGGCGATTAAGCGGTTGAAACCCAGTATGACCGCGTTCCAGTTGCCAGCATAGATAACCAGTAAATGAAATGAACCACGGTATACACAATCATTCCGGAGCAGTGGAATGTGCATATGTGTAAAGAATATGGGTACGTTGCTGGCAGGGTTGACCATTGTGCAGAATATGAAATCGATCAACAGGGAATGTGCGATTAACAGTCCGGAATCGGTGCGTAATGTCCGCAGTCGCAGTATTACAATAAACAGTAGGACGATTAAGATCGCACCAACTGCGCCGATGCCGCACTGAACCGCGATCCAGATTGTCAGCTCCACCGCTGACACGGTTTTTTTATCTGGCATGGAAAAATTGGAAGCATTCCGGATTACTTCGTACAGCTGCATGGGTTTCTTCCAGCCCATGCAAAAGAGTAATTTGAATTGCAGAAGTAATTTAACCAATTTTTTTAACAAATGTTCATCGATCGCTTAAAGAAACAGCATATGAATATATCTTTAAAAGTTAGGGGTGACTCGCTATTTGTTTACAAGCAAAGCTAATGCAGCTGTGTAATACTCGTAATCTTTTCGCAGTGTATAACGTTTAGGTATGCTGCTGTCCGGTTAAAACCCCTCATTAATAATATTTGGTGTGCGGCGCAGTAAACTCTCTGCATGTCATTAGGTTTCTCGTCCTCCCAGCGCAGTCTGGTAATTCTTCACGGAAAATGCCATCAGATTATTATTGTGCATACCGTAATTATCGAAATTGCACCTCCCCCCATAATAAGGCCCCCCTCCGTAATAAGCCCCCCTCCCACAACTCGTTTGAAAAATAGCGCCTCCCACCGAATTTACCGCCCAGGGGCGTTATTAAATGTTAAGCGCCACAAAATGATAGATATACCGCAAACTGCTTCGTAATAATTGCTATGATTTAATGAATAAACAATAAACGTTCACAAAAATAATGTGGTGCTATGCTCCTGGCTCCAGAATGCTGTTCGCAAGGTTGTGAAACTGCAAACATCGATATCTACTGCGTTCGGTTTCAATAGAACAGGATGCGCAGTTGTTTGAAAAATAACGGCCCCCTCCGAAACATACTGTTTGAAAAATAGTACCACCCCCCGAAATAACGCCCCCTCCCCGAAATAAGGTCCCCACCTCCAGGACCTTCAAACTATTTGCACCCCAGGGGTGCAAATTCGATAATTACGGTATCTTATTACATTTATTATAAGAGAGCGGATGTTATTAGGCAGTTAAAATCTGCAGTTATTAGGCCTCTGACTTCCAGGTGTACGCGCGCAAGGAAGCACGTGACTGCATGAAATCCTACCGCAAAGGTGAAGACAGCCGCAAACTTTTGCAGCATCTCTAGACGTGTGAGTTCTGAAGAATCTTGCCGAAAGCGGCTTTTATAATGTGTTACTCTTCCTGAGAAAACTGCTTTCCCGCGTCTGTCGTTGTATAACTAAGAATTAAACGTGTTTATAATCACCAGCTAAGTAAATGCGTTGCAGTGTAATGTTCCTCAAGGGTGTACAAAAACGTTTACCTTCTACCCATTTGGGTATCGCATTACTCATCTTAATGTAATATCTGAGACGTCATTAATATCACACTTTGCAAAGTCGTAACAGTTCTGCGAAAACTAGTATTGGTTTTATCAAAACTAGTGTAGCTAGTATTGTAACGACAATAAATTATTAAGCGTAAAACGCAGGTGAGCGTAATAAACAGGCGGTGACAAACAAGGACGCTCCAAATAAAAGTCGAGTTGCTTGGATAATCAGGGAAGAGTATATGAAGCACAGGTACTGCAATGCTCGTATAGTATTTCGTAGGTACAAGTATTCGTTTGTTAGTCAACTACTGCACGGAAACGCATACTGTAGATCACATAAAAGGAAAAAGCCAAAAGGAAGGATTTTCTCAAACTGAATTGCATTTCCGAGTGCTCTCAGTTTCCGCAAGGAGTTTTGTACTGTATTAGTATATGCCGAGCTGTAGAATACATCTATTCTATAACATAACGCTGTACATGTCCTTAGGCAGCGGGTTTTTTTCGGAAACGCCTTTATTTCGCTCAGTTAATTAATTATGAATCATCTAATCAGCGGATTTCGGGTTAGAAACTTTTGGGCTTCGAGAAAAAATATTGCGAAACAAAAACCGTTCTTGCTCTGTATATAATTTTACACGCTTTTTATAAGCTAGCGCACAATAGTTAAGGTGAAACCTTGAAACGGTGTGGGAGCAGACGTATGATAAAGGAACGGAGGATCATTTATCGCGATAGCTTCAATTAGCTAGGATCAAATTTAGCATAAGCCAGCGCACACTAAATTAACCTGCAAGTTAGATACTTAACATTAAAGATAGAGCAGGTATTTACTTCGAATTGCCTATATTTTAGGACATTTTACCGGTAAAGAAAATTTTGGTACTTAACCGCAACCATCCGGAAGGTGTGATGCACACAAAGTGTACATCGCAATGACCGATGCAGTCTGAAGCTTTTTTAGGCATTTGTCCGTTTTGTTGTTATGAGGTAATTTACCGTAATTTAAGAATACTTACGATTTTGCCGTTCTGGGCACATAAAAGCGTACTGAGACGATTGTGCAATGTACTCGTACTCTAGTAGTTCTTATACCTTTTATCGCAGCCGGAAAATTCGCGCCTGCTGTTATTTCTGAAATCGCTATTGTACACACGCCGAAAATACTTCAAGCGTTAGGAAAATGCATTCGAATTCATTAATGAAATCTCGATAATCTATCGTTGACGTCCCCAATTACACGCAAAGACTTTTCTCAGTTCTCTGCAAAGCAGAATGTGGATTGTTATTATTGCTACAATGTTGTTATGCAGCTACAGTATTACTCTGAATTTCTTTCGTTTTACCGCAACGGTTAACAACTGAACACCGTTTGTAGCTGTTAAGGGCCTTTTCCAGTTGCGATTCACGATGAACGGCCTTTGCTCTGCGTTTGCTGGACTTTACTTTGTTGTCCTCGATGTTAATTTGCGATAGTTAATCGTGAAACATCTAAACTTTATTTTGATGGCTTCTAAACTGCAAAAATCTTCTGTAAACGAAAGTTTAAATTAAAGTGAACACAAGATTTCTGCTTGTAGTTTGAAACAGGAAGCATATAATTATTATCAGGGTACGCTTCCCATTTACAACAGCAAAGTATTAGTATATTCCACAGTCAGTAACCATGCTTCTGACAAGCTCTAAGTTTCTGAGAGCATTTCTGCTGGTCGTGATTTTTCACTTAGTTACTGCCGACAATCCCGACTGTAATGTACTGGCCGAAAATTATACAGCGACCTTCAGTTCGAATAGTCCAGGGCCTCTCGTGTCCTTCGATGAAACAACGCCTGCTGCATGCGTTCATGTGCGAGCCGGACAACACCACTGATGTGGCACCTCTTATCAACGATTTCTGTTCGTAAGTGGACTACAACTGCTGTAAAACCAACTCACACAATATGATCTTCTGTGTCTGGACGTTCCCCATAAAAGGCAATACAAATTACTGGGATGAAAATGAAATTTTACAAATTTCCTGCTATTATCGTTCACTTAGAATAGTTCGAAAAACGGACTATTCTAAATGAACGATATTAGCAGGAAATTTGTAAAATTTCGTTTTCATCCCAGCAACGGGACAGCTGGGTATGGATTTTTCTCAGCCCTGCCCGACTGGTACTGTAGACAGAAATCTTGGGCACACTCCGGACGTCCTTCTGGCGATAGCTACCTTATGTGAAACCGGTGACCTTTCCAAATACATCAGGGCGATTACACCGTGCGTACGGAAAGCACAGCCAGTGATGTTCTCAGGAATGCGCCCAAGAGAAGAATGGGAGCTACCAGTAGACAAGTGGATCTCCGATATAAAATCTGTCACTGAATCCTGCCAACAGTGCAGCTCTCCCTTCGTGTTTTTGGTCAACAGACCGTTTCTTTGCCGGTAAACACACCAACTGGGGAGGCATCGCAAATTATATTGTTTTATAGACTATTGTTGTACACATCAGCACAAGTTCACAGCTGCCCGGACGTGCACCGCAGCGCACTGTTATCCAGTGAGCACTATATTGTACATGCGAAGCGGTTTTAATTTTCTATCACAATTCGCAATACTGAATATGAGCCGAACTCTGAACAGAGGAGGGTTGTATTGCAGGTTTTTACAGAGCGTGCTGGCATATGCCAATGGCAAACAGGGTAGAACTGTGTTGGAGACCTGTGGACAAGAGGCGCTGGATGTATTCTTGGAACTGTGCGAGAAATCGCTGTCAGCGCTTCACTGCGCTGAATTTGGAAATAATGTTAGAACATTTAAATTCATGAAAGTGACGTATCAGGACGGCAAGGTGATAGGTTAACGACAAGGAAATCAGCTATAATAGTGCGGACGCATGTTCACTTTTAAAACCGCTGCGACATTATTGCATGATAAACGTCTAATCCTTATCCTGTCGGCATCACGGAAAAGCAAAGCAATACCAGAACCGTGTACCAGAAATATCGAGTAGACATTAAACTTTAGACACTATTTACGCTCCCGGCTACTTTAATAACTTTAATGGCAATAGCCACCCAAATAGCAATAACTGCAAGCGCTGGTACGCTTTAATAAGATAATTTACCCTACTTGCTGCACTAACAAGTCTCTTTTGGTTTGTATACGGCTGTCGTACGGGTAGTACCAGTTTTATCAGAAAAATAAACTGGCTGATAGTACGAGTAATTAATTATCAGCTAATACCCAAAATTGTGGCTCATAGGTCGTAGGAGTCATAACATCTGATTTTTCGGCATCCATGTTTAGTCGGAATGTACCAAAACCGCAATATAAACATTATGCGCAAATGATTGCTGGGTATTTCGTATCTTTGAGCGACGGCAAAAGTACTCTGGCCATTTACAGTCAAATTTCCCGCTAGATCGTAATAATTATTATTTTACCATGGATGTGCAGAAGGTCGGAAGCCGAAAAAGATAGCTTTTAATCAGTAATCAATCTCCATGCACGACGCAAAAATAATAGGGTAGTTATTCTGTACGATATTTAACGAATATTGTGAGGGACAGAGACTGCGTACGAGGATGGCTCACGAAGAATACCTTCACTTCGGTGGACAGAGCAACGACTTACTCAGTGATGCCGATCTGGGTGCACAGCACAGCTATTTCACGAGGTTCTCCTTTCTATTTTTCGCATTTCTGTACGTATCATATTTCCGTAATGTTCTGTGCGAGTGCTAAGAACATTTTATTATGTTATGTCATGCTTTATGTTATTTCTCGAAACAAAAACCCTTCATGCTGTCTACACAATTCACACGCTTTTTTATGTCGCACAAATAATATGCAGGTTCTACCGACGAGCTAGTACGCACTATTGTGCCGGAAGATTGCCCCGACGAGCGGTCTGTCGTTGAGCTGTGCTGGGAAGAACGTACAGGAAAGAGTGCACCTGCGATGGAAGACCGGAGCAACCAACGCTTGTGGTCGGATATGCTGACTGCCGGGAAACTGGAAGCCTTAAAAGAGAGCGCCGACGTTATTGCCTCTGCTCGTCTGTTGGCTGCCTCTGCTAAGGATGCCAGTGCCTGGTTGTTTGCATTGCCGGTCGCCAGCCTTGGCACACTGCTGGACGATGCCGGTCTGCGGATCGCTGTTGCTTTGCGGATGGGGGCGCCTATTTGTAAAGAGCATAAATGTCGGTGTGGTGAAATGGTTGATACATGCGGCTTACATGGATTGTCGTGCGTCAAAAGCCAAGGAAGGTTCAGGAGGCATGCGAGTCTGAATAGCGTGATTCAGCGTAGCCTGGGATCATCAAAGGTGCCGTCAATCTTGGAGCCTCCCGGACTGTGCAGACTGGACGGGAAGCGGCCAGACGGCTTATCACTCTTCCCATGGAGAAATGGCCTCCCTCTGATATGGGATGTAACAGTTTGTGACACATTCGCTACTTCGTATATAGCTGGCTGTTCAGAAACAGCGGGATCGGCTGCTGAAGACGCGGAAGTGCGGAAGCGGAACCTATATTCCGAACTCACTGATCGGCATTTTTTCCAGCCAGTGGCACTCGAAACTATGGGAAGTTGTAGCGAAAGTACCCACCAGTTCATCAATGAAGTCGGCCGGCGTATCAAAGAACAAACGGGAGAAGCGCGCGCTGTTCAGTATTTGTGGCAACGTATAAGTGTGAAAATTCAGCGCGGAAACGCGGCTTCTGTCCTGGGGACGGTCGGGTGTTCTCGAGAGTTAGAAGAGTTATTTTTCTTGTTCTGATTATTGGGTATTTAAAGTTTTAACGTAAATGGCATTGGCTTGTACAAGTTGAGAATATGCAGGTGGAATGGTGTGGTAGCGAATTAAGATAAAGAAACGGAGGGTGTGAGGCTGGTCACTGTAATAATGAAATATTATGCCGCCACGCCACGTGATGGCAGGGCAGATGCCATTTCAAAATGGGATCGTAGACAAACCGTTTTTCGATAATTCCAAGCCGCTGCTTTTTATCAAGCATTTTGGCGTTCGCACAGCAGCAGCAGCGCTTTTTCGCATACTTCTACTGAAGCTCCACCATTTGTGACCTAGAGCCCTGACCGGTTTACAAAACAAAAGATTAAAATTAAGGGAGCATTTAAACCATCCAACGGCAGAGTGGACTTTCCTGGATTTACCGCAACGGTTGGAGAACGATTATAGCAGTTGTCAGTTAGTTATTTGCGATTAATGGGAAAATGAGGCGACCTTTGCTACCCGTCAACAGGACTTTACTTCGTTGTCTTCGATGTTAAGTTGCGATAGTTTATTGTGACACATCAATGCCTGCTTTTCGTTGACTTAAAGACATCAAAACATCTTCGGCCAAAGAAATTATCTGTAAGGCCAGGCGAGATTTCTGCTTGTACTTTTAATGTGAATGTAACCGGCATTCTGAGATTGGGTTTCCAGTTTCCAATTTTCGTATTCCGCAGCCGGTAATCAGTCATGCTGTTAACAAACTCAAAGTTTATAGGAGCCATTCTTTTGGTCGTGACTGCATTACAATTTATTACGGCCGATAATACCGACTGTGATGTATTGGCCAAAAATTACACAGCGGCCCTGGACACCTTAAGTTCAAATTACTCCATGGTGCTGGGCTTGACGTGTCCATCAACTAAGCAAAGTCTCCTCCATGCCTTCTTGTGCGAGCCGGACAACTCCACCGATGCTGCTCCTCTTTTCAGCGATTTCTGTTCGTAAGTGCATCGCACATCTACGTATCTAGTTCGCGAAATGCTTTTTCTGTGCACTGCAGTGCGCTGCAGTGCACCATAAAATTATTGTTCTATAAATAAAAAAATCCACAGTTATCGTACGTACAACGTTTGTGCCTAGAATGGTTCGCTCGACGGGACAGCTGGGTACGGAGTTTTCCCGGCAGTGTTCCAGCAACAGCATCGAGAGATCCGTTACGTATACTCCGGATGTCCTTCTGGCGTTGGCTAGTTTGTGTCAAACCGGTGACCTTGCCAAGTACATAAGGGCCGTGACACCCTGCATACGGAAAAGAGAAGACGAAATCGGCTTACCGTGGATCCTGAGCCCGGCACAGGAGTGGGGCCGCGATATGATGTCTGTCACTGAATCTTGCATGTGTTTTCCTAATATGTTCAGGGTCAACAGACCATTTCTCTGCCGGTAAGCAAACAGTGTAGATGATGGCGAGCGACTGCAGCCGCTCGCCAAAAAATACGTTCTCGATCATTGGTTAACATATACTTCAACCGTAATTGTACGTATGACCGACAGACCCTATATCTGTGTTTCTACGTTTTACCGCAACATTGATTCTCTGACCCCAAAACCCCTCGATCGACGGTTACCAATGCAATTATAAATCTTCTTCGGCAGTTCTCTGAAAAATTTCTTTCCATGAATCCATTTTTTTTCTGTATTTATGCACGCTTGTTTGTTCTTTGGGTATGAATGCCACTGCTGTAGTCATTGTTAGCCGAACTGTATCAGCGGTGGAAGGTCATGCTCGTTGTTGTAGGTTTCTACAAGGTGTGCTGGCATACACCAACGGCGACAAGGGTAGAACTGTTGTGGAGGCATGTGGACAAGAAGCGCTGGATGGCTTCTTGGAACTGCGCGAGAAAGCATTGCTGGCTCTTAACTGCGCCGAATTTGGTGATTATGTTAGAACATATAAATACATGAATGTCAAGTATCAGGACGGCAAGATGATCGATTAACGAAACGGAAAGCAGTCTTAAATAATAGTGGTGTTCCATAGCTTCAGCACCTGAATATTAGTAATCCCAAATAATGTATCCTGGTTTAATGGTCTTTGTTCTGCTTTTGCTTTTTGGTACGCTACGCCGCCAGTGATTTACCGGAATAAATTATAGCGTAAAGCACGCCGTAATAATTCCCTTGTTTATACGTACTGCAGTACAAAATGCCCTGTACCTGATATCCATAAACAGCCGCCTAGGATACGGTAGGAAAAGGAAGATGCGTCACCGGTAACGCATAATTCCGGCTGATTTATACTTTTATGTAAATGTGCTCACAATTCCACTGCGCACAAGTCGCACACAAAAATTAGATAAATTCATAATTCTAGAGCAATTAACAGTTAAACCAAAGACGTACAAATGCAAAATAATCCTATCATGTCGTATGGAAAAATATTCTAAAAATTTTTATTTGTGCGCAAGAATCGGAAGAATGAGTAGAAACCGTAATTACCGCTAAAAACAAATCGGTAAAACTCATAAAACAGTACCATGTATGCTCCACTGCAGTGAAAAAAACTGTAAAAATCTTAAAAAAAGTGTTTCGTACATCATACAGTAAGTTTTAATAGTTTATAACTTTATACATGTACTCTGTTTATTGTGCTTAGGTTTCACTTCACATTTTTCATATGCATTATGCAGGATTAGCAGCACACCAAGTTAAATTTTTTCATGTAAATATATGGAAATAAACTGGTCGTTAAATTATCTACAGTACTTAATTAGCAAGCTCTAGGCATCAGTTGTACTTAATATGAAATATCAGCTCTTTAATTATCACTCTGTGGCGGCTGAGTTTTCGCATCCAAGGGCATGCAAGGTTCTAACCGGTAAGATACTTACACCAAAAAATCTATAGAAGTACTCAGGGATCTGTGTTGGGCTGGTATCGGGTTTCTAGACTAGGTAGTATCTATGTATACCATAGCATTTCATATGCAACCGTTTGTCAGCCATGTGGCTGGCGCTTCTGCTTGAATCAGGTTTCGAAAACGGATAATAGTGCATTATGCAGGTGCGGACTGCCTTTTCTGGTTATGCCGCAAAACGAGCAAATAACGCCCAAAGCAGTTGTTAAGAAGGCTTTCCCGATTTCTCTGATGCTAAATTTTGTGACAATTTATCGCGTTGCACGTAGAGACTTGACTTTAAAGGCTTGTGGAATGACTGGCCCTGCAACACCTGTTCGATCCTAAAGTTATACCTGGTAACCAAAAATATTAATATCGTCTTTGTGAACTTCGCATAACACTTCGAAGCTGTGAATTCCCGGCAGGTTTCTTTAGCTGGCAGTTATGCTGCTAACCGGCTCCACCTTTTTGAGAGCTTTTTCTCTGGTCCTGTGCACACTGCCGTCAGTCATGCCCGATAATCTTGCATGCAGTGCACTCGCCGCGAATTATACTGCGGCACTGAAGGCCATCGATTCGCAGTACGACATGGTCCTAGGACTGACGTGTCCTTCCACTAAACAAAATGCACTCCACGCGTTCTTATGCGACCCGGACAACACCACTGACACATTACCTCTTTTCAATGATTTCTGCACGTAAGTAGCAAGGTGATCAAACATGATTTTCTTGTTAACGTTTAAGGTGCTTCTACTCAATATAAAACTTTGCATAATAGTGAAATTCCGAAGAAAACATGAGAAAGTTGTAAACATGTAGATTCGTCCATTCCACGGGCCAGCTGGGCATGGATTTCTCTCGCCAGTGCCCGACTACGCCAGTCAATAGACCTATTCCGTTCGCCCCGGACGTTTTCCTGGCTATCGCTACTTTATGCGAAACCGGTGACCTTGCCAAATACATAAGGGCGGTGACACCCTGCATCCGGAAACGAGAAAGTTCCCTCTTCAGAAAACCACGTGTACGCCCGCCCGGGAGCGGGGATCCTGGAGACGAGTGGGGTTTTGATATGATGGAGACCACGGAACCGTGCAGGTGCTTTCCCCGTAGGTTCATGGTGAATCGGCAATTTCTTTGCCGGTAAGCAAAGTCTATGTGGGTAGGTATCTATATTTGGGAGTTCGTCGATACACATTAATAATGTTCGCCATGCATTCGCTGCTGACCATGGTGAGAGTTTAAGTACTCAACACATTACCACCCACATTCGGGTGTTGTACGCCGTTTTATTTTCAGGCAAAACGAATGAATCGTGATTGCTTTTTTTCGTATTCAAATTTTTTTTCGTATTTGTATAACGTAGGTATACTCCCAAGTTCCTCTATAAGGACATGAGGTGCAGTTCTCGCGTATGATCTCGTATATGCGGTGTATTTCATGTAAAGTGATTGTTTCTTTAATACTCGTATTTAAACCTGAACCGCACTTATATAGTACCATTCGACTGCTTTCGTTACAAATTGCAGTGTATTTCATACTTGTGTACAAAGTACTTCCAGTACTTTTCTCCATATTCAAAAATTTTAAATCGTATAAGTAGTGCCACGTGCTTACGTTACTACCGTGTACTACACATTGTCAATTTGGCACAAACTACGGAACATACTTGGTAGTACATACATACTACATATACAAAGCAGCGCCGATTCTTGTTATTGAACAACAAAACCTTCTAATGCCGCCGGCCTGATATGTGGGCCTAACTGTAAAAACTTTGACCGTTTTGCCTTGTATGTAGGTTTCTGCAGGGCTTGCTAGCGTATGCCAGTCACGACACGCCGTTTGTGGCGACCTGCGGACAAGAGACGCTGGATATCTTCCTGGAAATGCGCGAGAAAGCGCTGTCAGCCCTTAATTGTCCCGAATTTGGGGACTATGTTAGGAACTTTGATTTCGGAATTGTCCGGTATCAAGATGGCAAGATGTTCGATTTTGACCAAGCTGACAGTCAACCATGGCAACACAAGTCTTCCGTGACTCTCCACGGTTTCCAAAATTAAATTATTGTTACGTACATCCGAATGTTGCTGCAAGCTAAGTGTCTCCCGGTACTTCTACTAATAACCATGTACTTATTTACTTATTATCTACTTCCTTACTTATCCCAGTCATACCTTTAATAAGTATCGTAGTACAAGTACAAACTTAGTACCAAAACAGAACATTATTATAACAGAAAAACTTCCTCTATGCTATCCTGATAGGGGATAGTATCCATTACACACCCTTACGGCCTTACTTATTAATTTGCTATGCTGTGCTGTTAACCAACGAGAGCATCTTAACCTAATTGAGAATCAAAGGAATAAAAGGGCTTGTACAATCAGTAAGTAATTTTCAATATTCTAACGTAAGAAAAGAAAGTACCGGGTACGCTATAATTTTAGGTATACAGTTGACATTGTGTTCTGCCGACATGCACAATCATACAAAAAAACGAAAACAGTATAAAACTGGTACAATGAGAAACACACAGGTGATTTACACAAGCACTTAATGATCGAGAATCTACACTAACGTACGAGAATCGCACAATTAAAAATCGTATTAATAATTACTGTCACTTTTATTATGTACTAATAATTCTGTTAATTAATTACTATTATTACTTCGTTAATAATTTTTATTTCGAGCGAAATTCCCGCGATAAAAATCGAAGTGGCTGAGCTTTTATATTGTAGCGATTACTGCAGTAATCAAGTGCAGCACAGTAGCACTGTAACAATAGCGATTAGACATCTCAACAATTAATTTACCAATCGAAACTGGATAAAGAAAATACATCTTGCAGCGCGCGCATATTTTTACCGTGATTATATCCCACAAATCCACACTGCCCCGTTAATATTCCCATGATCCCATCAACCCAATAAATAACAACACCCAACGAAAACCAACCGTCTGCAGAATATAAGAGCTCTTCAAATTAAAACTAAACCGTTAGAAACAACAAAAAAAGAAACCATATGAAATCCCGCTATGTATAACCAACAAAAACCCAACGCAAACCATTATTCAAAACCTGAAATCCACTCATCACAGATACACCGACACGACAGATTTGACAAAAATAAACCGGCCAACGTAGGCGCTACAAGATTAACACCGTGGAACGGATTCATAACAAAACGGTTTTCCAGAAAAGCGTATGCGGCCGCGTGGATCGGTCGGAAATATCCTCTGCGATCCTTGTTAAAAATTCCCGCTGACCTTTTAATAAAATGCGATCGCGTTCGTCGCACCGTAAGATTCTTTTGGTATACCTTAAGCAAAAGCCTGAAAAAATAAATAAAAATCATATTAACAAAATTGTGAACGAGAGAAAGGCGCATAACACACCTATTTCCATAAAAACAGATTCACGGGCTTTCGAAGAATAAATGCGCCACTTGACCGTTAAGGTTGTTCTCATACGCTCTCTTCTCGGACGTCTCATCGAAAACGTAGCTTCCTAATCACCAACAAAACACGTTGCAAATACGCCTTCATTTTGTTGAAAATACACACATTCTATGCATTTACGGATACCTACGTGGTGGCTTTCTAATACCTTGAGGGTTGAACGCATGCATCTGGATTTTCACTTCGTCGCCATTTTTTAACCGAATGTCGTAGTAGAACTTTCCGTTCACGCCCTGCCAACACGTTTCCCAATCCTAAACAATGAACGGCATTCAAAACGATGAAATACAAAGTTCATAAACAAGACTAAAAAAGGCAAAACGAGAACCATATAAAGCGCGCATTTTATAAAAGTATTATAAATTACAAATGATAATACGGTTTTCAATAATAAAAAATAGGCAAACAACATAAAACAAAATAGGCAAACATTTATAAAAACAATTAAATTCTATGGACAATATTACCTAAACACAGTTTGTAAAAAGCATATATTAATTTTCATTTTATTACACAAGCTTTTCAACGATAAACAAAGAAAATAAGAAATACACACAGTTGATAGATTTACGCTACCAAAACGTCAGTACCGCTGGCTAATAAGACGATGCATGCGACACTGTAACTGATCAATCAAAAATTCAACAATTTACCTTGAAATAGACGGCCACACCATAATTAACCTCCACTTCAACGGGAATGGGTTTCTTCAAGAGGATTTTCCGGAACAGCGGCTCTTCCGACCAGCCAAAATCGCGGAAACTGTACTCTTCACTGGTCAGCACCGAACGCGGGAACACGGAGTTAAATCCCGAATGCTGTGCCTGACAGATCTCCACCTTGGCCGAGACCATCCCGTTCCAACCCTCCACATCCGACCCGAATAATCCCAACCCCACCAGTTTCACCGGCTTATCGGCACGGAACCTGTAATAAATTTCTTTCATTTGCCAATTACTAGAACATTAATTTATTATTACAGTTTATTTATTATACAAAAATGTTGCTAGCCGCATTCCTTTATGCTTTCTTTCAGATCTATGTATTAAAAATCGTACAGGGGCATGCCAATAGGTGTAACTTACAGGCACAAGCGACGGATAAGGTCAAAATAATATACTCAGATCAGTTAGTGCTATGATAAATTATTGACACATGTACAGATATTTTCGATATTTAAATTATTCATTCCAATACAGATAATTTAAACGCATATCGAAACATGTTTTCTCTGCTTATTCGTTCAAACTTCACACAGAAGTGACAGAACCAACGTAATTAAAACTTTCAGCTGGAAGGAACAAACAGTTAATGAGGCGTTCGATTTTTTAAAAAAACATGTCACAGGCAAACTGTACAGCAGAAACTGCTTTTCATCCAGTTTATCCTTGAAATTCTGTACCTATTCACAATTTCACAGCGTGTTACTTACGCCACGGCGTATTCCGGTGCCGTCCATCCCTTCTGCAGTTCGTGGAAGCGTGACAGCATGCCCATACAGCGCGGTTGTTTAACGAACGGCGTCGATGCTTCCGACTCGGTGTAGCGCTGTTGGAATATATCGTAGATTTCCTCCTTCGACAACAGTCCGTTGTCTCCATTCTGTAACACAATTCTTTAGTCCAATGTCAGCTAATACGACACACAACCGGAAGATACCAACAGAAACATTGTGAAGACACCACGCATTATTCAAACAAAATCATAGTGAAAAAACTTCAAAAAAGCGACAAATTCGAGTAGCGCAAAGCCGACACAATCATTTTCATACTGTGACCGGAAAAAAATATCATTAAAATATGATCGCAGGACTTCAGAACACAACACGAAAATTCTAAAAAAGCGACACCGTGGAATACATAAATTAAAGCTCAAACAAGCAAAACGTTAAACACAAACAAATTCAGTCATGCAAAAAGATGGCCTCACCTTGGCTGGTCCGTTCATGAGGTCGGCCGGCGCCATCGCGGCATACCGCACCAGATACAGCAGATCACCGAGGATCTTGCGCCGGTTCTCCGGCGTCGAATCCACATGCTCACTTAAGCAGGCCGCTTTCGACCACCTTCAAAAACACGGGAAATGAGGAACAAACGAATTCGAAGAAAGAATGTTTTTCAATTATTTTATAACACATGCTAACAGGTCATAGCTACAATAATTTTCGATCATACGAGGATTTAATGATACGAATAACTTACGATTAAAATTAATAACACGTACAAGATTACGTACAATACTACGGGTAATATACTTACGTAATCATACGTAAGTATTTTTATTAATACGTATTTACTTTAATGTATAGATATAACACTTGAACAAGTACTTCAATGTACATGTAATACAGATTTGCTCTATATAGATATTGCAACTCTACACCTTTCCACAGCGTCGTACACGTCCTTCTCATCCGCCAACAGACTGTCCCGCTCCAGTATCAGACGAACGGTCTCCGCGTCCACCTGCGCAATGCTCTCAGTCTTCATCAGCACCGGACTCCAGCCGTCGAACACTTCCAGACACACGCGCACCAGACCGTCCGCGTCGAATTTCTGGATCTGCAATATGACAGCGTGTCCACGTATGTAAAGTACTGGCGATTTTAACGCCACATATGCTTTCAGTAATGCTTCCTCTCTCAGAGCTAAACTGCACTCAAGACGACGTGCAGAACTGAATGAATTACTAGTAACAGATAACCGATCCCTTCTCGCTCACACATTTGTATCTTCCGCCTCCCACGGTTCAGTTCCGACGGTTCAGTGCCGACGACGGTTCAGTGCCGCAATATAATTTTTTTACCAAGAAAATTATTAAAAATACCTCGGGAATATGGGTGGGAACTGGGAAGTGACACAAAGCACATCGAAATGACATATTGCTCAGCAGGCTAAATTTATCGTTGCATTTATCGATTGAAAAATCTGCATCCCTTTTTCAGGAAGAAAATTATTATTAATGAGAAACGATTTCGAAATATTGAGTATTTATGCCAGTTATCATGCGCATAAACTTTTTCCTTCACGAATTTGTTAAAAACGCAGGAAAAGTTCATAAAAATTTCACTAATGTCAATAATATGTAATCGCGCCCCAAAAGGAAAAAAATGCGAATTACATACTTTGCCACAAGCAAGTCAACGGTAAAAACCGCCTTAGCGCAAACTTCCGTACCTGTGCTATCCATTCTACACAGTTCTCCGGGGTCAGATTGTCAACAACATAATCAACACACTTCTGTGTCAACACCGGCATCCCATATTTCCGCGAGGCATACAAAAGTGAGAAGACACTGTCCCAGTCTATTTGTACTTCACCAAGATAAATGTACCTACAATAAACAGGAATTATTTTAGGAAAAACTATCTGACACCTGCTGCATGCTAGCATTTAATAAGAACGTTCCCAAACCGGCCTGCAGAATCTTTACTAGGATAAGTCATTTATTTCGGAAAAATAACTGTCAGTTTCTTACAATGCCAATTTATAAATTTATAATTATACTTGTACGCTAGTAGACTGCATTTATCACGTCTTCCTTAAAGCCCAAGTTCTACAAAACCGCTTCAAAGCAGATGAAACTGCATCAGTACATTCAAGCAGATATTATTTTTGTACAAAAGACGGCTCTTAAAACTTCTCAAAAACTCAGGTCCAGATAAAAATCAAAACTGTAAAAAATACAACTTAAAGCTTTGAGCAGACCCAGCAGGAAAAAATAGCGTAATACGGCAGTAAGAAAGCAACACAGCTCAAATTTTTTTCGCAACTTCCCATTTCCGTACCCAGAAAAACATAAGTGCACGGTAGTACAGTGTGTCAAAAATTATTCAGAAAAAAAGAAGCCACAATAGAGATTATCGGTCAACAAGCAGTAAATTGTGCCTATCGAAATTATATTTTACGAACGTTCATTCTTACTTCAGCACACTGCGGAAGGTGTCCACATCCATATCGCTGACGCGAACCGGCTGATCCGCTGGCTCCGGAACACTCCCGTAGAACATGGTTTCAAACACCAGACTCCCCGACGCCAAGATGAATCTAACCCGCAACAGAAAACACCACAAAGTCGAATTTATCAGCAAAAGAAACAGCAATAATTACAGCGACCAAGCGACGTATCGGCACAAAACTCATGTAATAAAACTGTAAAAAAAGCCACAATGCAATACTTAATTAAATTAACAGTATTAATTTTATCAACAACAACAAATATAAATGGATTAAATTCGTAATTTACGGTAATTACAGAAAAAAAGTAGAAAAAATTCGTAATTCACAGTAACTCGTAATAATAATTCGTACTTCGTAGCAATTAAAAGTTTAACTAAAAACAACTGCAAAATAATCATACAAATATATGATGTCGTTAATCTGGCAATGAGCACCATGAAAACATAATCTAAAAATATTTATACGCAACATCGGAAGAACAGGAAAGTAAAAAGGAATCGATTCGAAATAATTAAGCGTAAATGAGTACAAACGGTAATTACTGCTGAAAAATAATCGATAAAACCGATACAATGATACCATATCTGCAGAGCTTTCGGCTTTCCGGAGAAGTGTTCCGTCGTTAAATAATGTAAAAATTCCCCCTACCGATGCGCTTTGACGGGGACGGCCTCGTCGGACTGCATCCCGACGAGGAACGTTACGTCGCTCATGGGCGCGCAGTCCAGCAGATGACGGTTGCGCTCCTGCAGACTGCGCATCTCCCCCTGCCAGCCCCACACGGCCGACGACGCATCCATGGTCATAACAACAACAATCCAGAGATTCCAAAAAAAACAAACAATATGTCTTCCTTATCCTTAAGGGCTTCCCGATTCTGCAGAACGATCGTGGATTCTTCACGGGCCAAAAGTCAAAAACATCCACTACGATGCACAAAATCCTCCAGCGCACCCTCAGCCAGAAACGATAGACACATAGCAAATGTCTGCTTGGGGTCTTCACTTAGCAACCATCAACGTGAACCATTTATTGGCGAATACTTAACATCTGCGCAGTCCGCGCACGGTTTAAAAGCACATCACTAACATCAGCCATAGTATGCTGCTACCAAAGACTGGCTATTCGCCATCACTCTGACTTTGCCCATCTTCTCCCCAATAATAAGGCTAACCGCCCAAAGGCTTCCATATTTTGATAGCAGGGAATAATGGGAATGGGCAGGTAGGTCGTTCTTCCGAGATCTACGCCAAATCCGATGGCAAACGTGGAATCGATTATACAGTGTAGGATAATCACTCCATTTCCACACGGATAACGCTTCACAACGCAGCACTTATTCACGCTCGACAGATCGCGTAATAACACGTGCTTCGTAAAGGGAAATCCTCCAGCATACACGGATGATACACCACATCCACATTCATTGTATTCATCTTCGATAAATTGTACAGATTTCGATCCGGATATCTTAGTCTTACTTAAAATTAGAACGAAGAAGCAGCCAGGAATTAGAAAATGGGAACGAACGAAGGAAGAAATGAAATTCAAAATTGGAAAAACACGACGTAGTCTGCCTTGGGATTATGATTGTATCGAAATTCGAAAGCATCGCATCCCCAAGGCGGCTGTTACGTACGCAGCCTTAATTACAATTCTATAAGAGCGTACTGTACTTACGCACTTTATTTTATCTGGAACAAGCGACTACGGAGTGGATTACAATTTACAGTCCTTTCTTAAATTCAAGTTATTAAATTTTATATCATTATTGATTAAATTATTGCATTATTACAGTATTCGCAGTACAGTGAAGCGAATAGTAGCTGGCTAGCTGCGAATTGCGGTGTTATTAAATGCGTTAGTGCAGTATAAATATCACTTTTACTTCCGTAAATATTTATGTGAGCCATTGACATTGTGATGTCCATGTGCATGGTACTAATTGTAAGTATGAGTAGTATTCCCACCAGAATGTAAAACTTTGCCGAACGAAACCCACTTCCGGAGCCGCTAACGATCGTTCCGAATTATTTTATTGTTTTCCATCCATTTGCCAGTGTTAAAATGCCAACAACAAAAATAAAGTAATTCCATTTTCAGAAACGGAGCACAATGTATCAAACACTACCGTATTCGCTGCACACTGCACAGTGATGAAGATATGTAAACAGCTATCAATCTCGACCAAACACGTCCGACTACGCCACCTTCGTGACCCAGTACTGTGTGTTATCTTCCAGCGGGACGTCGTCGGTGAGGCAGGCAATCTGCTGCAGCACCGCTTCGCCCAGCGCTTTAATAGCTTCCGGACGACCCGCGGCGGCTTCGGCGTCCCGTAGGAGGAGGTAGAGGAGATTCTGGCTCTTTTCATATCCAGAATAATACCATATCCGTCCGTTAATCCCCACCGCCCACTCCACTTGCACCTTCGTTCCAATATCCGTGATCATCGTGTGTTCCGCAGAACCATCGGTTAAGCATCTGAACACACCAAGTAAATTAACATATCCAAGTACACAAATCATAGCATTTTTACGAAGACAGGTTATTTCAGTTAAGTATTTTAAAATTATTCAAACTTTTTAAATTTTTTGGTATATTTATTATGACTTTATGGTTAATTAAATGGAAAGCATAATTCAGGGTGCTACAGGTAGTACCGCCAAATCAATACTCTCAAACGGAAAAGCTACGAGTACATCAAAGCGCAGGTAAATTACAGAAGGTAATCCCAGTTGGAAATTTACAAATGTACAAATGATGAAGGTATTAACATATTTTACTAATTCTGATTATCATCCCTTGATAGAACGTACAAATCTCATAAGATAAGGGTTACAATAAAACCTAAGAGGAGCGAAAAGGATGGCAAAAGGAAGAAGAGTAATTTCTGATGGAAATCGAATGCAATTAAGGCGAAACATCCTATTTTGATCCAACAACCCAAAAACCACGATCAAAACACCATCGGCATCAGCTCAAACTGGCAGCGCACCCCGGTCGCATCGTGCACAAATAAATTACCATTCCATGTTGATCCATTCGACCCACGTTATTATGGCCACGTACCTGCGCACAAATGCCAGACCGGCTCGATACACGCCTCCCGTCCGCCGCAGAGGTCCCCAGCATCCCGTCCCGGCGCTGTTGGTGCACGTCAGACGCACCGGGCCGTTGGGAGTGACGCGCCGGATACGGCAGTACACCAAATCACCTTTCTGTAAATTATATAAAGCAGCACTATACAGATATGCCAGTAGTGTACGTACTCAGTGCTTAAAATGACAGATAAACGAATCGAAGCCAAAAATGCAGAGTGCAAATACTATAGATACAAACAACGAAGTATCTTTCATCGCTCCGCAATACATTTTGGAAACAAACGATAAAAACAGAAAATATTCCAATACACAATGCCACAGGAAAAACTGCGCATAACTTGCAAACAACTCATGAAAGTTAACAGTTTATACAAGATTTTCAGTACTTCTATAGTTTTGTTCGTAATGTGTACGTCAATAATCGTTAGTCGTATGTAAGCAATAAGCAAACCGCATTTATTTATTTGACAGAAAAAACATAGCTGCCAGAAAGATCCACCGCACTGCTATTTGCTACAATGAAAGCACCGCGGCTGCAGCCTAACCTTCAAATTGGGACGGTAGCGTTTCGTCGCGCCACGGAAAGCCAGAACCGGGAGGAAACCATTCTGGCGCTCCACATTTCGTCCCAGATCCACGACAAAATACTGCTCGGACAATTCGTGTCCCTTCCGCTTGATCACCACACCGACCACATCATCACCCGCCGCCGGAGAATACTGCAAAACAATCGTAACGTATAAATCAAGAACTCTGAAAGCAACAAGTAAAAGTGTAAACCTAAAATAAATAAATAACAACAAAAATATCTACTAGTACTGTTAACTGTTCTATAAAAATTCACGAAGTAAAAACATTTTTTATAACATTAGCAAAAGATGAAAAAGTTCCAAAAAAACTGAAAAAGTTACGACAAATTCACAAATGAAACAGAATAAGTTACGGTACAAGTAAAAATAAATGAGAGATATTAACAGTAATGCAATATCCCTACCAGAACGATAGTGAATGTGTCCAGTTTAATAGATATAGAACTTATATTAGTTATATAATATTAACAAAAAATCATGACGATACAGTTAAAAGTACACAGATTAATTATCATTTTCAGAATTTTAATTTTCATAAAATACATAATTAAGTACCCGTACTTAAAAATAATTAACCTTAAGTACTCGTACTTAAAAATTTACGCACACATCAACCTGGACGATACCATAACAAAAAGTAGGCTTAAAAATTAAATTAAACTGCATTATGTGTTCATGTGAATTCAAAAATCAGATGAGCGCAGTCTACAGGAAACTCGAAACGCTAACCACTCCGCAGAGTACTTAAATGCACCAGCTCAAAAACACTGGGATCTCTTAACTAACCGATTCGGATTGCGTTTCCAAAAAGAACGTCGACGGCAGTTTATAATGCACGATTCCCACACGTGTGGCAAAGAGATTATCCCCGGATTTACGGATTCCCGGGCCCAGCGTCAGGGTTTTTATGGAGGAACTCTCAACTTGGAACACCTTATCACCAGGAATGCACAGCTTGCGACTGTCGGCCGTGTTCTCGTTCTCGGCATCGATATCCATTTCCATCGTGGCTCGCAACTTTTGACTGCACTATGCTGCATGCACAGCGAAAGAAATGCCGCAAAAGTCAAAACTACTAAACCATGCGAGCCTCTCTCCAGTAAATTACTAAAAAGATCATACAATCACAGTGCAAAACAACGAGACACAGAAATTCAAAAACAAATTAATCAGAAACACCAGATCACCAGATGAGTAAAAACTGAAACAGTTGCGATTTTTCGCCTTCAAAAAGATTCAAAATTTAATGAAGTCGTAGCAGTCCGACCGGAACCGGAAACTGCAGGCGTGGCGTGGTGAAGCACGTCACTCTGGGGCAGCTCGCTACGCCACTGGATAGCGTGACGCCGTAATAAAATCGTTTGGCAGAATTTGGCGGGCACGTATCGTTTCATGCAACACGTGTACGTCACTCGACCTAGATTTTTCAGTACGCAAAATTGCGCAAAAGATGATTCACGGGCCAGACAGCAAACATCTCTATTTGAATTTGAAAAACGATTTTTATTCCTGGCTTCTGTTCCAAATTTTCGTCACCACAAAGTCCATGGGTATGCGTTGGTAACGTTGTTAGTTCTTCATCTTTTTCGACATATTGTCGAATTTATTGTGTCCTCGTAGCACGCAGCAGTGCATAATAATACCGTAATGCCTTTTTTGCGATAATAATTCAGCGTGATCATTATTTAAACTTCGCAGGCATTGATTGTGCAGTCACAGAATCACTACGTTGTATTCATCGACTACTGATTGATGCTGTGCGGTCTTTCCTGTTCTGTTCCACGATGTCGTTTGATCTGGCCAACTACAAACGCATCATGTCCGACGCCCAGCTGGAAGCCGTCAAGTGCGAGGACGGCGAGATTCTCGTGCGCGACAGCCCCTCCCCCGTCGCCCCACGGACGCCCCCCGGGCCCCACGCCGCGGCGGCGCGGCCATGGGATAGTCCGCCGTGGGCCCGCTGCAGCCGCGGGCGTGGATGGGACGCAGGACCTGGTCTATCCTCTGCAGCACGCGCTGGACGAGGAGCACCAGCGTGGCGAAGTGGATGATCGCCGTGAAACCCAGCAGCAGAATGAGGTAAAACCAAAAAATCGATTATTTCCTTGAATTAATTGCAGTTTGTTCGTTAATACAAAATAAATGAAAATTTAAAAAAATATTTTATTTATCAAAATACGCTCGAGCCGAGTTATTACGCATACGGCGTGTCACGCCTCACGCTGAACTAAAGACCTTAAGGATATCCGGCCATTGCACTACGATGCGTATATGTATATTACCGTGCGCAGTATGTTTCCGTTGTAGTTTACTGCGATCGAACGTGTACCAGGCGGACTTGTTCACGTTAAATATGTTGTGTTGACAGTACACTTTTCCAGTGTAGTGCTTTTTGATTGCAGAGAGATGCGAATTCTCGTGGGAAATCACCGGTGTGTGTGTTTGGTGTGGGTGGGGATGATGTTGCGGACATGCCCGCTCCCGCTGCGCCTCGCACCCCCGACGAGGCAGCACCGCCACTTCCGGTACGTTATTTTTGTAGGAAACAAATTCACAAAAATTCCGGTTTACGATTTCGTGTAACCGGGGAAATAATTTATTTCTAATTTTAGAATTATTATGCAGTTTTATTTCATAATATGTATATAGATAGACAATTACGAGCAGGATGAAGTGCTAAAAAGGGTGACATATCAGATAAAATAAGGAATCGTATCGTGAATATTTAAATTACTACTGGAATATTTGGTAGTATATGTGAACAATTTTAATTAATGTACACTGTACAGTACCCAGACTACAGAGTACGCGACCGTCGGTTTTTTTAGTATTACTAAAGAGGTATGAATTCAAAATTGCAGATACATACAAGTGCATATGTGAATTGTGATCATTAATTGTGGTATGCTAATTATTGTGATTATTTATTAATTTCTATTACAGGTTTACTGAATTTTTTCCCAAAATTGTTCTTTAAATAATGCGTAAGGATGACTCTGTTATGAGGGAGTTATTATCTATTATAGTAAGGAGTTTATTATGAGAAACAAAGGAGACGAATCAAAATTGTCAAAATATTCGAAATTTTACTAATTTTCCCCGTAATTGGCTTGTAGAAAATTAAAAAGGAAATTAATCCGTACACCGCAGCGGACGGCGGTCCCTTGGTGGTGGACCACAACGACTCCTTCATCCAGTATCTCAACCACCGCGCCCACAACCCGCCGGGCACCGCCCAGTGCTTCCCTCCCGACCCCAGAGTGGAGCGGATCCACGCCTACGCCATGGATCTTCTCAACAGTTCCTCCAGTACGGAGGCACCGCTGCAGCAACCGGTAGCCGGACCGTCCCACGCCGACCGCAGCTTCTCCCCGCTCAATCCGTCCTTTATGCTGCGCTCGGTGGGGCTGGCGACGGAAGCTTCGCTGGAGAAGCTGGGCAAGATCCATCGCATGTTGAATCAGTCGGGTGGCATTATTCCGTCGGAACCGGAAGCGCAGTTGGCGGCTGTCGAAAAGACAGAACGAGAGAGAATGGCCGTGGAGGAAGAACGGGAGAGGTCGCGATTGGCGGAGCAGGAAGAGAGGAGACAAATGGAAGAGCGGGATAAAGCGTTGTTTAAGACCATGTCCAAGGAGGAATTATTGTCCTGGCTGCGCTTCCAGGATTACACCGTGAATCGGTACCTATACAATTTACCGCTTTAAAATAAAATAAAATAAGTTTTTAGTTTTACGTAAAAAAATTAAATAAGTTAAATCTGTGCGTTGATCGTTTTAAAGAGTTAGTACCATATTCTATCTGTACTGATATTACAGTATTACGTACTTTAGATACGATTTTTGAATTTGCTCTAACACGCATATAAGCTTTGAGTAATCTGGTTGATCGTCCTTTTATTTCACTCACACTTCGTGTTTGAATGGTAGAGTACAGAGTCGGTATTAGTAAAAAAGTGTGACATTGTAGACGGGAACGCGATCAGTGCTCGGACTATCACCAGCGGGTTGTTGCTGCAATAGTTTATTTTTTGTCTACAATGCAGCCAACAAGGTATGTAAATATTCTTGGTACGTACAAACGGTACAATAAATAATCCTAATACCATGTATGATTAAATAAGAAGGTACGTGAATAATTTGTATACGTTAGTAATATTACGAGAATACGTACAGTACGAGTATATAAAGTATGGTTTCTTGCCTTCTTGAATAATTTATTCTACCATTTATTTTCACTGATAGATCTGATCGTGTTGATTGTTATTTTACTGTCCTGTTTTAGGCATTTTCTGCAGTGTAATTCTTTATATTTCAGCGTTGTGGATTACGACCCATTCAAATTGCCGGTAGCGAGTGAGGCTACTGCTTATGCGTCCCTTATTAAAAGGTACAAATATACGCCCAAAAAATGAACCTGGTTTTTTTATTTAATGCAGTGAATGTTTTCCTTTGAGGTTAGGCCGCGATGTCTGGATGATATTTTAACGATGATCCAAGGTTGGAATTTTGATTATGACGAGGTCATCAATCAGCTGCTGCTGATTCCGTTAAACGCTGTCATTTATAATAAACCCACCGATCTCATCACATCGGAAGCCATCAGAATGTTTGCCTTTATCGAGTCTGTTCTCAAGGTAAAAGTTTAAAACTGATTCAAAAGCGTTTAAGTACTGATTTAATAATTTTAATTAGTACTTGAAGTTTTACAAATACTGTAGTTTATAGTCATAAAAAAGTGAGCTTTGAGTTTTTTAACTGTTTTAATAACCGCAGTTTGTTTCCTGTTTTCTCGATATCTGAATGATAAATGTAATTATTTGTGCATTACGAATTAAAATGCTTTTTTGAATAGATTTGAATGTATCGCTGATTCGGGTTGAATTATCTTTAAAATGCTAATTGAATGCTGATTTTGTATTAATTACTGAATAATTAAAACGCCATTTATTTTATGTTAATTAAAAAATTTGCTGGATTTTCTCGGTTTGTGTGTTTGTATTTTTAAGTTATGATTTTCCGATTAGAACACCGACGCCTTTGATCCGGGTGCGGAGACACCGACCAATGTGTCCCTGGAGGTGGACACGATTTATCCGGACGACACGGATGACAATGAGTGTTTCATTCTGGACGCCGGCAAGACACCGCGCAAGCGGAAACGCGCCTCCCCCGATTCAGCGCCCAGCACGCCCGCGCAGGATACCAGCGCAGTGGCGCGGCACAAAAGGGAGCGCCAGCTGCGCAACGTCTTCTCGGCAGTTTGATTGAGCGGCTAAGAGAAGGATAATGGTGGCTGAAGCCTCGGTGGCAGACGAGCCGGGGAGTTTGGGTTGTTTTTTTTGTGTTAACAATATTTGCTGCTTCGCTAATATTGTGATGTTTTCGTTTTTCAAGGTTTGACGTTTTTACGGGGTCATGTGAATATTTCCTTCTGTTGTGAAAATACAGAGAAGTGTTTATCGTCTGGGGCTAGCGCACCAATCGTTTTCTGTGCTGAAAATATTTGTTTCTGGAAGAATTGATTGAAAAATGCATTTCTTTCCGTGCTTGAGATGAGAAATAAATTTAAAAAAGTAGCGATGAATTTTTTTCTGTTCTGACGATGAATTAAACAGCGTAAAGCATACCGACAGGAAAACGTAAGTTATTTTATCTATTCAATTTTCAAAAATACATATAGTATAACCACTGGGAAAAAATGCAATAAAATATTAGGCATTGGAAAACTCGACATATTGGTTAAAAACTCATTATCTTTCAACGTTTGAGATGGGAAAGGGAATTTAATAAAGTAGCTAATAACTGTTTCTGCTTTCAATTACCAAAAAAATAAGCGTACCGGCAGGAAGGCTTAAGTTATTTTATGTACTTAATTTCAACAGATTAATCTAAGACATTCTAAGTTCGTATTAATTTTTTTTCGAAACATACGCAGTACATGACTGTACGAATACATTTGCTGTTTGCTCTGCATTTCATTACTATTGCTTTTTACGGCAATCAAACGCAGAATTGATACCTATTTCAGCAAGATGCCGTTTCCAACAGTTTAATTGATTCCAATTCAATGTACTGCTTCCACAAAATTCCAAAATAAACGGATAAAATAAAACGCCAACTACATAAAAATATACAGCAGTGAAATGGAAGTCTCATAAAAGTTCCCACGACGCCACCAAAAACAAACAAAAAGCGGATACCCGCTATGCATTACGATGCGCGTCATAAAAAGTTAACAAACATTTCCGATGAGACCTGATTACAGCAGGAAAAAACATGGCAACCGATAAATAAAGCGAAAACAGCCACAATTATGCCTTAACAATACGCATTCGCCAGCGCGACAATATTCCCCGTCAACCAACAATTTCCTGATAGTAAAACGACGTATCCAGTAGAGGTGAATGTATGTGGTGGCCCGGAGGTGGAAGTTGTTGGTGGTCCACCCATTAAGCCGGGCTCTTGCTGCGGGACGCCGGTGTCTTGCTGCGCGAGTGCGAATGCGCCGAGCGACTGCGCGAACGCGACGCCTCCTTCTTGCGCTTACTGTCGCGGTCGCTGGCGGCGCCATCATCCCCGCGCGCTGGCGAGTCGTTGCGTTTGGCGCGCACGGGGGTCCGGCTGCGGCTGCGTGGGGAGCGGGAGCGCGAACGGGAATGACTGCCGCCGCGGCCGCCTTCCGCCGGCTTCAAGCGGATGTATGATGTTTCTCCCTGCAAAACACCCAGCTCATCAATTATATAAAATCCAACTAAAACAATCATTTAGACTTTCGTTTATTTAAATATATTTGCGAACTACATACTCCAAATCTACCTATTTCCATGTCACTGATATGTTACAGTACTCAAATTAGTTGTTAATGTTGTAATTCTTTTCGAACTCTTAAGTTAAGAGTCTTAACAAAATTTAAATAAAAAAATTCGAAGTCAAGCAACCCCTCAAAGAAAGGCAGCAAATCAAATAAAAATTATTTTCCAACTAACGTGGCAGTTATAGGACTTCATATCACTGCTCTAATTAGTAATTATGAACATTTATAACGTTATCCTCGGTCGACACTTCCTCAATCACACTAATAGAACAAACGATACGATTTTCATTTTAATAATATCAAAAGCATTTTCATTGGAATACTATGAGCGCTGCAAGGTACCAGCTTTTTCTTGTACTTCCACAACACTCTATCAAATTTTGGAATACTCCACTACTTACCATATTTCGCTACATTACATCTACATATCCAAAATTCTTTAATTTACCAAAGATGCGCGCAAGCAGACATACCTCGTGAGATCGGAACTTGGTGTCGTCCAGCTTCTTGATGGCGTAGTCCATGTCGTCACGACGGACAAACTCCACACTGCCGGTGCCGTCCTTATTGACATCCGCATAGCAGACATCGCCCGCTTCCCGCATATGATCCTTCAGATCCTGCCAACTGCCGGATTTGGGCAGACCTGTGCCCACAGCAAATAACGATCAGCGAACGCAATGGCCGCCAACATTTTACAGCACAGAAGCCTAACATTATCAATCAATTTCGACACTCTCTTACCGAAATACCTATGGTAGAACTAGTAAGTTATATAAACTACCACACACTTGCTGGCGGCACATCGACTTACTCAAACTACCCGTTTACGATAAGATCATCATGAGTGCTTAGAATTGTGTGTAACGCGCCCTTCATCAGGTCTTCGCTTCGCGAATTCCGCGGGGTTCCTGAGGGTAACCTCCGTCAAGACTCAAGAGCCCCATCCGCGCATTAATCCCACTAATAAAATTTTCATAAAACCACGCTTCACCGTCACCGTAATTATGAACCATTTTCTTTCCTTCAGTAACCGGTAGAACTTTATTCGGAATATTTCAACAGACCGATCTGCAATCTCACTACTTATTACTGCCCATATTTAACAGTTAAAATAAGCAAGGCAACTGATTCAGGTAATAGAGAAGAAGCAAAATAATAAAATAATTTTGAAATGAACCGAAAATTAAGACATTTAACAATTATACAAAAAGAGAATATTCATCTGACACCAAAATGGAGCAAACAAACAAAAACAAGTGATTCTACAAGGTAACAAGAAGTTATAAGTAAAATTACCTGTTATAAATTAGGAAATTATTAAAACCGAAGCGCGATAAAATACTGAAGATCTCGGCTTACTAAAAAGCTAATAAAAGCACACTAAATTAAAACCATAAAAATGACGATATAAACTGTGAATAATTCAAATTCTTAATTATCTAAAATATCAGCTTTAACACTGGCAGAATTTCAATCACAGACATGAAAACCCAATTTCATCTATGACATACCTGAAACCAGCAGACGGTATTTGGAGCGGCGTGGTGGCCCATATCGGCTGGAGTTGTTGCGTGACGGATAGTTGCGATCGCCGCCTGAACGCGAATTAACGAAGCGTCCGCCGTCGGAGCCGCGATGCTCCCGGGGAAACTCCACACGCACGCGGTTCCCATCCATATCATACCCATCCCGATCGTGTACGGCATCTTCAGCATCCCTGCAAACCGTACGAAATGGAGTTTACTGCGCGCTGATGGTAGAAAAGCGACGAAGACCCACAAAGTTCGCCAAACAAGCCTCATTTTTACCGTGAATCGTCAAACTCCACGAAAGCAAACGGCGGCCCGTTCTGCTTACTGAACAGCTCCATGTTGACGATTTTTCCATATTTGCGGAAAAAGTCTGCATCATAAAGAAAAAAGAATATCGCTGAAAATAAGTCACGGAATTGGACTGGAGGCGCTCAAAAGCGAGAGCTGAAGCGTTGCGTTTTACCTCGGATATCGCCTTCTCTCACGTCCGATGGCAGATTCCCAACGTAAACTCGTTTACCACCACGACCCATTTTGCGATCAACTGATGAGATACAAATAAACCTTGACAATTTCTACTTCAACGACAAAAGGGATTTCGTACTCTACTAAACGATTTCTGGCGAAAATGTCACAAATCCTGAAAAGTGAAATCAACGAAAATCTGTGGATTTCTCAAAGTCAACGATCGGCGTTGTTGGTTGTTCAAGGATTTGAAATGCAACCAAAATGCGGGGAGCGCTACAGCGGCTTTCTGCATTTGCGCCGCTTATGCTATCGTCGGTCAGCGGTTGTAAAAATCCGGTGCAGCTCTGTCGATGTTCTGTATCTATGGCTTTAATTTGCGCTGACAGAGCATCTACAGGGAATGTTCTGTGGCCCGCCAATACAACCGGAAGTGATCCGGTTCCATTTTGCCGAAGTTTATTGTGATTGCAATGCAACATTCAATGCCAAAGGGTAAAACCCAGCAGATTTTTGCGATTTGTTACGTATGTAAAATCTTTTTAGAACCGTAATTTTATAAACAAATGAACAGAATACAGGAATATTTCTACAGATGTGGAATTTGAAATAGAATGTCGGCGCATCACAGCACTTTTGATACCGGAAGGAGCCAATATAACCGGCGCATTATCACACGGGAATTTACCGTTCGTGGAAAAAAAATAAATTTTGATAATAATGCCGATGCGTGATTGTTCTTTTTAAAAAAATCTTTTCGCCACTTATATTTTTCGGCCTTAACGTTTGGTAATGATAAGCATTTACTATTATCGCTCATTTTAATAACGATAAATAGTACATATACTCAAGAAATAATAATATAGTATAAGAACGCAGCAATACAACTTCTACGAAAATAAGTGCAGTAAACCATTATCTGAAATTAATATTTTATTACATACAGTTAATTTATTCATATGTGCGCGATAGCCGACAACAGATAGCTAGTACGTAAATCAGCTTTAGTGAGCACAAGCCAATACTAAAACCTCCATAAAACTGGAGCAAAACAGGAAGCACCGATAAAATGTGCGACAACTTCCAATGACTGTAAATAAACGATTTGTCGTTCGACAACATTTATCGAACATAACTCGAATAAAATCATAAAACCACTTCAAAGCGAAAAGACAATCCATTTCCATAGGTTACAGGTAAAATACTGGAAGAATCAGCGCGTAGCACACAATTTCAATTCCCGATAATCCTGCGTTAATTTATGCCGCTAAATTGTGGCGGTCTTCCGTTTTGTTGCGCATAACCGCCGCACGCAGCGCTCCATCCAGATCCCGCAGGAGATCGTCGATATTCTCCAAACCCACGGAGACGCGGATAAAATTGTCGGTGATGCCGAGATTAATGCGGTCGGCTTCCGGTACATTCCGCATGGTCATCGTGCCGGGATGGCTGACGAGACTCTCCACACCGCCCAGACTCTCCGCCACAATAAACAACTGCAATTAAGCCGGCATGTCACATTTCAAAACGACAGCTTACCATTAGTTGGGAACAACATGCAATAATTGTTTGATTACTCTTTTTAAAAACTACGAATTCTAAATAATTAATGAATAATCGGCAATTTGATATACTCCTCCGCAGAACTATGAAAAACCGAACCAAACTGTACATTTGAAAATCCACTCGTATATCTATATAAAAAATTCTAATGATATAGTAATGTAAGTAATTTCAAATCAATCAAACCTGCCCGCACGTACTTAATTAAATCAATTACAATTGAAATTAGTTTCTAACAACCGAAGAATCACCGTACTACGCAAATTATGCTGCGGGGATTTATATACATAACGATAAGTAACGTTTTATCCGAATTAGCGAAATACCCGAATATCTACGCAAAAACACAAAAAATATTCCATGACATTAACTACTCGTCCTTGGTTTGTATTATATAGACGAAATCACCGCACTAACAAAATACGCAAACAAAACTATTAAATAATTTTAATAAGATTTTTGCACGGGATACTAATATTGCAGGTGTCGAATATCGTACATCACTACAATGACGTACATGAAGATTTCGTGTGAACGTCAACGCCTCCTGTTTCCCGCCTTTGATGTAAAAGGCCAGCATGCCGCTGTAGCCCTTGCACTGCTTCTTCATCAGTTCGTACTGGGGATGCGAGGCCAGTCCCGGATAGATGACCTTGTCCACGCAGGGATTCAGTTCCAGGAAGCGCGCCACAGCCAGTCCATTGCGCATGTGCTCCTGCATGCGCAGATGCAAGGTCTTCACCCCGCGCTGCACCATGAAGGCGTCGAATGGGGATAAAACCGCGCCCATTTCCATCTGCAGGAACTTCAGGCGCTCATGGATCTGCAAAAAACCCAATTATTTCACTACATAGCTATATAGAGAGAGCCGGGTTATGCCGGATATGTATCGAACTTTGTAGTGTACCGGCAAAACTGAGTGCTTCACTTTGTTCCAGTTACATTAGATTCGGTAAAAAAACTAACTGCTGCATGATTCATTGATATTACTGATTAATTTTTTATGCCATCAAATCAAAAGTAAATAGTTCTGTAAATTTCTACGATAAGGATAAAACATTACAGTCTGACAATCGATACCAAAAATGAATAAAAATTATGACAATGAGCATCAAGACGAATTACATCAAAATAATGATAGAGGCTGCCACAGTGTGAGACTAATGCTACTTAAATTTTCACAATTAATTCGGTTAATTTTTTGTAAATTATTTCTTAAAGCGCGAACAAACCATTACGGTTCTTAATTAAATTAATTTTTTCGTAAGTTGTTCATCATAGTACGAACAGAACATTACACTTTCAGAATCAGTTAAAAAAAATTGAGAAAAACTTACAAAATGGCCATAACAGTTATATTATAATAAAATACTCGTAAATTTACTATTGACTACTCAGTGCTGACCTCGTGGTTATTCAGCATGGCACATCCGCCCATGGTATCCGTGTGGCCGTTGATGTACTTGGCCAGTGAATGATACACCACATCGGCGCCCAACTCCAGCGGATGCTGGAAGTACGGGGACATGTAGGTGTTGTCCACCACCACCAGGATGTCGTGGTTGGTGTTCTTCACCAAAGTGGACAGCGCTTGAATGTCCACCACTCGCAGGGTGGGGTTCGAAGGCGATTCAAGCCACAACATCCGGGTGCGTTCGGACAGGGCGGCCTGCACCTGCTGAAGATCGGTGCAGTCGACAAACTTCACCACCAGACCACCGTCCGGCGCGATGAGGGTGAAGAAGCGGTGCACGTCGGATTCGACGCAGTCCATGCAGATGATCTCGTCGCCGCTGCGCAGCAGATGGGCCACGTTGGCCACGACGGCCATGGCGGTAGAATAACACAACGCTAGAAAACATATGAAAAAGGGAATACATGCTCAACTAGAAAAAATTATAAACTGGACGACGGAAAATTTTGCGGGAAGAGTGGAGTTAAAAAAAGTTTAATAATAAAAGATTATTTATAAATAAAAATCAGAAAAAAAACACAAAAACTTAAGCTTTAACAATTTTAATTATCGATTACTTATTATTAATTTTAAAAGTAACTCAATAGTAGTAGTACGTTGCAAGTTTGCAATACGAAAACCGAAATGAAACTACGGCTGATTCGGGCATTTTTACGAATATTTACCATATATATATATAAGCTGATGTGTAACTTTTAATTGCAGGTATTCGGATATTTAAATTTTTCGTGCTTACTATATACTATACTGTATATTCGTACTGTACTTACAAAATACCTTGAAATAAACCGACCACTGGTGAGCATTCTAAACAACTTAAAATTGATTCATACCAAAAAAATTTACCATTAGTACACTTTAATCATTTTGCGACTTTAATTACAATTATCGCCAGTTTATCGGCTCGTAAGCCTCGCAACTATATTTAAAATTAATTAACGCTACATTGATGGATAACTTTTGATCATGTTTTAGCACATTTTGATGACTTGTGTCTTCATTTACGACCGGATAATTATCTACGACAAGAAAGCGCGAAAAAAACATGAATGGGTGTGAAATGCCACCGGCAGATGTCAGTCTTACCATAATCCGCATCTTCCAGTTTTGCCAGTGTTTTCTCTAAGGATTCCCGGGTCGGATTCCCCCAGCGTGAATACTGAAATCCCTGGTGACCAGCCGCACCATTCTGGCGAAATGTTGTTGACAGACAAATTGGAGGTACAACTGGTGTCCAGCCTACAGAATCAATAATTTATGCGGGAGACTGCGGATAAATGGAGCAAAAGAACTGAACACTTCCGGTTGATATTATGTTCATAAGCACTTTATGTTGTACTTGTACAATACTCGCAGCGCAGCTCGTACTGTCAGTGATAGGCAATACATACTGTAGCTCTGACTTGTATAACTGTAATCATGCTGATGGAGAACATAATTAATTACAAAAAGTATTTACAGATACAATCACAATCGCATTCAAAAAAACAAATCAAAAACGTAAGTATTTACAGATACAATTTAACAATTACAATCACATTAAAAAAACAAATCAAAAACAATCCGAAGCAATTTACTACTATAAACAGTCCCAAGTAAGAAAAAAAACCGGCCTGGTATTAATCGTAGCAAGGTTTAACAATTTAAAATTAAACACACAGCGATTTAAATCACAACACTTGATAATAAATTAAATAAATTATAATATTGCTTAGAGCTTGAATACTGTTTAGTTTTCGTGTATACGGATTCAGGAATCACGAGTAAGTACAGTGAGAAGAAACTTACCAACGGACTCCAGCTCTGGCGGCTCCCATCCCGAATGGATAGCATGCGTAGCGAAACCGGGATAGGGATCGATTTCAAAGCTGGCATTGCCGCTGTTGAACGTAATAGGAGAACCAGTCTGTGCTGGTTTATTACTCTGCCGCTTCACCAGTGATTCCATCATGATCAGTCCGGATAATGATGCAAAAATGACAGGAAAGTAAATCCAGCACTCAAAATAGTGCAGCCGAAACTGTGGGTATATCACAATACTTAATAGAAATTGTAATTTACGGTAGAGAATGCTTGATACGATTGGAAATGTTGACAGTTTCTCCGTCGAGTGCTCGTAAGAATTCTGCGATCAGATAGAGAAGACAAGAATGCATCTCGTCGGCTGATCTGTGGCTAGATATATCCCGTATTGTTTTGAAAACCGGTTTGAAGGTGGCCAGACTAATCGTATGCACGATTCCGGCGAGTGTCAGTGTTGACGCTGCCCGGCAGAATCCACTTCACTATAGGCCGTTGACTTTAGCGGCTAAAACAGAACTGTATACTGTAATTGGCACGTGGAATGTGTATGGCGCTGTTTACAGCTGTTGATCGTCAAAGACCGATTACGTAAACTTCCGGCCGCACTGTATGTACAAAAGTAGCAATAAAAGCAAATGATATGTGGGAAAATCCTAACGGCTTACGCGAAAAATATCAACATCCAAACGTTCAACCGATAAAGCGGCCCGCGATTATAACCGTCAGTTATAATGCGACTTTATAGTTTGTACCGCGTTTATGTTTGCAGCTGTACTGTTTACAGTTGTATGTTGTACTGTTGTATGTTAAACTGTGCAGCCCGCCCTGCTTCTCGATGGTACCGTGGTACCAGCTGATGGAGAGTGGAGACATCTTTTTGGATCAATAAAACAAAAACCGATAGTCTCTTACTCATCAGTTAGTTAGTCTATCGTACATATTACAGTAATTTCTGTACTTATTAGATATTACTATGTTATGTTGTTTTTATGTACTTACGATTAATACTAAAAGAAATTTATTGTTGCTCGTTACACTGTGGGTAATATCTATATAAAACAGAACCGCTCAAACTATAACAAAAAAATCTCTAAGCTTATCCACTCCATCCATGGTGCCCAGTACTGACGCCGCGTTCCCCCGTTGAATCCCAATCGACAGGCGCTGTCGAAGAAATTCGTGCGAGCGTACTTCTCCGGTTTGTTGTCGCAGTCTTTTACCCAGCTCCTTGACGATTAATTGTCGTACAAAATACGCATTTTTTCCAGTTTCGTACACAAAAATCCATGACGTTAACAATAAGTACGGAAGCAAAGCTGTGTAGTGCGTGAACGTAAAGTAATTTAATTTTACGCTCAGTGAACTAAAACTGCCATAGCCAGAACTGTTCATGGAACGATATTTTGTCGTTTTTGTACTTTTTAAGAACTATATCCATCTATTTGTAAAATAGATGGATCTACGAAATTACCAAAAAGTTTGCACGTTAGCAAAACGAAAATTTATGATTGCAACACGATCACGTATAACGACAAAAGGATCTTAAGGAAGACGGCCCGGTACATATACCGGTATATCTATATAGTAAAATGAGATACATACACTATAACTTTCGATTGCACGCACTCCGAATCACTGTTTTTGTAATACTTTATGTCATTCTAAAGCTAAATGATTTGCATACATTGTTCTGAAAACGTACAGAGGTAACCTGTGCAGTGTGCACCAAAAGCGTACGTAAAACTCCGAAAATTCGTATAGATAACAAAAATTTAAAAAATGCATTTAATGTTATCTAAAATCTTAGCGTTAATTTTCTTCTCGCAGTGTTGCCTAATGCAAGTGTTCGCACTAACAAAGGCCACACCAAAAAAAAACCGGTTTTCATATTTCTTTTCAAGAAATATTGTGAATCGCGCTAATTTCCATCGTTTTCATTGCATTTCAGGCGTATTTCATGATTTTAGCATCTTATATGCGGTTTCATGATCACATTTCGATCATTTTCACATTTCACGCGAGGGTCCGCATCAGGACCGCACGATTATGAAATGAAAAGGAAATGAAGAACAAAACATGAAATCAGTAACCATCATTTCAGCCCTAGTCTGAACGCCATGTCGTAACGGGAATCCACGGTACGTGTACTGGCGAGCTCATTGCAGTCAGTTTCCTACGCCGCGCCCAAATATAGTGTACTTACGAGTACTGCACGATCACAAGAAAAGCATTGTGCCTATTAGGGCCATCAGCCATGGCCGATATAAAAATCCAGGTTGCCCCCGCAAGTGAAAAGGGCAAATGACGAAACGAAGTCGTGTTACACGCGAAATGTCGATCGCGAATGTTCTTGAGAATAATTCCGGCATTTGCGCGCCGGCTTTTACATTTCGGTCTCATATAGATATAAGACTATTTGGACGAGGTTTCCGTCCAAAAGTCATCAGAAACAGGCACTGATGTGTAGGATGCACTATCAAAATTTACAATCGCAAACAACGGGGTACAGCTCCGTTAACGATTTACAATTGCAAATTGTGGTGATATGCAGGCCGCTGAAAGAACTTACACAAAGCTCTGCTTTATAATCACTAAGTTTCATGCATTAGTTAGCAATGTGGTGTATTCCCCCACAGTATGGTCCTCATGGTTAAATTTTAGCATTACTCACTAGAGCCAAATGGTGGCGCCAAAAAACACAAAACAGTAAAAGCAAAAGTAAAAAAAAACGCAAGGTATATCGTACAATGCCCGATGGACCTAAAATCAATGGTAATCGTCTGTATTAAATTTAAAAGAATTAAACCGTGCAAGTGCGAAGTGAATGTTCCTGATATTCCCGCCACATTTGGACAATGTCCGAAACAGTTGCAAACCAGTTGCGATGCATGCATAAATTAATGAGGCGACCTTTGCATACCGTTTGCATGACTTTACTTCGCTGCCTTCGATAAACTGCGTTAGTTTGTCGTGGCATATCTAGAACTAATTTTCGATGGCTTAAAATGATAGCAAGAACCTTCTGTCGAAGAAATTATTTGTAAGGCCATTCACAATTTCTGCATGCAGTTTTAATGCGTTTATATACTTACCGAATTCTCGGGTTGCGCTTCCAGTTATCAGTTTGCATATTCCGCAGCCAGTAATCATGTTGTTAACAAGCTCCAAGATTTTAGAAACTTTTCTTCCGGTCGTGATTGCGTTTCAGTTAGTTACGGCCGACAATCCCGACTGCGGTGCACTGGCCCAAAATTACACAGCGGCCCTGGACACCTTAAATTTTAATTACTCCATGGTGCTGGGCTTGACGTGTCCGCCACCGGAGAGTCTGCTCCATGCCTTTTTGTGCAAGCCGGACAACTCAACCGATGCTGCTCCTCTACTCAACGATTTCTGTTCGTAAGTGCATCGTATCTGCTACATGTACGTATCTCGTTCGCGAATTGTTTCTTCTTCGTAGTGCAGTGCGCTGCACCATGAATTATTGTTCTATAAATAAAAAAATCAACAGTTATCGTACTTACAACGTTTCTGTACAGAATGGTTCGCTCGACGGGACAGCTGGGTGCGGAATTTTCCCGGCAGTGCCCCAGCACGAGCATAGAGAGAACCGTTGAGTATACTCCGGATGTCTTTTTGGTGTTGGCTACTTTATGTGAAACCGGTGACCTTGCCAAATACATAAGGGCCATAACACCTTGTATACGGAAAAGAGAGTACGCTAGACGACGTTTACGGGAGACCTATAGCGCGGAGGAAAAGTGGGCCCCCGGATTTGATTTCTGTCACTGAACCGTGCATGATGTGTTTTCCTCATAAATTCAGGGTTAACAGACCAGTCCTCTGCCGGTATGCAAACTGACTATGTAGACGATGGCGAGCAAAAGGTGCCGTTCCCTAAAATAGAATGTCTTAATTGTGCAGCATTTCATTAAACGGTTCGAGGGGACAGTGCATTTCCAAATGTATCCCAGGAGTCAATACTAACGCAAAAACTCTTCCGGTAGAGGGTTATTCATACAGACTGTACAGTCACAGCGTTTCTCGACACTTCTTTGACAAATTTCTTTCTGTGAATCTATTATTATTTACGCACGCTTCTTTATTCTTTGGGCTTTTATATGTCGGTATTAGTGCCACTACTGTAGTTAGTATTGTTAGCCGAACTGTGTAAACCGTGGCAGGTCATGTTCAGTGTTGCAGGATTCTACAGAGTGTGCTAGCATACGCCAATGGCGACAAGGATAAAAGTGTTGTGGAGATATGTGGACAAGAGGCGCTGGATGTCATCCTGGAACTGCGCGAGAAAGCGTTGCAGGCTCTTGACTGCGCCGAATTTGGCGATTATGTTAGAACTTTCGGATACATGAATGTCAAGTATCAGGACGGCAAGATGATCGAGTAACGAAATGGAAACCAGTACTAACAACTTGTTAGTAACAAGCGTATTGTTACCAGGTTTCGGTGTAAGGACAGCTGTACAGTGTACACCTTAAACAGTAAACAGTATGTCATGGTTTCATGTTCTTTGTTCTGCTTTCTGTTGCGCCGCCAGTGATTTATCGGGATAAAATATTGCTTTAGCCTTTAAGCACATCGTAATAATTCCGTAGTTTATTATCCGTTTATACGTACAGCTTGTAAGTAGAGTAGTGCAGAATGTGCTGTATGTGTCAGTTTAACTGATATATCTAAATCTATAGAAGTATCTATATTAAACGTAATATACAATACGGTAGACGCCAAGGGTAAAAGAAGATGCGCAACCGGCGCGGCAGCGCTTAATCTGGTACTGTGCTTGTAACCTGTTACAGTTCTACCAAAATAATAATGGGGTTCTACAATGGTTCTACAATGCATAGCTGATAGCACACCAACTGTGGTACGGAACAGATTTAACGTTCGTTGGTAAGGTCCAGACCGGAAAGTACAGGAGCAGAATAGTAATTAACCACCAGAAGCTCACAAATTAACCGAAAAGGATTCTTGCGGACGAAAAGGCATTCTCGCATGCATGTCTGTTCAGCTACAGGGATCTAACTGAAGAAATATTAAAACAATAATATAATAGTGAGCAGTGCCGCAATATGGGCGTCGCATTTGTCGAGTAGAAGAGGACATATATTAAATCATGAAGTGGTATTTTGCTATTATTCTAATGTTAACGTTAATATGTTTTGTTACGCAGCTCATGAATGATTTACACATAGAAAAAACAATTTATTATACTCAAATAAAACTGCATAAATTTAAATCCTATTTCATTGGCATAGTAGGTATTACAAAAATAACATATACTACAGGCTGTAACAGTTAGATATAACTTGCAACAAGAGAACAATTAAACCTGCTGTTCTTAGCTGCTTGACAGGAAGAATAAGTACTATAATTATATCCTCTATTTATACCGCGTTCATCCTCTAATATTATGTAGGAAAGCTGATAATTATTAATTGTACGCATGCACTAACTAAAGGCTCAACTTTTATCCCGCATATCGTTAGCATGCAGTATGCAAAAAGTATGTTTAGGTAAATGTTAAGCGATAATGCGGTCAGCTCGCTTCGAAAACATCATTCACCAGTAGAAAGTGTGCGAATTAAATGAGGAAATGACATCGAGTATTCACAAAACACAAAAAGCTTGTAGCGACGGGTGATCTCGGCTAGGATACAACGCACAAACCTCACTTCTGCATATATGGTACAGATAGACCACAACTGTAGGTAGCTCTGGAACTCTGTCGTATATCTGTACAAAATTAGCACATCTTACTCACTAACTGTAAAATTACTTCTGCAGTTCAGCTGTATTCCATTGCTCCGGCCGCGGTATTCTGCGAATCGTTGAAAACTCGGCAAATTTATGTTCCAGATGTTCCTTTATATAATACACCCGCTCCGAATTAACCGACGACCCACTGAAGAGAGGCCGCATCTTTAACTCCTCAATGAGGATCTCCTCGGGGTCACTCGGATTGAATCGGTACCGCACAGCACTGCACTGCTGCCACAAGGAAAGGCTCATTTTGTACCGCTTTGTCTCTCCTGTAAAAAACCAACAGCTCATTATGAAAGGCAAGTACCTCATCACCGTTTAATTTTTTGCGGTATAAATACGACACAGTAGTCGCCAGGGAACCGCGTTCGCTTTTGGCGCGAACTGCCAGTTAATAGCAGGAGTATGGGATAAACGTTGGTTATTGCTAATGTTAGCGAAATTTTATTTACTGTTTTTTACAGAACAATTTAAATTTCTGAAATACATGCACTTTTTTGTCATACAGTACAGTATACGTAAGGGTACAACAGCACATCGTACACCTTCTTTGTACGGCTGCAGTTAATCTTCCGCCCGGAATTTGGCGCCATTGCGTCGATGCAGCACTCCAGTGGGATGACCACTGAGCAGTATGGGAAAGGTGGGTTTGTGCGCTATCGCTTTCCCAGATATGTAATTCAGTATACTCTTGAGACTGTGTGAACGATCTCATTATTACCTGGTCGTAAGCAGTATGATCCATCTTTGGCTTGGTGCCCCTCACTGGCGTCCAATCCCAGCGTCATGAGCTCCACCGTTTTACTGGACGCCGACAAGAGGGACGTGTCCAACACAGTCGTTGTTGCACCGATGGCTGTAGCCGCTGCCGCCATACCGCCTTTGACGGCGATGACCTTTAAGGCTAGCGCTCCCGCCGATGCCACTGTGCCAAAGACGGTTAAAATGGTCCCGGCAACTTTGACAGCTTTTTGATCATAAGATAATTTGATATACCAGTTGTCGTCGGTGTCATTATGGATGGACAAATACGAACTCATGATTATTGTCAAATTGCCGTATCAACCGTTTCCGTTTCCTTTCCCTTATGACTTTCGGAAGAACATGTTCGATGTTTTAAGGAGGAATGCTGCAATATGAATTTGCAGTAGGAAATGCAGCACTAATAACACAGGTTGTTTAACTGACGGCTGTTTTATATATTTAACGACAGCGATGGCTGCCTTTGCCTTGGGGAATGTAGGTAGGCAGACATTTGTCGTGCGATATTGTGCCGGACACGTCGTTGACGTACATTGTGGTTTGGCGGCTTCTTCAGTTTGCACGTCATTGCCGCTTGATTGCGTGATTAAATTTATTCAGCTTGAGATCATTAAGAAAACCTGCACGTGTTACCGTTTTACTAAACAAATCAGGATGCAAATTTTGTATAATTGTGGTACCCTGCGCCCTGCGGCAAGAGCAGTTCGAAATTACTACTTGCTGTACTACTGTACAGATACTTTCACGTTTCACGAGATCAGTTGTGTATGAAACGCAGAATTATGCAGAGTAGTAATATTTTGTAAAGTACTAGTAATGCTAATAGGGAGTACATATACAGTACATAAACAGATTGAAAGTAATGTGAAGAACCAATGCACAAAGATGAGAGGTAATATCAGGTTTATTTGTATTACTCACTCGTGTTCATAATTACTCAGATTGTTGAACTACTTTTCGAAGCAGTAAGTATGGCGGCTACCCCGCCCATTTCGTCTTGGCAGAATCAATATGATTTAAAAAATTATAATTGTACGATGGACGGACAGTTTCTTAGGCTCCCAATATCAGCAACGTTGCTTCCGGGTGTGCGCTTTGCGTTTCCGGTTGCAAATTTTGGCATTTCCGGTTTTCAAAGCATCTAGCCCGTCTTCTTCAAATGCACAATGGTCTTTGCCATTTTGATCGCTGCGTGAAGTCGGCATACGAGAGGATTGCCAGCAGCATAATAACGACAGTGCATAATAATCCGAAAATTGCTCCTACTGGTATTTCGATGTACAATATTGCGGATATAATTGATCGATCGGTTCTATATGTATATATACATGTACGTAAGTTTACATACAAACGAGTGACACGAATATTGTGGCACAGTAATTTAAATGCGATTTTACCGGCACGATATCAAAGTTTAAGTTTAAATATTTAGCTGATATGTACATACATACTTCAGTCTCAAAGCTGCATGCTAGCTAAAGGCGCAAACATCTAATAACGCTTACTAGAACTACCGTCGATATAACGGTAGGACGAACAAAAGAGTAAAATGAGCACTAGCATTGCAGCTTGATATTGAGTGTGGCCGCACCGTTAGAAACTTGAAGCTGATGTGTTCGTTGATCTTGGTCATACCGAAGACATTAATATTCGAAAATTTAGCTGCATTAAATCCGAACAGAACTTTTGCTGCACGTTGCCGCAAACATGACAATGCAGACAATTAATCGGATTCTATTCGGAGCAAGCTGTTAATCAAAATTAATATTATGATTTGGTTACGATATTCAGTAGCATCATATGCAGTCTAGCGGTACCATGACAAATGCATTGTGTCCACTGCCGCATTTGGTTGTCATTCTCATTCTCCATTTCATAATAATTACCGTTGTAGCGGAAGGTAAACTAGCTAATGCGAATCATGAGCTCAAGGTTGCTAGAGAAGTTTCCTGTGTTCCGGATCTACTGCCCAGTTCCGGCATCCAGGGAGAATGTCTGCCGTTCCATAATATAGACGCTTGTGGAATCCGAACGCTATCGGATTCGCAAGACTGTTCCGGGTTAGGCGTCGGTGAAGAATGGCTTTGCTGTTACGGTAAGCAAAATACATAGTTCGTAGTTTTCAGTTTTATACACTTTTCAGTTTTTATCATAAGGATATAAATTGTGGTAATTGAATATATTATGTACTGTATATAGTTTATATGCTAAAAGTAGATATGCAGTGATAAGTGCTTACTGTGCAGATATGAGCAGTCTTACTCGGAACAAGCAGAGCGGAATTGAAAATATCACATCTCCGTATCACGGCGCCGCACTGGGACCGACGTTCCATCAGCAGTGCGGCATTCCCAATGGTGACCCGGACATGTTCAGCGATTTCGAAAGAGCTTCCACAAAATTGTGGGAGGAGTGCCAGCACCCAACGGAAGCGGGTCAATATGCTGGCAGGTTAATTAGCAGAATTATACAAATGTTCTTTCATATTAATTAACTATCATTTACAGATTTATTTTGATTTTTATGATACAGTATGTAAAATGTTTATGTATAGTTTTTGTACGTACAATTTTATGAAACAGCATGTAAAATTTGTAAGCCGCTGTAGCAGTTATGTACTGTAGTAATTTTGTACATATATAGTCATACAGATACGTACATAAACACGATATGCAGAACCTATGTTAAACAATTACACACAATTATTTGATACCGCGCAAATTTTCTTCGAAGGCTTCAGTGACAATCCAGGATAAACGGACCAATGTGACCGCTGTCTGTGGAGGGTCCATTGTGGGCATGTGGACCATCATCACCGCCGCGCACTGTCTCGTTCGAACCACCGTGTCACAGTTTAACCAGTCCAATTATAACATCATCGTGGCCATCGGGGTCATCTCCCGCAACATCGGCAACAGCAGTCTGCCGCGCTATCCTGACTTCGTTAGCGGCTGCGCACAGGCGCTGACTGTCCAGTGGGCTATTCCGCACCCAAACTTTACACTGGGTGCAGTCGTTAACGACATTGCAGTGCTGGTGTTGGCGCAACCCATTGACTTCCGCAGCCATGCCGCGTGTGCGTGCCGGTTGTGCTTGAATGACGGCACCAGTCCACAACCTGGGGATACTTGTGTCACTTCGGGATTCGGTCGTACAGCTGAACCAATTCCAGGTAATCCAAAAGAGCAGCGCAGAACCGTGCACGACTGTGCTTATCAGTGCAGCAAAGCATTCGCCTAATTACCTTTCTCTCTCGCTCGTTTTCTAACTTCCTGCTTGAAGTTTGACCTTTTCGAAACATTTACGAGCTGTATTTTATTACTCACTGTTTTCCTAACAGTTTGAATGGACGTTAAATTGTGTGTACGAAGTTAAATGTATTTTTAAATTTCCTTGTACTTCCGCCCATTTTCACTTGAACGTTTACGCGACCTTTTTACAAATTTCATATCGCTTTTCTGTTATAACAGGCACAGTATCAGCAGCACCCGCTGTCATTTCTCTCAGTTACGTCGCTCAGACAGTTATGGATCCAGCCAATGGACGTTGCGTGTCGGCACGCGATCCAACAACCGGGGCGGTAACCAACACAAGCACCACGATATGCGCTGGAGGTGTAGTCGGACAGGACGCTTGCGACGGAGACAGTGGCGGTCCCTTGTTCTGTTTAGACCAGTCCACGAACACCCAATACCTTGCCGGTATCGTATCGGGGGGCGTTGGGTGCGCACTGGGTGTAGGGTCACTGTACACTAAAGTCCAAGCGTATCTGCCGTGGATTTTTGATACCGCACCACTTGGTGATTTGGCTGTTATGGCTTAACTCTATGTAAATCTACCGCACTGTATATAGCTATTGGGAAGCAGTGTACTCGTACTGTTTGTACGTTGACCAGTCAAGCTCGTAATTATTACTGAGCCATTAATTGTAACAAGTAAAGTCCTTGATTGCTGTTTGTTGAAACTACAGCTGTGTAGTATTCCTTGTAGTGAGACTATGCCCACTTTCATTTGGAAATACATATAACGGTGTTTTCATTTTTGCTCCAAGCAACCACTTCATTATGGAGGCTGGCTACCTGATTTCGATGGCGAACGTTGAATTTGATGAATCAACGAGGTCTTCTAAACCGAACGAGCCAGGGCACTGTGCACAAACAATAACTTTGACTTTTTCGAACGAAGAAAGTTTTGGAACGGTGGAGTGCTGGGCCAGGACGGAGCCGCAAAAGATCTGTGGTTCATACAAACTGCGAATGTGTCTTCGTAGTGCCTTCCAGGTGTAGTTTGTAGGGCTGTTGAGCGCCTTTCACGATAATTTCATTTGTTTTTAAAATAGCGTGTTTAGACGATGCAATGTCCACGGAACATTGATTGTTAACATTATTGGAATTGTCGAATCTGCTGGCTCATTCCGTAATTTGCCTATTACGAAGAAAATTATCGAGACTCTGAGACGGTTTTCGGAAACTTTGCCGTGTTAAGGTATTTATAAGGCTTGCGTTTTGCACAGAGCTTAGCGGCTGCTTTGCCCTACATGTGCAGTCTCAGTTTTAAATCACTTGGAAGTTGGAACATTCAAGTGACCTTTTCACGTATTTCATGGTGGTAATTATGCAGCGACAAGCACACCCTCAGAAGCTCAAACAGACATTCCTCTGAAAAGCATGTCGCACAACCGATAAATGTATGCTGCGCGCGCGTCGGCACGCGATTCAGCAACTGGAGCGGTAGCAACACAATGCAACCTCGATGTGCGATGAAGGCGCCGCACAGGACGCTTGTAACCGTATGGTGGCGGTCCCTTTTTATACGTAGACAAATCTACCAACACGCAGTTCTCAGCCGGTGCCGTTACAGCGGGCATTCAATCAGCTCACTGTTTAGTCCGTGTGGAGTCACTGTACACCAAGTTCAAGCGTATCTACCATGGATTTTCGATACTGCACCATTTGGATTTTTCTATATGATATTTTCAGCTTTATTTATTACAATTACATTCAAATAATCTTCTATAACTGTTCGGTATCTCGATCCTTCTGTTGTCTGTGTGTTTTCTTTTACATTTTGTTTTACTATCTGACCAGATATATTAGCGAGCGCCTCATATTAACTGAACTATACGGATCGTGTAATTCAAATTTACAGTAGAGATTTATTCCAATGTGCTGCGGTTTTTTGAACAATTATTACCGGAAATACCGGAAGTACCTACTATCGACTCACATACAGCGGCATGACGAACAAATCAGCAACACGATCACTAGCATTCAAGCTCGATAAACAAGGCCGCACCGTTTAAAACTTGAAATTTGTGGTGTTCGTTGATCTTGGTCATACCGAACATAGTAGGAGGCTTTATTTTTATTGTAACGTTAACCGAATTCAGTAGGACTGCGCGTTGTCGCCGAACATGACAATACAAAAATCTCGTAGGTACTCAAGCGGCAACATTCGAAGTGTAGCGGTACGATGCAGAATGCATCGGCATTATTACATCGTACACTGGTTGTTATTTTCCATGGCATTATTCCCATTGTCGTGGGAATGGAACTGATTAAGGTTAACCAGGAGCTCAAGATTGCTACAGCAGTTTCTTGCGTTCCGGATCTGCTGTCAGATTCCGGCATCCACGGAAAATGCATACCACTCCACAGTATAGAAGCATGTGGAATCAATACGTTATCGGCTTCGCGAGACTGTTCCGGATTCGGCAATGGTTCAGAATGGCTTTGTTGTTACGGTCAGCATGACAGTTTTCAGCCTCCAATAGTTATTACTAAGGTAAAACGCAGAGGTTCTCTAATGGTAATCCTGCAGATAGCACTGTCTCTAAACGGAATACTAACAAGGGGAACGGAATAGAAACTATCACATCTCCATATCACGGCGCCGCGCTGGCACTCACGGTCCATCAGCAATGCGGCATTCCCAATGGTGATCCGGCTATATTCAACAATTTTGAAAAAGTTTCCTCGAAAATTGTGGGTGGACTGCAAGCGCCCAACGGAAGCGGATCAATATGCTGGCAGGTCAGCAGGATGCTGTAAATGTTACTTTACGAAGCATAAAGTATGTTCCATAAACACCAAAAAAGTGTTCCATGTAAATGTCATGGTTAAAGTTAATACATAATTGTTACAAGGGGAAGAAACTCTTGCAGCGGGTACTGCGATGGATTTTATTGGTGACTCTCTCGACTCAAAACTCTCAACTAAAAAGCAGCTCCTACTAAAACAGCAGCCCCAAACTCGCGATGAAATCACGCTTATATTGGTGGCGAATGCAAAACATCAAAGGCTTCAAAAAAGATAGCAGAACATAAACAACAGGTTATGCAATCAAAACTCATGGGAAGAAAACGCCTATAGGCGTGAAGGCATTCCAGATGATATCATACAAATGACATCATAACATAATTCCATAACTACTTCTATCTGAACGCGATAAGTACTAGTAATTCCATGAACGGATTGTACGCACTGAAACGCAAAAAAGATTCCGAGAAGTTACAGTACATTTTAACTTTGGAATACTTCGTTCGCGCTTCATTGCGTATGGGTACAATACAGTAAATCAACCCCGTGCATGGTTCTAAGGTAGGAAAAAATTCCGAAACTGAACTGTTCATCTTTTATGTTTTCTGGATGAAAACATTTTGTTGGTTCCGAATGCGTAATTTGTTTTGCGATGCCACTTCACTCAAACGCGGAACTAAAGGTTCCGATAAGTTAAATAGCTAAATCCTTCAGTATATGACTACAATGGCCAATGGGTGTACTTATCAATGGCGCGCAACTGTTCTTTGGAGGTTTCTGTGACAATCCAGGATAAACGGACAGGAACGATTAACCTGTGCGGTGGGTCTATTGTGGGCCGGCGGACCATTATCACCGCCGCGCACTGTCTCGTTAACGAAATCACGGTGTCGCAGTTTGACCAGTCCAATTATGATATCATCGTGGCCATCGGTGTCATCTCCCGTAACCGAGCCAATAGCAGTCTGCCGCTTTATCCCGACTTTGTTAGCAACTGCGCACAAACAGTGGATGTCCTGTTGGCTATTCCGCATCCAAGTTTCACTCAGGCTACTAATGATAACGACATTGCCGTGCTGGTGCTGGCGCAGCCCATTGATTTTCGCAGTCAATCCGCTTGTGCGTGTCGGTTGTGTTTAAATGACGTACTCGTTCCACAACCTGGAGATACTTGTGCCACATCGGGATTTGGCCGTACAAGTGAGTCGATTTTAAGTAAACAGACCACAAAGGAAGCGCAGAACGACAGAATGGTGTGTTCTTGTGATTAACGCTGCATCTAGCTATTTCTTGTATAGCTTTGTCTGTACATGTATTTGTCTCGTTCTTCCACTTCACAGTCTGCAACTAAACCTTTCTAAAAAAATCTTACTGATGGGCCTGTGATGACAAAGGAATCTGCGCCTGGCGCAAGGCGGTCTACCATAGGGGAATCCAGTGACCGTCAATATCGTTTAAATACATCGCAAAGGATTTTATTTTCTTGCTTTTTTTAATCATAAAAGAATGGCGCACAACTACTGTATGCAGTGACTCGCAGATAGATAAGCACTGGATCACAGAGATTGAGTACTTGTACGGAAAGAAACACACACCCGGCGCGTGCATGCCCATGCGTCTGCTATTAGCATTATGCGAGCTGCTCGTGTGTGGTCTTCCCGTACACAAATTAATAAGTACAGATGTTATAAGAACCCGTATTACGAAGAATACTAGCCGTTTTATTTCTGTACGAACACGCCTAGATTTGACGCTTACTTTCAGGTGACCTTTCCATGTACCGTAATTAATGTTGATTTTTTTTAAATGACAGGTGCATCGTCAGCAGGGCTTGCGGTCATACCGCTGTACTACGTTGCGCAGCCAGTCAGGGATCCGGCAATCGAACGCTGCTTTCTGGCACGCGATCCAGCAACCGGGGCGATAACGAACACCAGCACCACGATTTGCGCTGGCGGTGTGGTTGGACAAGATGCATGTATCGGAGATAGTGGCGGTCCGTTATTTTGCTTCGACAAGTCCACCAACACTCAGTACTTGGCCGGTGTCGTATCAGCGGGCTCCGCTCAGTGCGCAGTTGGTGTGGGGTCGCTGTACACCAAAGTTCAAGCGTACCTGCCGTGGATTTTCGATACCGCACCACTTGGTGATTTGGCAATTATAGAAACTTAAGTACTGTGTGCATTGTGGAACGCGACCTACGTGGACCAGACTTTGTATTTTTAGATTGACGAGATAGCATAATTTATACTGGTTAACTGCTAAGTATTGCGCATTTTGAAAACTATTAATTTTTAGTGAATCTTTCCGTTGTATTTTAATCAGCGGTTCTGAACAAGTAAATGTATTGATTGTTAAAGAACGCACTACGCACCATTACAGTAAGAACATATCATTGCATTGCGCTGATATGAAACATTACAACATTAAATAGAAAGAGAACCCTCTAGCAAAACGACTTCGAATCTCAAAAAAGGTACAATCTATGAAGAACTTGTACAAAATTGGTCACACGTTAATCATGAGGTCAAACATTCAGCAATTTTGAACGATGAAAAAGATTGGTGAATGGGCTTTCAAGAACTACATCTTCTTGGTCTAGTGTTCATCTTTCTTTCCCACGAAAACGAGCTGTAAAGAGATAAGCCTCTGCAAACCACTCACTAAACAACATGCTGCCACTGATCAAATTAGCGATGCGTACCGAGAATTCGCGGGGATCGATCTCCGCTGATGCCTTGAACCGAACGCTCACCACGTCCCACACTCCCAGGGTTTCTGGGTTGTTTCCCCGTCGTTGTTCCATCGGTTGTTTCCACGTAATAATGAACTGGTTCCGCCTTGGAACACCATTCGACAGTGTGTGCACACAGCTGTCGATGCGTTTATCTTTACTTGGCGACAAATAGATCTTTTTACGTATCGCAAAATCCATGACGAAAACCTCCACGGCAAACTCAGCCGGAAGGATGCCGGTGATCACCGCATGATGCAATTCCTGGGCGAATTCTAAATTCTGCTTTATATGGTGACCCATGTAGAGATTCCAGTTGTCATCAGCGCAGCGTTTTGCGGCCTCTTTGCGGTCATTGCAGCGGTTAATAATGCGTCGAAGCTCCTGACGGCTGTATGTCTGTCCAAGCAGCATGCGATGCACAACAATGTCGGCATAGCGGCGAATAGGGGACGTCATATGCGCATAATATTTCATACCTATTAAGAACGCACTGACACTATCTTGGAAAAGCGGAATGTCCATAATTTCTACTTTTCTTTAGCGGTTGAAACGCTAAATACTTTTGGCTTCATGTAGTAAGTTTAATGGGGCGGAAAAGCGTTATTTTTCTTTAAAACCGAGGTTTATTGCTTTTCTTAAGTAGCCTTGTAACCTACAGATAGCTGTTTTATTGTTATTATTTTTTCCTACAGTAGCCAGCTTATTTAGCATAAGCTTAAAGCTGATGAATCTAAAAAGGCTATTGAAATTATTTTTGGTACATTTTGAAATTTTTATACTTTTTTATTTTGATTTTATAAAATAAAAGTTATCCAATCTAGGAATTGAACCCGGGCATACTAAGTCTTGCATTACTCGTACATTTCTTTATTGTTTAAATCATGTGTCACTGCTTGTGTACAGATTGGACTGTTCACTGTTACGGCTGCAAAGCGCTGTTAATCTTGACGGAATTGTGTGGCACTGACGGCACATGTGATTATTAAGGGCGATCCTCTTAATTCGGCCAAACATAAGCCACCAGCGTGGTGACATTGATTGCACAGGGAAAATACAGTATTTGCGTGATATTAGTTTTCCTCTTTTACGTCCAGCTGGGTTGATGCATAGATAAGAAATTACAAAAATGTTTGGCGATTTTTATTGACGATACGGTAATTTACGCTGTATGCCGTGGTTTTTGCTCAGATGATTGTGTTATTACATACCAAGAGCGTAATGAGAGCTGTCGTCCTCTGCGGGATTAACATACTGAGCGGCTTGCATTGCTTTGATGACCATGGCTTTGAATGCAACATTTACGGTCGGATAAGGATCATCAGGAGAAGGTCGGCACTTCATCAGTAACGCACAAACGTCATTTCGCGAGAGCGGATCACCACCGCTTTTGAATCCCAGCTCTTCCACCATAGTGCAGTGTTTGGCAGCAAGCTGCAGTCCATCCGCAAACGGCTCCGCGTGGCGTCGCAGCAAGCATTGGTTGGGGTATTTCTGAAATTATTTTAACAATATCCATGGTACTTATTTAGATCTAACAAAAGCAATGTGATCTGGTTATGTGATTTGACTATTAAAAGATGAGGTTTCGCTATATTTTTTCGTTTAAATTGAATACAAGGTATATGTTTCTCGCAAAAAAATTTCACTGACCTATCTGTGTTTTAGTATCTTTTAGCATATTATGCTGAACGCATACACTTTTAATGATGAACAAAATACTGTACATATTACATACATAGTTATAATTAATGATTTTGTATTAAAATTATTGATGTTCCGATGAAGGATACCCTATTTGCTTTCTTGAAAGAATTAGCAACATCTTCTCTTGGATGTCGTTGTCGTAGTTTACCTCGAAAATTTTTCCTGCTGCCTTGCGGTTGGTCAGTAGGGCCAGTTCAGCTATAATCCTAGAAAATTGTTGCATAGTTTTGACATTAGGAAAGCTGTAATTCTGGGCGTAGCACTACTGCAGTACTCGCACACTTACTCCTGGCTATCATACTGGGGTTTTGGCGATAATAAAAAATGCCCTACTTCCGCAGTCGATTCAAACTCCAACAATTGCACCGATTTACATCCGTCAATTCTTATAGGGTGATCTGGAACATACAATTTTAGTGAATTTTAAAAAGCATAGAGGATGACACAAGTTCGTAAGCTCCAGCACTAAACTAGAGAAGTAGTTCTGAAGTAGCTGGGTTTTGCGAATTGAAAGTTTGTAGTGCTACCTTTTTCCTGACGAACTTTTTTTAGAACGTCGGTAACCGTCTTCAAATTCCGAACGCTTGTCTGGATGTCAATTGGTCGTTCGTTCGGTTCTTCGTCGATGATGTTCTGTAAAAGTGGCTTAACGAGCAGCATGCGATATCACATACTGTACTATCATTTTTACTGCCAGAAACTGCTGAGGTTTCGCCTCCGCGTTTCTTGTGATCCACCTTTAATTTTACTAGTGAAGCGGTCGCTTATTATAGGTCGTTTAATTAATGAGCCTCCACCCCCTAGCTAAAAGTCCTCCCGGACGATAAACCACACTAAGACCCAGAACACAGACTGCCTCTGGATCACTATTGATATGACAGAACAAACGAAATTACAATTACTCATGCAGGTGCTTACCTGTGCCTCTTGGTACGTCAGGTCTGCGCGACTGCGAATCCGTGATTTTTTAAATTCCAATCGTTCTGTTATGGTTCCTTCCGGTGCGATATCGAAAATTACTGATATCGTGCGCCGGTCCTTTCCGGGAAGAAGCGAACATTTCTCTACCAGTTCAGACGGCAGCATGGGCACCGTCTCGTTCTGCAGATACACAGAAGTGCCCCGAGCCGAAAGATCCCGATCCAACTCAGAATCTTTTATGACGTAAGCGCTGACATCGGCTATATGAACGCCCACACGGTAAATCCCGTTTATTAATTCACATGAAACAGCGTCGTCTTTGTCGGCGGCGTTTGGTGGGTCGATGGTGAATGTCACCAAGTTTGTCAAATCTATTCGGTCAGCCTGGAACACAAAACCGAACGATTATAGTGCAATAGCTGCAAATTATATAAATAATATTATTTTTGTGATGCTCGAGTAGTGTTGTTACATTCAGACAATGTATTAGTAAAGAGACTTAATTCTTGAATGGACGATTTTACTCCTACAGCATTCTAGTGAGCCTATTCATTGCAGGGCGGCAAAGGTAAAGGTCACAATATTACTACTTATTCGAGGAAGGCCATATCTATACGACATACATCGATTAGTGGATCTTTTAGCTTGCGCTCCAAGTAATCAAAAACTTCTGTATTAATGTTGTTTTCCTTCATGATGACCGTTTTCCAAGTTTGCATATCATCGGACCCACCCAAATCGGAAATGCGACATCTGAAAAGTGGTGGGCAAGCAATACTGAATTAACCTACAATCTACAGAAAGCAGAGAGTTCTTATTTATATGAGACCCAAGCCAGCCGTATGCGGCTGCTGTGAAAAATTAATATCCTTTGTTTTTTTTAATATGAATGTGAATATTTGGGCTATGCTTGAAATTACATGCACTTTGCTTGTACTCATACTGTTGCTGGTTTTGTATCGTTTGTAACTCCACAAAAACCAAGGAGCTCTTGATCCGTTGCAGTAAATCTAAAACGGATGTACAAAAAAAACATTTTTGAATAGTCATTATCACTACACAAGTTGTGGAACTGGCACAAGACGTTACATGGTTAGGAATTGATTACCAGAGTACAGTATATTTATATTCTTCAAACCACAAAATATCTCTCCTTACAACACAACAGCATGTCTGCGGTGCATTCGACTGACAGATCTAGGGTGTTCGTACAATAGTAGAGGAAACATAAAAGTATTATACAAAGCCAGCAAGAATATTCACCTGGTGCAATTACGTGCCGGGGCAGTTCATCCCCTTTCCATGGTGTAGAAAAGCAAGTTTGCTCCAATTTATAATAACCTGGCCTAGTCACTAACTCTTGCAACTGACCGACAGCATAGCGGAAATCATTATTCGATCCAGGTTGTGTCACACTGACTATCTGTAATGCGGAATGCGAACAATTGCAACAGTCATTGTACAAATATACAGTCATTGTACAAATATTGGGGTGCGCGAGTGGTTGATTGAATTCTCCGAATAATTAACTTGAAAACAAAATCTTTGTTCCATTTACTTCAGCGCACATACATTATATGTACCTCTCCGACTTTTTGGAATAGACGTTCCGGGAATGTATACAAGTCGTCCAATCTGCATCGCTTCTGAAGGATCTGCATCCATTTTTGTTGAACAGTTTGATCGTCTACCCGCGACAAGAACGCTTCTTTTCTTTCTTCCGCCGACAGCTTCGAATACGCATTGTTAAACAGCAGCGAAGCCATAATATCTTGCTTAGAAAAAGCGGATCCCAGGCTGTCGATCCTAATTATCTTCGCTAGTTCGTCCCAGTAGTAATCCAGTTTGGGCTGCCGTAGAGATTTCATTTCTTTACCATTCAAAATAATCATACAGCTAGCGCGAAAAAAGGCGACTTACAAGAAACTCTTTCCGATCCTGAATGATCACTCGCACTCTGTCGCCGTGAATAGCGCCGCGACTGTTGGTGTCGCCAAGTATCACAACGTCCTCCTGTACTCATATGTAAGTATAAATTAAAAACAAAATCTGACAAACGGCCGAATGTGGGGTCAGTGCTCGATGCAGGCTAACGTTATTGCAAACTTGACTCTGTTAACTAGCGCTTTTTAAGCACTACTTACATAACCCCGTCCCCGAACATATGCCCGCTTTTCGCTAACCACGACCAAGATTCCCTCGACTTCCTGGATTACAACAGGATCTTCAGAGCGCTCATTTCAAAACGAAGCCAACATCGCCGAATACAGCACACGGACTTATTTACATTTTTGTATAAACAAACCTGAGACATCGTTCCGGTTTGATTAATAGGAATAGTAACTGTATTCGCTGTTAATTCCTTGCCAGCAGTAACAGATGATCTGGTGTCGGTTCGGAGCTAAGGAAAGACGAAACAGTCGGAACACCGTAAGCAGTAACAATATTTAATCAGAAATATCAAATCCAGAAGTATACAAAGGTATGATCACTAGGCCGTATAGTGAGGTAATATAACATATACGTAATAATCAGTAAAGTGTGTAGTGTAAATGATGCAGCTTAACTAAGCATTATTCTGGCCTGCTGATTGTATTAGTACGATAGCACACCGCTTCCGGCATCGGCAGTGATGTCAGGATGAGATTGCGGAATGCTGTCATAATTATACCGGTTTAAGCGGTGAGTTCATTTTTTTCTGGTGCACCCTCAAATGCATTCCGTATAGAGCAGCGGTACGCGGACCCGGCAGACTAATACGCGTATGATCAACAAGTACATTTTTCGACAGCTGCATGAAATGTAACGTCATTCATCATAAAATCATCATACAATAAAGTGCTTTTAGAAAAGAGTATTAGTTTACTGCCGATGAGCGTAGGCACTTACTTCGCATTTTTGGGACATCAGGCGAAATCCTCTTCCGGTGCGCACCTTTTCGTAAAAAAAAACTGATGAAGTGAAATTAATTTGACTTCCGGTATCCGTACAAAGCGCCCAACAACTGGTTATAGTGTATCATTGCTGCCCTTCAGCAGTGCCAGCTGCCAATATCATTGAATAAAATTGCGGATGCCGGAAACGCGAAGCGCACACGTTGCTCGTATACATTTATATCCCAAGTACCACAACCATGCTGCAGTTGCACGCGATAGCGTCGCCTACGGGTATACAACCCGACAAACTTAAGTGACGGATAATTAATGGCTAATGCATGCCGTATCCGCTGTGCCAATGGCCTGTGCAGTGGAGGGATACTTCTACAGTACTTCATTTCGACATTGATTTAGTAATTCAGTTCAGGATGTTGCAACATCCTGAACGTCTCGGCCTGAACAATAGAATACATGGCACCCTATAATTATTGTACACCTTGGCATTACAGGGTCAATGCCGGTGCTAAACCTAAACTATTTTTGCAAGTACAGTATTGCTAGTCGCTAGACTCATACATGTACATGTACATGTACATGTACATACTGTACTCTTGAACGTGCCGACTTTTTCGTTGTTACTGCGCGACAACATTTTTCCAAAAACCACCAAATGCAGCTATCCTTCGTGATACTGCTAGATCTAGTTACAGGTTAGGTATTAGATGTAAAGCTAAAAAAATGAGTGCCTAACGTTCGTCTTTGTACGTATTAACTGTTTTTGCAAACCAAATTTTGCGCGATGTTATTAACAATAAACGAAAACGGACTTCGTACTGCATTATACGTATTACGTATACGGCTATGCGCTACTCTAGTGGTGCACCTGGTCACATAGTTTCGCGAGTTGAAATCAAAATATTTGTGGCGGCAAGCTGATCCTGATAGCATAGATTTTGACGCGACGCTGCACGTCACCTGAACCATCCCACCGTTACCGTTCAACGCCGCTCGACGGGGCGAAAATTGAGGAAAAGAACCGTCTACCGTAGACCCTTGGACCCGGCGAGCGATGCAGAGACATTTCTAAAATCAAAAGGAAAAAATCACACAGATGCTGATATTCTATGAAAGCCAAACAGATATTCCAGTGCATTATGTGCCACAACGTTAGGGTGTTGTAGAGTTTTGTCCGACAATTAATTTAGTTGAATGATGTTTTCTTAAAATCTATAAAGTGCTTTCTCGGAGACTATTGCACCTGAAGGCTTGCATACAACGGACTGTTATGACAGCTAGCTGCGGCCTTGTTGAATAAAAAAATTGCCGGAGTGTGATTGTTTTTGCGATCAGTCAAGTTCTCTGCTTGGTTAAAAAGCACCACGCACACCACCACGCACAGCACTATAACGATACTTTTGTGGATCGATAGCGTGATTGCATGCGTAAAAGGGATGTGTTGCATCGAGTCGCTGTTGCATGCTGCTCGCGCCATTGATTATATAGTTGAAAAATCAGCAACGCCCGTTGCGTGAAGAGTTAGGACCACTTTTGCATTATGATGCCGCTGGGATAAAGGGACTGCTTTAAATTTTTGAAATCATGTTGGCGTGCCTACATGTACCATACGTACGTAGTACGTATGTACATATACTACATGCTGGGAAGCATTTCGCTTACAAATGGGAGCAGCACACTAACTAAGGGCATAACTAAGGGTCGCGGAATGAGTATGGGCAAAGGTCACGGGTCCGAATTGCGCAATTAAAGAAGACTGCAGCGATTTACCGCGACAGTTTAGAGAGTGGAGCAGTAGTATAAGTGATTATACTTTCATCACCTATGGCGGTCATACAAAAATACGAAGGTCCTACGAAAAGCCTAAATTATTTATTACCCTGTGCAACTGGCTCCTCGAGGCACTTGGCAGTTGGCACCGATGATTTATAATAAACCAGCATACAATTGTTGAAGGGACGAAAATAAAAAGTGGTGTGCCGCCCATACCGGTGACCTTTAGAGCAACGCTCGTATACGGACTGAGTTGACATATGTGTTTATCGTTGTTATGAACTTTCCGAGAGATGCGACCAAGTGTCTATAGATCCTGTAACTAAAGGCGTAATCGAGCACATCTGCCACATCGTCTGCCAGCTATATAACAGCGATGTCACAACGGGTAATAGCCATGGAAATTGAAGTGGCTTCGCGAGATGCTGGTGAAATGAGGAGTACGATCTCAAAAGATTTAATTAACGAGCCATTGTAGGGATGCAAATTGTAGTAATTTTAGGTGCTAGCAGTAAGGGTTCATGTGAAGCAAGCTTCTTCAAACAGATGTGAGTATTGTATTGTTTCGCCATTGTAAACAAACTTAGTTACTCAGAAATTAAGGTAGCAGGAGGTTTGCTTTCACATTCCACGAGCAGGCAAGATGTTATACATGCAGGCGGGGTTTTTTGTACACGTAGAGTAGTAGTTTTGGATATTAAGAGTATTGTACACAACCGAACGCTCATACAACGGGATGTGGTCTTTGCACCGGCCTTCCCTTAAGCGGGAATTACCAAAAAATGTTGAATCCGTCATAATACGCACAATAAGTGAGCCAATCGGTAATCATTAGACAAAACTTTCATTGCAATTCGCACCAGTTTCTTCAGCAAGAGTTCCTGTATGTGTAAATTCTGTGGCACTCTAGGATGCGGAAGAAGAAATGCCGTTCAACAACTTCGAATACCGGCATCTAGAGGGAAGCCGCATTCCAGCTGAACCGTTATGGCAGACACTACGCCACGGTAATCGCGGCGTGCGGCTTGGCCCAACAGTAGCAGCTGATTATCTTCTGACAAGTTAACTTACGACCAACGTGTGTTGTGTTTGGTATCGAAAAACTCAATGGTGCACGCGTGCTTGTAGTCAGTGTGTCTGCCGCCGCAAACGTATATTCGGTCCGTAACAACACACGCAGAATGCCGGAATCTTTGTTGCCGAAACGGCTCGATATCTTTCCATGCAGCACTGTCCAAGTTCAAACGAATACAACTACAGATAGATGTTGGAATGATTCGTCGTCGCTCTTGAAACTCCCACCCAGAATGTAAACGTATCCGTTAACCACAGCCAGCTCAAACCGGACTCGCAACGCTGGGAGCTCCGGCAAGGAGAACCATTCTTTAGTTGCCGTATCGTAGCAGTACAGGCTGCGTGATGTAGCATAAAAGATCTGTTCACCATATTTCGCCACAGCCAGTGCCACCGCACAAACTCTGCAACAGGAAGTACTTTGTTGCTGGCTTCTACGGCAGTATGCCCGCTGAAACTGTTAGCACTCACCTCATTTCGGATGGGGCTTGTAAAGACTTAATGCTGCCGGTAGACAGGTGTAGTACCTTAAAAAATTCATTGTTCTCCCAGAAATAGGCCTTGCAATTGATCACGATGGGGGGTGTGTACCGTATCTTCCTGGACGGCAACAGCTCACACCACGATCTGTCGCCCAGATTCCATAGGTATAGCGTCTCAGTCACATCCCCCGTGGCATTTATACGCTCTCTTATTATTATTAATGCTGTGTCTGTAGCCGCTAGGTGAGAGTGATAAGGATAAGAAAAGTTGGAAAAAATTGGTACACCAAGCACGTTTTGAACATAAAAAGAGCTAGTAAAAGGGTCGAATATTAAAAAATTTTGAACGTTTCGGAAGCCCAAGCGAAAGAATACTATAACTTCTTTTCCTGGGAGCATATGCAAAATATGTTTTGCGGATGCTCTCTTTGCGCTAACTGGATTCAAGCATGATCGGATCAGATCGGCTAAGTTGTCCTCGGTGTCAGCACTCACGAATGGAACGTAACCGTCGATCATCAGAGTGGCATAGCGCTGATTGCTAGCGTTGCTCTCAACAACAACAATATTATCATCTTTCACTAGTAGCTTTGTTGGTATACGTTTATAGCATTCTGTCATCTCCAGAATCATGCAGCTCAACCTAAAAATATCGCTTTTTCTTCCAGGTGTCTCTGTTCACTTTTCGGAAAATTTTTGAAGCATTTCGGGTGACATGTAACGCACTGTACCGCGTAAGTGCGAAATGTCTGCAGAACAAGTTGCGTTTTCTCGCATTAAAACTAAATCATCCAAATCACCGATGAGTAACTCTTCGTGGCGACAAGCCAACATCTTCACAAGAATGTTTCCCGGTTTTAAATCACCATGAATGATTCCGCTCTTATGCAGGAAGTGGAGTCCTTGAGTTAAATGCCTTGTAAAGCGTTTGACCTTTCCATAGCTATTTAGCAGGCTATGTGTTTTCTGTGCCTCTCTTAAAAAAGAAGCCAAATCACCTAAACCATAGTTTGTTTTTTTGCTTAGTTATAATACACAATGAAAGAAACAGTTACTGAAATAATTCGACCTTCAGGTTACCTTTATGGCAGTCCATTGCCAGCTCAACGGTCGCTCCAACGGAAGCTTTCGTGATTGTTACTTTGTGATAAACGACGAGATTGTCGTGAGCTAGTTCGGTAAGTTTCCGGAGTCTCTTCATCATCTTTATCCAGCTTTCTGAGTCAACAGCATCTTCGAAAGGAGTGCTAATGTGTTCCACTTTGACAGCTATTACGTTTTCTTCCGTGCAAGTACCACCATCTACTACCGTAGCCTTGTAAACAATGCCGAACGATCCCCTTCCCATAAAGCTGTCGTTAGAGTAGCGATACTGTAAGTTACTACCAATTTCCGCAGTTACTCCGTCTCAAGCTTCTGGACCTGTTTGGGCGAAGCCTTCTCGTTTGCCTTGATGGCAGACTTGACAGTCTCTGTGATTGCTCCCGATGAAGTCCGATCCACTTTTCGGGTCGTATTACTTTCTACATCCATTCTACATCTGACGGTAGACGGGCTGGATCTATGCGGAAACCGAACTTTGTCGGCATCCCAGGATTGGGTCGGTTTATTAACAACCAAGAAGCCTTCTGCTGTTACGGTATACCACTGCACCGTATACTAAACAAAATAGATTGAATTACCGGTTTTTTTCAGACTTATTTTGCAGGTTGCGCATGAGCATTTGTTATTTCAAACTAAAACTTTGCAGCACTTGCAGCAGCTTAAGAGACAAACACTCTTTGCAAATGGTCCACACACAGAAATTATAATTATACAAATGCACATGGACATTATTAACGAAGAAAGCCGCTTAGTTCTTTCCAACGTCTCTTTCGATGCCCTCGGAGAATTTCAGTGTTTTCAGCGTTGCCGGCGTAGTGGTTCGGACGACCTGTGTCTGCGCAATCGTTACTGGCTGCAGCCTGTCCCGCAGAGGAGCGCTGACGTCTTCGCTGCCTCGCTTGCCAAAAATTGCAGCCTCGCTTGAAGTTTTCCGCTGCATGTGCTGTCTCATTTCCTTGTGGTTGGAATTTTCCAGCTTCCATATGGAAATATAACGGTACATACGTGTTGGCGCCAAGAAACCACTTCACTATGGAGGCTGGCTATTTGATTCGGTTGCCGAACGTTGTATTTAATCTGCCAGTAAGCTTCTCGAAGTCGAACGAACCAGGATAATGTGTATACATTAACTATCACTTTTCCGAAGGAAGAAGGTATGGGAAAAGTGGAGTGCTAGGCGAGGACCGAGCCCCACGAAGATCTATGGTTTATACAAACCGCGAATGTGCTTTGGTTGAGCGGTCAGGCTGTTGGAACGGTTTTGCAGTAGTTTAATGACACGTTTAAACTTTGAACGAGACTGGAATTGCCGACCTTTTGAGACTTTTCGGTATTTATTGATTCCAAAGAAAATGCTAGAAGGTTACCACTAGCTCGAGGCGGTTACACAAATTTCTTGTGTTCCGGATCTGCTGCCAGATTCCGACATCCATGGAAATGCACACCGCTGCGCAGTATAGAAGCATGTGGAAGCCGTACGCTGTCGGCTTCGCGAGGCTGCTTCGACAATAATTTTTTAAAATAAAGCCATAAATCACCATACTTCGTGATAGTGTTATGTTTGGTTATGAATGTATTGGTATATCACCGAAAAGTGATTGCATATCGTCCACGACTCAATTAACTTTCTCAAATCAGTATCCAGAATTTTATGCGGTATGCGGTGTTCGTTTTGCAAATTAAATATTTGGTATGCAGCTTGCTCGTGGTGTATCCGGAGTCGCAGAGTGAGATCAGAATCTTAGTGATATGCTGATTGGTAATGTAACATAGGTGGCGATTGTGTCTGGGCTGCCAGCAAAATAAAATGACGCGAAACGCTTTTGGAGAAGTGGCCTTGTACGGAAACCTGTGTATTCCTTTCATTTAAAATTGTACGTGCAATATTTTGACTTTCTTTATGTTGCCTTTAGGCGGTTGTAGAAGCAAATATATGGTCACGTAAACGCTGCAAACAAAGATATTCTAACACTGTATTTTAGTTGTCTAAAACCCTGAAATTGCACGAGTAACAAAATGAATTCGATTCGAATCGGTAGCAGCATATCAAATCTGCATTAAGCCAGTAGAAATCAGATTACATGCAATCATTGGCGTAGGTGCTAAGGAAGCCAAGCACTGGAATTTCCGGACCACTGAATCGATGCATAGGCATGGCACGAACTGTAAGGAATGGCTTTTGGGAAGTTACATTATTCTTGATGTTGTACTAGGTTCCCTTGCCGGCGAAAACAACCTGTGAGGATACATAAACCAACTTTGAAGTTTGAACAACATGCCGCTACAGCGAACAAAGTACCATTGCGTACCGAGAATTCGCGGGGATCGATCCCAGTGGATGCCTCGAATTTGACACTCACCACGTCCCACACTTCCAGAGTTTCTGCATTGTTTTCCTCAGATGCTCGTTCTGGTGGTACTTCCGATTGGTCGTCTTTCTTCCACGTAATAATAAACTGATTCCACCTTGGACCACCATTATCGGCAGACAGCGCATGCAAACAGTTGGCTATGCGCTTATCTTTTCTGGATGACACATATGTCTTCTTACGTATTGCATAATCAATGACAAACACCTCCATGGCAAACTCAGCCGGAAGGATGCCGGTTATCACTGCCCGATGCGATTGCTGGGCGAAGGCGGGATTGTTTTTAATATAGTCCCCCATGTAAAGGTTCCAGTTATCATTGGCAGAGCATTTTGCGGCATCCTTGCGGTTGTTACAACGGTCAATAATGAGCTGGAGCTCATGACGACTGTACTCTTGACCAAGCAGCATACGGTGAACAACAATGTCGGCATACCGACGAATAGGAGACGTCATATGCGTATAATGTTCCATACCTACAGTACATCGTATGTTTTTAAAACTAAATACGAGATTTATAATATGCATTCTCTATTGCTGATTCTTAATTCTATAGATTTTTCTTCGCGTGTTTTTCAAATTTTTTAACGGGTAGTTTCAAACGATCTCCAGTATCACTGGAAATGCAAGTAATGGGTTTATGAAATTGGGAAAAAGGGTTCTCTTCAAGGCGTCAGACAAAAATGCGCTCTTGACGATGGCGTAATTGTAGCATCTCGCGACGTTCGATACAAAATACACCGTACTCTATCAATTGGTGACCTTTTCACACTTGGAAGCCCTCCCCGAAACAAACAAGGTACGGTAATGACTTGAACCTGCATTTTACACTAACACGTACCGAGGGCGTAATGGAAGCTGTCCTCATCTGCGGGATTCACATACTGAGCACTCTGCATCGCTTTGACGACCATGGCTTTGAGTGCCGCTTCGCTGATTGGATGAGACCGACACTGCTCTAACAAGGGGCGAATGTCGCCTCGAGACAGCGGAGTATGAACGTTATCAAATCCGCAGTTTTTGGCAGCGAGCTGCAGTGCATCAGTAAACGGTTCCCCATGGCGTCGCAGCAAACATTGATTGGGGTATTTCTGGAAATTTCCAATTTATTTTTTCATGGGTGTAATAATACCGAGCACTGCACTGACATCAAACTGTTTAGTATCTCGTGAGCCGTAAAGCACATTTTCGCCGTTCGCTTCGTATCAAAGAAAATAACGATAAGAATTGTACCTTCTTCGCAAAAAAAATGTTCGAATATATTTAGTCTAGTATCTATAAAGCGTTATCTTTTAGAATATGTTGCAACGGTACGCTTTTAATTGTGGAAGTGTGAATTTATGAACGCCTTCTTCACATTGCAAAAATCTGGTGTCTGATATTATTGTTAGTTTACCTTGAAAATCTTCTCTGCCGCCGTGCGATTGGTCAGTAAGGCCAGTTCTGCTATTATTCTGGAACATTTTTCAGTTTGTAAATGGACATCTGATGCGTAACGTTCACTACTGTATCATTATCCAGGAAATAATAAATAGGCTTACTCTTGGCTATCATACTGGAGTTTCTGTTTCATTTCCGTTTTTGTTTCCTCAGTCGGCCGAAAGTCCCACAGTTGCACTGGTTTACATTCACCCATGCTTATAGGCTGATCTGTAATACAAAATGGCTTTATACAGATAAATTTCTGGCTAACTTTATGGAAGGTACAAATTGTTAAGTTTCAGTAAATGAAAGATTAGTAAATTACATTATTTCATTTTTACCGGTTGCGTTTTGAACCGTTACCTTTTTCCCATCGAATGTGTCTTAGAACAGGGGTAATGGTTTTCAAGTTGCGGACGCTTCTTGTAAGTTGCATGTCATTTTGCCATATTTTTCCATCGATAATATCCTGTAAAGGTGTCTTAAGTCAGTTAAAATAAATACATAAGATTTGCTTTGGGATTTATTAGCTAGGTTGTGATGAAATACCACAGTACAATGTTAACATACGCCAGTAATACCTGCGCGTCCTCGTACGTCAAATCTGCACGACTACGAATTCGCGACTTGAAAAACCCTGATTGCTTTATTATTCTTCCGTTTGATGTGATATCGAAAATGATCGATATCGTGCGTCGGTCCTTTCCGGCAAGAAGCAAGCACTTTTCCACCAATTCTGCCGGCAGCATGGGTACCGTTTCGTTTTGCAGGTATACAGTCGTGCCCCGAGCCGAAGCATCCCGATCCAGCTCAGATTTTTTTGCGATGTAAGCACTGACATCAGCAATATGGACACCCACACGATAAATTCCGTTTCGTAGCTCGCATGAGACAGCATCATAATTGTCGGCGGCGTTTGGCGGGTCGATGGTGAAAGTCAACAGATTCGTCAGATCCAGGCGGTCAGTCTGAAAAACAGACACAACTGATCATAATGGAAATAACTGAAAGAAAAATTCAAAAAAAAACCAGGGAGTTAAAGATTATTTCCATGACCTTTACGTGTGTTCCACTGACTGTGCACTTTGAATTGGAAATGGAGTTTATACGACAATGAATGAACGGATTCTGTTTCTCTAGCTCGTTATCAGAGAGAGCGCAGCAATAATAAACACTGTTATTCGATCTAGAGCGTTCATTAATATTTAGTCTTAATCAGCTCATTTAGTCTTTTAGTGTGCAAATTTTCATACGAACATCGATGAATGGATCCAGTGGTTCGGGCTCCGAGTAATCGAAGATTTCTGTACTTATGTTGTTTTCCAGCATGATAGCCATCTTCCAAGTTTGAAAATCATCGCTATGACCCAAATCAGTGATACGGCAACTAAAAATTAGCAATCATGGCTGAATGAGTTCGTGTAAAAAAAGCCCATTGTTTGCTGCTAAGTAGTCTTACTGTTGTATGCCGTGTTGTATTCGCAACTCCACAAAAACCAGCGATTTTTTGATATGCTTTAACAGATCTGAAAGTGGATGGAAATATTTGAAAACATTTTCCAAATCTTCGTTAAAACGCCGTAGTATCCAATATGTAGTGTGAAACCGAGAACGGGAATACATACCTGGTTCGATCACGTCGCGGTGTATATCTTCCTCTTTCCGCGGCGTAGAAAAGCAAGTTCGCTCCAGTTTATAATAATCTGGTTTCCTTATTTTTAAATTCCGCAGCTGACCGACAGCATACTGAAAATCATCTTCCGACCCGCGTTGTATTACGTCGACAATCTGTGATGCATTCACGGTGCATTCAGAAATGTCACTACACAAAAAATATTTAAAACTTTACTAACTTTACGTTTAAGTTGTAACTGTACTGTCGAATAAAAGTTTACGTTTATGTTTTACTGTAAGTTTTAAGTGCTTTGAGTATTTATGGCTACCATAAAAATGTTGCGTTAGACCACATCGACTATTTCTCACACAATGTTAGTTTGATTACCTATAAACCTATCTGTATCTTCACAAAAATACTAGTACTGTACCTACCTACAAATCAAATTAAATTAATAAATTAAATTATTTATATTAAATTTGTAGCTTGACATTGAAAACAATTTCTCAAAAATTTTAGCTTGATTACCTATACAGTGAACCTACCTAGCTACATACCTACATAATTTCACTCGACTATGAACATAATTTCTCAAGAAGTTTAGCTTGCTTGTGTTTGGGAAAACCGCAGGCGATAGTTCCCGTGCATGCAAGGAACCATGTACCGGGTCACTTCCCTCAGTTAAAAGTACAGATAATGCAAAATTAATCCTGTCATCACTGGATTAAGCCAACATTTAAAATCTATAGCACATTGTCCTTTAAATCAAAATAATCCAGAAAGCGGTTAGCAGCGCCGCAACTTTACCCAGCTATTACAAATTCCCTTCAGAACCACCCAAGAACCAAATGATTGGTTCTTGTGCGTGATTGGTACGTGGTTGTTTTAGTTTGAACGTACCTCTCCGACCTTTTGAAACATGTATTCCGGAAATGCATTTAAATTGCACCGATACTGAATAATCTCCATCCACTTCTGTTGAACATTCTGTACTATTCTGTTTTTTGTTCGGTTTCGGTTTTGCTCTTGTTGTAAGAGCTGCGAATACGGTCTCTTGAGCAAGGCCATAATTTCTCGCTTCTCGAAAGCGGTCCCCAGACTTTCAATCCCAATTGTCCTGCTTAGGTCGTCCCAGTAGAAATTCAGTTTGGGCTGCCGCAGATATCATGGATTAGTCCGAAACACTGAATGAATGAGCGCTTACAAGAAAACTTCTCGGATCTTGAATAACCACTAGAACGCGGTCACCATGCGCAGCGTAGTTGCTGAAGTCACCCAGTATCACCACATCTTCCTTTATCCTTCTCTTCGTGATGCTATCTATCGTCTTCATAAATGAGAAACCAAATTTGTCAAACTCAACGAGTCAAAGCTTAAAAGGCTGCAATATTTTTGCTAAATAAATTCTTCTATGCGTTTGTACTCACATAACCTTGCCCTCGAAAATACGCTCGATTCTTTGTCACCTCCAAAGTTCCCTCTACTTGTTGGTTCACAAAAGAAATTTCAGGGCGCTGAAGCGAAATTATGTCAGTATGACAATCAGAATATACTCGTACATGTTTATTTACGCTGATTTACCAACATACCTGAGACATAATTTCGTTTTAAATCACAGTTAAAAATATTCCTTGTTGGTTAAATATTTGCAGCGCTGACAAATGATCGCGGTGCCGGTTTTGAAATCGGTAGCACAGAGCGGAATCTGGTGAAATTGCACAGTATCAAATAAGAACGACGACGGAAATACAAAGTATGAAATCAAAACAGAAACTGTAGAAGAGGCCACTTAGAAGTAATGTGATAGAAGGTGTAAGTGATGTAGCTTAATAGGCATTATTCTGGCCTGCTGATTGTAATAGTACGATAGCACATTGCTTCCGGCATCGACAGTGATGTCAGGATGAGATGGTACTTGTAGAATGTCTAATAATAATGACATTGTTATGTACTAGTGCTTATTGTTCGTACAGTACTTATACTGGTCTCAACCTGTTGATGTATTTTTTCCTGTGCGCACTGAAATGCTTGCCGTACAAAGCGCAATCTGCACAGCGGGACATGGCATATTAACTTTGCCGACATAAGTCACATAACTGCAAGTTTCGAGCACTGCATAAAATGTAACGTACTGTACTATCATGTAAGCGTTCAACTACCTTTTTTGAGAGGAGTTACTGCAATACTGCTTACTGCGCATTTTTCGGAACCGTCTGGCTAAAAATCCTGTTTCCGGCAACCACTCAAAACCGAGGAAATAAAACTAGTCCGGCTTCCGGTTTTCGTACAGCCCGTCTCAGAACTGGTTTATAGTGTTGACTTTGAGTTGACTGCTGCCCTGTAGCGGTACGGTTCGCCGATATCATGCATGAAAATAGCGGATGCCGGAAAGCGGACGTACTTTCATTTGTGGATTCCAGAGCGTACGCATACTGGCCATACCTCTGCTATACGGCAACAGTGGCGCTGTCACCTGGGGGTATTCAAACGTACAATTTAAGAGACGGATCATTATTACCGCTTGCCATGTATCCGCTTATTAATGTATCCGCTTGCCAATAACTCAAACGTACAATAACTGCGACATTAGTCATTCGAGGTCACTGTGCGCAAGGCGGTACAGTGAAACCTGGTTACTAAATACACCTTCGGTTAAAGCAAAACCGTATGCATTATCCAGGTGTATGTATTACACAGAGCTATATTACAGTATATGGGACGCGCCGGTTAAACTTTCCGCGTATGTAATTTTCAGGTGTATGTATTTACCGGTGTATGTAAAAGACAGGTTTCACTGTATGACATAATCGCTATGTCGTCCATGGCTGCTTTATCAGGAAATAGCGGGATAGGCAGCCGGCAACGTGAATGAGCGGAAATTTCTGCACCAGTACCCATTAGGTTGTCTATCATATTTTGTCGATTCATCGAAAATCAACGCACTTGCAGTGAGCTACTAATATATTTCATGAACTACTAACATATTGGTTTTATTTTACCTGTGGTACAACGTAATACCGTAACGTAATACAACGTAACATACTTAAATTTTAAGATAAGCGTTATTGTATAGTACCAACTCAAATGACAAGAAAAGACAAAGTGAACATAATTGTTGGAAAATTATCTATGCTGCTAGATTTAGCCTGCTTTCGTGTAGCCTTATGGTTTATGCCGACTCTGCACTGTTGTCATAATCAGGCAACACTTTTTCGAGGCAAGAACGTCTAATTTGCTTTCTTGGCAGCGTTGGGTTAGCTTATAATCAACAAATTAATCACAAAAGATTCGCAGATACCGCTCACTTCTATAAACAAACTAAATCTTGACATAGTGCAAAAATAAGTTTGCGCATAAGCACGCATAAGCGATATCAGTGGTGTACAATGGTCGCGGGTACATGTAAAAGTAATACGAGTTAATGTTACCGCTTCCGGACTCCACTGGGGGCACTGGAGCCCCGGCTGCTGGGAGGCTGGTGCTCTCTGTGATCGGCTGAGTGAGGTGACCGTGGGTCAGCGAAGCCAGCCGACCGGGGTCGGCGGAAGAAACGACCAGTGCCCTGCGCAACCGAAGCCCCTTTATTGAGCAAGTGCGAAATAACAGAAGAAGAAAACAGCAGGGTGTGGCGGGGTGGTAAAAGAACAGAGATCACTCGCGCGCACACGATATCGAAGGAGCAAAGACAGACAGCAATGAGAACTGCAGAACCATGCAATGCGAGCACACGAACAGTACCAAGTGCAAACAGCATGCCCGTGCGTACGGCGGCCGCTTTGATCTAAGCGCCACGGCGACGCGCAGCGCCACCAACAGACTCACGTAACTCGCAACACACGGCGCAAGGAGAGAGAGCGGGAGCGCATGTCCTCCAGCTAACATTAACATCAATTAACTCGTTAATTGTCATTTAAATATCTCGTGGGATCGGCTAAAACAGTAGAATGGTTTAAGATTACGGAAGCTGTGCGTTTTTGACCGTCGCACTCGCTATGATGCCGTCAAACGAGCTAGGCGAACACTAATCTCACCACTGGTGTGGATGAAATCCGTCTAAGACCTTGGCACCCGGCGAGCAGTGCACAGAAGTTTCTAACAATTTGCAGGAAGAGACAAACACAAAACAGCTGGCTTGCGAAATGCGCACAAAAAGCCACAGGGGTAACATGCCATTTCGTCGACCGTCAGTATGCCGAACAAACACGGTGCCCACGCGCCACGAAGTCGACCAGCGATCTAAACCGTCTTAGTTTTCTTCAGTTTCTTACTTTTCTCTTTAACAGGCACAAACGCAGGTACCTCATGTAACGAAATTACACTGATCGATAGCAAATGTTATTTTTCATTTTGGGTGTCGTTTTCTAGTGAATGTACTAAACGTACACAATTTTTCCGCGCAAAGTGAAAACTGTGAGTTCTGAGCGTGGAATACTATACGCCAGTGGTGCAAGCACTGTACCGTATAGCTTGAGAAGTGGGTTGCTAGAGATTGCTTTTTGCGGTTCGTTGATCTGGAAAGAAAAAGTGCCTTTGTCATTTGGCTGCATTACCATTACTGATGACACGTGAAAAACCATGACCATGCATTTTAGACCCCTGAGGCTTGATTGAACACTGTGGTATTGCACAGCGAAGCGCAAGTACTATGCGCGGTATGTGGTACGTTCCTGTGCATGGTGCAAAGCCGGGTGTTGCGTTTTGATCACCTACAAAGAACTGCACACCGGTGCTAAATAATATCATGATTTACCGCCGTAACCATGTTAGATTAATCAGCATGGGAACGCTGTCTGTACTGTACCAGTGTTTGGTTTTCCTGATAGTATGCCACACGGAAACGATAGTTGGCAAAGTGATCATTGCGCCTGGCGTTGATATTCACAAATTACCAGCGGAGAAGACCTGTATTCCTGATTCGCAGCTTCCCGCATCCGGAGTTCGTGGCCAGTGTCTGACGGTAGACGAGCTGGATCTGTGCGGAAACCGAACTTTGTCTGCATCCCAAGACTGTACCGGCTTAGACGGCAACCAAGAAGCCTTCTGCTGTTATGGTGATTAATACTCTTACACTGCACCATATATGAGAACAAAATGTACTTGCAAATGGTTGAATTGCCCTGTCTTTTGCAGGTTAATGTATGTATACTGTATAGTAATTATACATGGACATTTTATTATTTAAGACTAAAAATTGTATACCTACTTCGACGCTTTTCGCATTCTGGAAATTTCAGGAAAGAAATTCACGTGATTCTGTTGTGGAAGTGTCCGAAAGCGAAAAACGTGGAAGTAGCAGTTCCTCTGATTCTCTAACAGTAACAATGTATGTCACAGTAATACGGTTTAGCAGATTCAACGAGCACTTCAAACGAAAAAGCCACTGGTGTACGCGGTTCAACCAGCGCATTTTATCTTAATGCTGCTAGAGGATCGACACTGCATCAGCAGTGCGGTGTCCCCAACGGCGATTCGGAAATGTTCACCAACTCTCAGAAGACGTCAACCAAGATTGTCGGTGGAACCCTGGCGCCGAATGGTTCTGCATCGCTTTGTTGGCAGGTATCCACGCTGACGCAATGCATTGTGACGACCTTACATTTAACTGTTCCCGTATCCACGAAAATAATAATTTTTGAAGGTTTCAATAACCATCCAGAATAAGCGCACCAACGCCGTATCGGCTTGTGGCGGGAGTATCGTGGGAATGTGGACCGTCATCACTGCCGGACACTGTGTCGTCTCCTCCACGATCGCTAAATTCAACCAATCGGAATTAGATATCATCGTGGCCATCGGCGTGATCTCCAGGAACACCGGCGTTCCGGGTCTATCGCTGTATCCGGACTATGTGCACGGGTGTGCACAGGCCATTCATGTCCAGCAAGCCATTCCCCACCCCAAGTTCCTCCGCACCATCGGCGACAACGACGTCGCCGTGCTCATTCTCAAGGAACCCATTGATTTCCGGGCACGTGCCAACTGCGCGTGTCGACTATGCCTGGAAGACGCTTTAACACCGCAACCGGGCGACATGTGTATAACATCGGGTTTCGGACGCACCGCGGACCCAGATTCAGGTACTACGAAAACAAAACTATAATGGAAAACTCAAAAAAGGGATGCTGGTCGGTTGCTGCTACTTTCAGAGTTCTTAATAATAAAACTAGCAACCAGTGGGCAGCAGGAACATACAGCATGCAGTGCGTATACGTCCTTCGAACACACAGTTACTTGTTTGCGCAATATGCGTTTAAAAAAGACGCCTACTGTTTTTTATATTGTTCCGTACTTAAATTAACTGGCCAAAAGCATTTCTTTTGGGAAATATCAGGTGCGTCTGCAGCTGGGCCAGCCGTGATTCCTTTAAGTTACGTTTCCGTGCCAATACTGGACCCGGATGTGGATGACTGTGCTGGTGCCGTCGATTTCGTAACCGGCGCTCAGACCAATACGAGTACCACGATTTGCGCTGGCGGTGTGGTGGGACATGATGCATGCAACGGTGACAGCGGTGGACCCCTGTTTTGTTTGGATAAAAGGAGCGGTGTGCAGTATTTAGCCGGGATAGTGTCGTCAGGGGACGGCTGCGCTCAGGGTGTGGGGACATTGTACACTAAAGTTGCGCCGTTTTTGTCGTGGATATTTAACCAGGCACCACTTGGTGACCTGACTGTGTTCGTGTAACTATTTTTTTATTTTTAAATTTTTATTAGCATGTTTTACTTCCGCTCCTGGTTTTTTGTTACTGAAGGGGTAATTGTTTAGGAAAAAATTATCTGGATTCGTGAATTGCTTATGATTTTTGCGTTTGCTGGCGACAATAGTGGTCTTTGGTTATCCGTTATCGAAAATCTAATGCGATGTCGGCAATAATTCAAGATGAAACATGTGCACTGCGCACTACTTGTGTCACAGTTTGCTTTAATACCCGCACCTCTTGTTTTTTTGTACTTGTATCATTGCCAAAGATGAAAGATGATGAGGCTCTTCAACCTTCAATCAACAGAATACTAAATGGAACTAGACGGCGCTGTAACCGGCTATGTGTAGTGCGCAGACAACACTTTCCTCAGGTAACGAAAATGCAGCTTCTAGTTTTACGCGGATCTTGCTTTCTACACCATTAGTTACCGTAAACGTGCACAGTAGCACGATTGTTAATTTCGGTCAGCTGATGATGACATTCTTCAGCTACGTGCATACCCAACTAACCGCTGATACCGCAAAGCGGGGATCGTTAAAATTCTGCCAACTGGAATAACTTGTTCTTACACTTTGTTTGTGCTTGTGTAATTCTTTCTATCAGCAAACGGACGTATAAAATCCGTCTACGTGGATTTACAACCAGATTATTACTCATTCTGACATCACCGAAGTTGATAGCTACAGATTTCGATAACCACTTCTGAGCTCGATGTATTGTAAGCAAATGCTTAAGCGTGCACAAATGTATCGGTAGACTGCGTGACGGCACGCACTACCGTTTTGACTAAAAATAACGCTTATCAGTTAGTATAAACAGACAGCACGGATAACGGCGCTAAATTTTGACATTTAGATTTATATACCGCAAACCACCTTGTTGCTTATGTTGAGAGCGGTCAGCTCCAGATACTGGAATTGAATGTTTTACAGCACCGCTTATTTGTAACTCTTGACAACAGCCTCAGCATTCCCCAGAATTTCGGTTGCTTCTACGCTTTATCACGGTTCTGAACGCTGACTATCGCATCAGCTACAAATAACTACTCAGACAGTTCATTTTCTTGTGTGTTAAATTTTGCACGTGTTGTTATCGGGATTCGGGAATAAGTCGGCAAAATGCTTGCAACATATCATTCTCAATTAAATCAGCAGCAGGTCAGTTTCGTTAGCTTATTACCTGGATATGAGATCTGTTTATAACTTTATTGTTTTTTGTGACGCTGCTCCGAAGCGTTTGATTAGGCATGTCCTTGAGAAATCTGTTACTTCGCAAGCCATCTTACTATCATTTAATATGAGTGCAGTAATGTTTTGGATTCTTATAAATTCGACAACTAAATGGAACAGCATGTGCTTTACCAGGTTGTGCGTGGAACACTGGTCGTGGTCGGACCCGAGCTTGCCTTTGTGCACGTTCAGGGCCAAGTAAGGCAAAGCGTTTACTGCTGCATAGTAATCTAGCATATATGATATACTATATAGATGGCGGATGGCATGTGTAAATGTATTACATATATTGCAGGATGACGACGTGCTGATTTCCGGCTTGACCAACCGTAAGGGCGCGCTGAATGGTGATCAAGTGGACATTGAATATCTTCCAACCAGAGACTGGACGGTACGTAAGACTGAACACTTTTGCACGTATAGAACATACGTACAGCGACTTAGAAATTGTATTTTATGGAATAACGAAGATTATTAAATGTATAATTATTCATTTATGCAGCCAAAACTGGAATATTATTGGGATGAGATTGCACAAATACTGCGCATCACTAGCCTTGGTACAGCATTCCTGAAAGACGATCTGCGACGACTAGTGTCGACTGCCCATGGAACTTATATTCCTAAACTGCAGTTCATGTCATCCCAAACCATTCAACAGAAATGGATGCAGCTTCTTCAAGCGTGCAACTGGATTCCCAGAGATTACTTTCAATCACATCTGTTTAAAAAAGCCGGCAAGGTACTGCTTCTTGTTTAAGTATACTGTATAGGTACATAACCAAGATTAAATTCCGATACTCGTACAAAACTGCGCATGACCATAAATAATTGCGAACCATCTAGGTGAAAACTGTACTGTCGAGCAGCGCGGGCATCGAGAAAGCTGTTGGACAATTGCATTCACCGGAAAGGGGCTCGTTAACAGTTGTCTATAATCTGAAACCAACGACATTTCGCACGACATGGTCCGGTGAAAAGATACCTAAAGAATTGATTGACGCCGGTAAAGACGTGTTATTACGCATGAAAATTATTGTAACGTAAGGTACTGTAACTACATATAGTCAGAATGTAGCGAAGTTGGGCTGGGATTTCATTTCTTCTGAAAATAGCAACTACTGTGCAACTTTTAATTTGATTGTAGAACTATTGGGCAAGATGAATTCCTCATTAGTCTACGTGGAATTCAACAAGAACCTCCTTAACGGGTAGCGAAATTACAGCTTGCCGCACGCTGAATCGAACTTTAGGCTTTGTCCTTTCAGAAAGTAATCTCTGATAAAAGCGCTTACTGTTTAGTTCTAAAACTGTGAGCGACGTTGGCCAAACTGAGAACTTAACAACATGGATCAAAGCCATTCTATTAGAGAACGGCATCAGCAGTACCAAACTAGACAGCCTTAGCCCGCCAGAAAACCTTCAATTGGCAAATCAAATTGAGGTACGGAAAACTAATTGCATAACTACGTAACTTGGCTTACTATGACATCTTTCGCTTCATGTTCACGTACCTAAAACACAGTCACACATATTCAATGTGATGTACTGTATTTCTCCCGCTAGGCCGATCGAAGGGATTTATCCGATTTGGTCGTCTTCACCATAGACCCACCGAGTTCGGTGGACATTGATGACGCCTTGTCGTGCATTCGGTTACCCAATGGCAACCTGCAGATAGGCGTGCACATTGCCGATGTGAGCCACTTTATCCAGGAAGGCTCACCCGTCGACAAAGAAGCCCGTGCCCGCGGCGCTTCACTCTTCCTACAAAATAACAAAGTAATACACATGCTGCCAGAAGGATTTGTCCAGAGATGTTCCCTTCTGCCGGCCGTGCCGCGCTACGCCGTGTCGGTGTTGTACGAAGTAACCCTGAGTGGGCACATCATCAACACATCAAAATTCTTTAAATCGCTCATCTGCAGCCGCGCCAGACTAACGTACCAACAAGCACATGTACAGGTATTGTACCTATCAAAATCAAACTGATTGAAAATGTCTGTTTGAAAGGGTAAGTTGACAGGCTCTCATCGATCGCGAGCGTGAGTACTCCCCATCTGAGCTGAAGATGGACGTTACAAAGGTCACGGTTAACCAGGATTACAAGTCTATTGTTGAGAGTCTTCGCGATTTGGATGCTGCAACACAGTGTCTTCGAGCGATTCGTTTCAACAGAGGTGCGAGGAAAAGTTCGTGCTTTTTTTCCCAGGAACACTGCCTTACAAATGGATGTGTTCGTTGCAGATAAACCAATTAGAATTGAAGGAATGAAATCGCAAAGTCTTTATGAGTTCCAGCTAACCAACGGCAACATGGTACAAGCGTCCAAACTTCAAGAATACCGCAGCGAACAGTATGCTTTCAAGCTGGGAGTTATCCTCTTTTATAAATTTCCCCATGATCACTAATGTAGTGTATGTTTAATTAAATTCTTCTTGTTAGGCTTATCGAAGAACTGGCCATCCTGACCAATTACACTGCAGCGCGCGAAATTTATACAGTAATACTTATATTATTATTTTGGCCAAATAAGTAGGTCATATTGCGCAGACGCAGTCTATTATTCCTATATCATCAAAATTTTTTAAAGAAATTCCCAAACAACTGTCTGCTTCGTCATCATCCCGGGCCTAACCGTGATGCGCTGCAGCTTCTAAAAAAGAACTGCAAACTGCTTGGACTGGATATCGACGTCGGTTCGCGCGATGGCCTTCATGGGTTCTCCGACGGAAATCGTAGTCGCTCAGTCAACGCTGCATTCTTCGCAATGCTGGTCAAGTCCTTTAAGAAAGAGGAATACGTGCGACCGGCAAACGGGAACTATTCGCATTACGCTCTTGGTAAGGAACTGCCAAATTCTGCATATCTAACATCCATAACGAAACTGCTTTGCGGATAACGATGCCGTTTTACTTTCATACAGGTATGGAATATTACACCCACGCGACATCACCGATTCGTCGGTACGCCGACATTGTCGTCCACCGAATGCTCTTCAACAGCCGACCTTTCGACGCAAACACTTTAGACGATGTCATCAAAACCTGCAATCAACGCACCGCAGCGGTGAAGAACAGCCAAGGCGACGACTGGACTTTGTGCCTTGGGTGGGGGTTGAAACAAAATATCCAGTCGTTACGACAACCGCAGCTAGCGGTGGTCGTTGGTATCTACCCGGCCGAATTTACCTTAGAAGTTCTCATTGTTGAGTATGCCGTGCGTAGAAAGATCCTCCCGCGAAAAGATCCCAATGTTCGAGGCTGCTCGCATAGCCTGGGAACCGTCCGCAGTGCCGCTGATCACATCTTGAATATTGATTGGAGGAACGGGCGGCGAACGGCTGTGTCAGTGTGGGATGAAATTAAGGTCATGCTCACATTTTCCGATGGAATCGATCCTAGAAACTTTAAGGTACGTTCAACGCTATTCTCCTCCATAACAGAGCCACAATCTCTGTACAGTAAATACCTTTACTGTTTTTTTCCAGATTTTGCTTGTGGAAGGATAATCTAACAGGTTAACATATCCCTGGATGCGGTGCAACCGGGAAGACTAAAAGTTGGGCGAAACGGTTTAGAGTTTAGACCACAACTAATGCTTTCTTTTTTTGCCATATGTATCTTCGACTTTTATTTTGTTTTCAACTGCACCAGGCTTGCAGCTACATTTTTAAAGAAAACCTAGCGCCGAACAATACAGGTAGTGGTTACTTACTAGTTATTATAAGTGACTGACCAATATTATGCTATAAATATCAACATTTTGTAAACGGTTACTGCAGTTTTTGTCTATTGCTGTACAGCCTTGGTAATTTTTGTTTCGTTTCACGATATGCTTTGTCTAGTACAGCGAATATTTTCTTCCCATCGCCATTTTCTGCAGGTTTACATGAAAGTTTGCTGTCACGCATTTCATCTCTATTTTTATGAACCGGTATGTGCGATAAATAACAAAATTAAGGACAAAAAAGTGCAGAGTACAGAGTACTGCAACTTCTGCAGCATAATCTGTAGAAGCGCCAAATTCCGTACCTATGCAGTATACTCTCTAAACGTTGCTTACTGCATTTGACGTCCGCTTATCAGCGAAAACTACTGTTGTGCATGCTAAAGCGAGTTGGCTGCGGGCAGGTAAGTACAATAACAGGTTTCCACCGAAAATCAGTAAACATGTTTACGAACATCACGGATGTCGACCACGCGAACACAAAAAAACAATGCCGGTGTTTTTTTGCCACTGTACGCGAAAGCGCTTATGTAAGCTAAACAACGAGAAAAACAGTGTTTACGTGAATAGAGAGTTCAGCAAGACAGACAGCAAGTATGTACAGAAGAAACACATCTCGACAGCTCGATATAAGGTCATAGCTCGGTTTTGCTAGCCCGGCGAGATATCTGTTGGAGTGCAGATACAGCACTGGCTGGCGCTAGTAGGATTGATGGGATGAGCTGCAATTTCAGACAATTTAGTAAACGAAAATAATTAATAATAAAAGAATTTAATTAATTATGCTGCGGTCGAACTGGAGCGTAGCTACCTGGCCGGCAGTTGGGGGCGCATAACACCATGGCGCAGATGTTGGTGGGGGGATTCGGGCCACCACCGCCGTTACAGGATGGGCATCCTGGGCACTGGCCGGTTCCGCCAATGACGGCGCTTTGGGCGGTACCTGTCACACACACTGATTCAATTCGGCAAGACATTTCGAAGAAATCATAAGGACAATCATAAGTTTTAAGCGCATAAATTACAGCGCGTCTGCTTGATTTACCTGCAGCAGCGAATTGCGTGGGAACACACTGAGCACATAGCACAAGTGGACACTGCGGCTGAGCGATGGCTAATCCTTGGGATGCTACCATCTGCATCAACCCCAGGGAAATCAGTATGACGACAAATATGCTGTGGATAGCCATTGTTAAATGTGACCGAATAGCAGAGATTGCTGGTTGCCGGCTTCCGATGGGAACACGAATTGTAGACCTTAGAAATAGGCTGAAAGATACAATTTCCTCAAGTACGAAACTGCAACGTAAAATAAGGCTGCAAAAAATATTTTATCTGCAAGATATACTGACATGTGCAAAAAATGCCGAACAATTGAGAAAGCCTGACTGCGCGACAACTTTGTATTATACGAGTAGCAACTGCAGATGTACTAGTCGACCGTACTTGTAATTTGGAAACTTACACACACGGTACACGGTTAGACACACGGTTAGTGGCTACGTCGCATATGGTGAACACAACCGTATTGCACGAGAAGCTGCATTTAATTTTATAATGCATGCGAGAATTAATACTACTTTTTTAGCTTGTTTTGGTTTTGGTTTGCTTTATTAACGCTCTACCGATACATAGCTAAAATTACACACTTTATAACGGAATTACATACACCTCCTGCGCAGTACATGGTTAAACGAATGCTGATGCGTAACCGTGTCTGAGCCAATACCAAAGTAATTAGTGTTTATTCGTTTAACAGTTAATGTTTACTAGGTTATGGATACCGCCCACAGAAAAACGCCCACAGATGCTTGGGACACGCATCTATGAGAGTTTACTAAACGACCCCATCCTACGAGTAGCCGATGATTGGAATACCACTTGGTGTCCAGATTAATTAGATTAGATTAGTCCTACTCTAGTTAGCATGCAATAATACGCATGGAACTGATGTAAGCATACAGTAGTATTTGTGCTGAAATAGTGAAATTCAGGTCGTCGTTGGCGCGTTACATAAGCGCCATGCTTAGCCACAACATCACACTCCAGCCGGCCGACGGCAGCGACTTTCTCTTCATTTTTCGACTTTTTGAATAAGTTGCGTTACTGCAAAGTGCACAGTTGTGTCTTCGCAGAATTTTGCCGTTATAAAGATTTGTAATCCACTATCGTCGACGAGGCATGGTTCCACAGATCGCCAGTCGCACGGAGACGGGTCTAACCAGCGGAGAGCATAGTAACTTCTAATTTGCAGTGGTACGCGATCGACTTGTCTACATGAAGTCATAGCTGGTCTTCCGTAACGGACAGAAGTTAACCAAAGCATTGGAGCTGAATTAGAAAGACCTTCGCTTCGTTTCGGTCAAATCAATTGGCTGTATTTGCACTTGTGCGAACACTAATCACTACTTACTTATTGGTTTGTATCTGTCTGTACGTATCATACGGTATAATTATTGTACGAGAAACTCCAGACTTTATTGAATGCAACAGTTATTACAGATTAACTGAATTGACTTTGTTGAGTAACTTTGAGAGTAACTTTGTTGACTTGCCTCTGTTTTGTACCATCAACAACTACAGATAGCAGAAACTATACATTTGGCGGATAGGTGTGCTGTATCATATGCCAAACGCCAATTTATTATTATGCACTTAAACAACGGACACAGTACACGAACCATGTCTGAGCCACATACTTGAAAACAAAAAGCGTTTATTCACTTGCATTTCAGTAACGTATCGATTCGTTAACTCGGTACTAACAATGCCATAATAAGCGCCGTAAAACAATTGATAATTGTCCCTTTTTGGTGTGTTGTTACTTGTTTGTATCTGATACGACATTAACGTTAGCTACTGGTAAGTAACGCAACCGGAAATAAAACTAAGCACAGTGTGGTCGGATCATTTTTAAAAGTTATGTTTTAATTATGAATTTGACGGCATGATACGGTTGTTTATAACTGTAGTAACTGCCAGTAGAATTACTGGGATCATAGTATTGCACTGATTCTCCAGCTTGTCCAAACTCCCGCTCGCTGCACTCGTACGACGCGTAGGAATTATAATGGAGAATCCGTGGTAAACACGCCGTACCGCTACCGACCGGGATCCGCCCCTCAAAATTCGGCAGCGCCCGTGTCCCGTTGACAATCGGTAGAACGTTACATAATCGCCGGTATTGACGGCAGTCAACTTGCGACCCATCGCACAGCAGCCAACCCGACGGTACCTTCTCCCCGTAGAACATCTGCACTGATCCGGTGGGCGTGGCGCTGAAGGTGGCGTTCTCCGTCTCCACATACAACGGCTCCGGCGGGACGTACACATAATCGGCAAAGAGATTAATACGGCTGGTCAGTTCCGCAGCGGATTTGGTTACCCGCACCTGGACGCTGGTTACCGTGGTCGCACTGTTCAGGCGAGCGGTGTTGGTGCGCATCAGGGTCATCGGTTTAACGATGATCTTCTCACCGTTCCACTGGCTTTTGCCGGCGGCTTCGCGCAGGGTGGATTTGAACTGCTCCCGTTCGTAATTACTGGCGAATGAGTCCGATGTGTCCACAGCGGTGTTGACGCCGGCTTCCACCATACCCCAAAATACGTCGGCGTCGACGCTGACATCGACACTGGTGCTGGAGGCCTGGTTCAGTGTCTCTTTTATCGTATCTTTCATTTGGTCGTCTACTTTATTGTAATATTCGTTCATGGTGCTGGTCACACGATCCGGGCGGGTGTTCTCTTCTTGCCAGAAGACTGAGTCCCACATTTGAGCCTATATAATTCAGCAAAAATTATCCGGTGTACTACACTCCATATGTCATAATAATAATGCTATAATTATATTTATTTTGCGATATGCTCTGTACTTGTACATGCAGCAGATTACAGAATATCACATTTTAATACTTCACACAGTAATAATTCTATATTATTTCTACAATTCAATATAGGTAACTGTAATCGACCGAAGCGTAGCGAAGGTCCTCTATGTTCAGCGCTCATGGAAAACGTGGTGTCTGTCGGTCACCGCCATCTAATGCATATATGCACTGCCTTAAATATTTTTTTCTAATTAGGTTTTTGAAGAATATTTTTTAACATGACTTGCAAAAACATCTCATAAAAATGTTTTGCCATTTTCTGACAGCAGCGGAATATGCATCTGACCGAGAGGTCTCACCCGTTACAGAATTTTTCTCTGCATACTTCATAATCGTAACATTCATTTTTGCAAACTTGTGGTACTAAGTAGAAAAAAGCTATCTATAAATTTACTGGTACGCTTCGGTCATGCAGTGCCTGCCAGAAGCGAGTGCACTTTCCTAGTATTATTAGAATGTAACTGTATTATTATTAGTGTAACTGTAATAACTTGAAAATTACTGTATAAAATTTGTGTTTAGATATTTTACCTGGAACGAAGCAGTGGACTCCGGTTTGACTTGCATTAAGGATTCCAAAATTTTTGTAATGGTGAGCGACTGGTCTTGCCCGATGAACTCATCATCCACAACTTCTGTCGCCATCACGTTATTGGCAATCTCCAGGGTCATCTGCGTTAAGTCGTCTGCTTGCATGTATACGACATCCGTATTAGGGACATCTTGCTTCAAGCGACTATACAACTGTCCAGCTTGCACATGCTCCGCCTTGACCTGAATGATGCGGCGCGCACTGCGCTGAGCAATTAAACTATAGGACACTTGCAGGTCGTAAACGAAATACTGGGGATTCTCCCGCATTTGTTGGGCTAAATCATCGCATGTAGCCTTATTGATGCAGCTGAATCGGAATTCAAATGTTGACGGCTGCGAAGCGTACGACATCCACTGATTGACCATTTCATACGTACTCGGCAAAAGACCTTGAAAAAAGCAGAAGAACTAGTTTTATTAAAATTATTACCGTGAAGCCGCTGAAGCCCGTTGGTATTGTATAAATTGGTGGCACGAACTACTAGAGTTTATCGCCACAGCCATGCAGCATTCTACAAAGTTACTTTTTTTCTTGATTATTTATGTAATTTCTGTGCTCATTAACGCACTTCCTCGTGAATATGTAACATGTTTGTAATGTGAATGAAATAAGAATATTATCTGTTTATAGCACTTATTCTTATTACGTACTTATATGAATATTACGTTTTTTTGCGGCGGCTGTTTGCGTTTCAATCTTTTAATGCGGAATATTATGACGCTATGTATGTTTTTGATTTGGTTTACTTGTTAGTACGATGACTTTTCGTTTTCTCTATGGATCACCAAAATTAATATATTTCGAAAACGCATATTGTTGCCCAGGTGTTAAAATGGATGCATTGGTTTACCTGGTGCTTCGATGCGGATTTGTTCAATGGGAAGAACACGAATGTTTTCTTTGGGAATCTCCGAGCCCAGTTTCGTGCTAACGGCATTTCTAATGAACGCTTCATAATCTTCGTCCCACATGAGCACAGTAAAGCTCATCTCAAAGCGGTTTTGGAGGGTGTTCAGATAGCTTTTGGCGCTCATGGGGTCAATGAATAATCCGGGCGGATAGAAGTAATGCGTCGAGTTGACGTCCAGTATCTGCTTGGTGACGTAGACATTAATGCGGAAGCCCTTGTATATGGCCGACAAGAAGGCATTAGGGTTGACCTCGATCTCGCTCCAGCCTGTCGTGGATTTGCTTAATCCGGGAGCCGCTAAGCAAATAGGCAAATAGTGACATATACGTGACCTTTACTCTATATCCAGTAAAGAACTGACATATATAGTAAAAACTGAACCAGGGCATACGTGTATAAATGTAAAAATGATTTATCTTATTGTGGTAGTAATAAAAACGTGGAGCCTTTACGTATTGAAATATAATATGACCTTTAACAAAGTGAAAACATTTTTGGGCTTAAAACTTATAATGCTTAAAATAAGATTCCAATAAAACATAAAAAAGTTTGAAGTTTAATTGTTCAAAAAATAGATGACCCTTGCTTGGAAGAAAAATTTGAAGGTTTATGTCTAAAAAAATATGCAACCTTTATTACAGCATTAACCCTCCAGCGGGCGGTACCAGAAGGAGTGCGAATTTCCTTTTGAAAATCGGGATTTCCCGATGAAAAAAATCAATTAAGAAAGGGATTTTTTTGTGAGCTTGTGCTGACCATAGGTCAGCGGTGGTGACTAGGGTGTTTGCCAACGCCAATGCCCATGAACGGTCTACTGCATGAAAACGTTTAATTCTGTTGTAATTAAGCGAACAGGAATTACGGAAAAACAATAACTTCAGTAAGTAGCACAAAAAAAGTACTTTAAAGAGGAATACTAAAGTGGTCAAGAAATTGACCACTGGTCAGCAAAACATTTAAAGCTACCAAAACCCGTTTCCATGTGTTTTGAACACTAATACCGCTAAAAAAACAGAAAGCCAGCGATGCTAACAATATTTACAATATTTCATCCTAAAACTTTCGTTAGCCTCACATATGGTACTTCATGAAGCAGTCTTTGTGCAGTTTAACATTGCACTTGCTGCATTTTTGACACGCCGAGCCGCCTTTACACTGCTTGCATCGTCCACGCTTGCACTTTTCCTGCATATGACCACAACTGTCGAAGCGGGCGGCATCAGAAATCGGCGTGGACGGTCCAGTCGCAGTAGTGATTGGCGCCGCTTCACATATAAGCAGCTCTTCAACCAGTTGCGACAGAAACTCAACCTGGGTGAGTTTACCTCCTACTTCACAATGAACTCTCCAGGCGGCAACTGCGATCATTGCAATGGAGTTTGAAAATAGTGGCCACCACCATTTCTTGGAACGCAGCATCGGCCGGAAGTTACTAATGAACCGGTCGCAAAGGTCAACACCTCCCATATGTTTATTGTACTTCGCAATCATCCGGGGTTGGTCAATAAAAACCATTTTCTTCGCGGCACGGCTCCATCGCTTTGCCTTTCCAAGCGGTGTAACGGTATCGTAGTTGGACGCGAGGCATACTGCGGTGTTATCATGCCATTTCACAGCAATCACATTGGCCGTTGAACAGGCAGCGTGGGTTCCACGTTCGGTTTTCTTAAATTTCTTGCTATCCGGAAACGGACATTTCTTCAGGCGGTTTTCGCGCGCCGTACCAGTGGCTCTAAAACCTAGCGCTCGCAACTCCTCTAAAAGTCCATAGGACGTGAAGAAATTATCGAAAAACACACTGTGCGCATCTGGACACTTGACCACAGACAACAAGTTCAGAACAACACGAGATCCAAGTGGCTTCGGTTCGATGACATCCTTGCCGGTAGCGTCCTTTCCGGTGTACACGTAAAAGGTGTACGGATATCCCCGTGATCCACACAGCACCCAGAGCTTGTACCCGAACCGGCATGGTTTGCCTCTCATAAACATCTTGCACGAATGATGTCCGAAATAAGGAATCATCTCTTCATCCACGCTGAGAAACAGGTCAAATATTCCGAACTGAAGAAGTTTTTCCTGGAGAAGAGCGAAAAATGGGTTAACTTTTGCCATTTTATCCTCCGGATCCAAGTTGTCGTTGTCGGCCAGATGCAAATACCTTTTAATTTTCTAGAAAATATAAAACAAAGTTAGTGCCGACCGCCCGGGGTGTCGACCAACAAATGCGTTTTTTGTGAGTTCCTGCAACCGGAAGTACATGTCGCCCGTTTTATATCCAGAGCGACAGGATCTGATCCTGAGTACAGAATAAAAAAATCTGCGTTTATGGCACCCGCCCAAGGTGACGGCAAAACTGAACTAACATAATTTGTGTGTATTTACCCACCTCAAATCGTTTACATGACATCTTCGAGGAAACGGCCGGAAAGCTAAACAATGCGGAGCGCATCCAGAAGTGCCTCGTAGTAGGCAGCTGCACAATTCCGCTGTACAAGAGTATTCCGATGAACAAAAAGAGATCACGCATTGGAAGCTGGAAATCTGCATTGTCTTGTTTGGCATATCGTTCGGATTCCGTGATAATATGAGCCGCAATAATGTCATCAAAATACATCTTGAAAAGTTCAAGCGGTGTCTTGCTGATGAGCTCTGGATGTTCGTTTGCGAGCTTACTCGGCGGTCCTTCAGCGTTCTCTGGAAATGGCACGAAAGCGCTCTCGTCGGGCTTCCAGTCTACTTCCGGTCGGAGAACGGCGCCTTTCTTTCGCTTCGGAGCTGGAACTTCTTCGGCTTCTGAATCAGTCTCGTAGCATACATCGAGATCTTCGGCCACATCTTTGGGCATTTGTGGTCTCAGATCATTTTCATCGATATCCTCCGTATCCGAGCACACACCAGCTTCCGGTGGAAGACAAACAATGTCAATCTCCCGGTGCGGCCTATTTGTCAACTCTTCAAAAATATCCTTTGCCTCTTTTAGCGTTCTTGCCCGAGTTTGGGGCATTTTTAAAAGCACGCATTGAATACAAAAAATTACTATCTTCCAAATTTCCACTCGGGAGGAAATGCAAAATAAAAAAGTGGGAAATCACAGCAATGGATGGTGCACTAAGCAGTCGCAGCTGTGGAAGCATTACCGGCTTTGTTGCTGCAAGTTGGTTTTTTTTCAAGCGCCAAATTGTTAGTTGACAAACCACCACTGCAGTTGCTCAACAAAGACAGTGCAGAGCTCTTCTGCTTCACAGCGGAGGTGGTTTTTTTAATTTTTCAATATTTTTAGTAGAATTTTTTTGTTTGCAATCAAAGTGTTAACAATCATGGAGATTATGGAATTATTATTTACGGAACGTGAACTAATTACGCCACAATGGTTGAAAACGATTGTACAGAAGCAGATTGATTGTGGGAACACTGGCAAGAAAGCGCGGAGCGAGATTTACCGTGCTGTATACTGGAAACTGAAGGTGCGTGTTTTCAGCCAGCTAAAGCTGTATACATTTTGAAGAGTAATCATTTATGAGTATTTTTGTGGTTTTATGATTTTATTTAGTGTTTTTACTCACGGTTCTGTTAGAATACAATGAGCAGTTTTTTTCTTGATAACAGAACGGCAAGAAGCTGGAAGGGATCAAAACTGCTGTATATCCCGCTTGTCTGGTGGATGCAGTGTGGGAAATGTTCCCAGATGACAACAAGCACCAAGATGTAAGCACCATGTGCAATAATCATTCAAAATTTTTAATTAGCAGTTAGAACGGAAGCTATCTGACTCTGGTTTCCATATTCGCAGTACGGCCCGTCGAACGTGACGCTACAAGACATTGCGAGTGTACGATGAATGGATTACAGCGCACCTGGCCAGTTCCATGTACTTTTAGACCCTTCATGGGCAATGGCGTTAGCAAGCAACACGTGTTTTTGACGGACAATGGCCTTGTAATGCTGGACTTTTAGATAACATGATGGACTTTTCTGAATAAAGCATCATGAATTGTACCTTGCTGATTTATCTCAAATTTATTGAATCATCGACTAGAAAGTTATTGACCAAGGCATCGGAGAGTTCAGAAAAGTCAAAATTAGCGATTTTCGCGCACCTGTAGTTTTTAATTAACTTGAGGTGCAAGGTTGAATAATGTTTTTACTGCTACTTTAAAGTCCCTTATTGCTTATAACGCTATGGGATAGCGAATATCTGTTACTGATCGTTGGGGAAAAAATCGCAAACACCATGTTGCGCCCTGACGCCAATGCCCGTCAACGGGTTAACTCTGGCAGCATTGAAATTCACTCTCTGTTTCATCCTTTATTTAGGCGAAAATGCAGCATGACTGTCACTAACAGGATCGACTACTTGCATGTGGGTCTTCACCGAGCGCTCCCGTTCTGTGTCATTTTTGCACATTACCCGCAAAGAAAACGCGGTACAAGACACAGTCATCCGCACTGTCTCCGAATCGGAGACATATCCTTCAAAATACGCTACAAAGTTGAAAGGTCATGGTTCTACAAATATGTGGTTTTCTGTATGATATGCATAAACAGCAAAAAAAGTTTTAATCTAGAGTACGTGTGCAACCCCAGTGACCTTTGGTACTGTAACCGCAAGCACAAGTTAGACCACAGAATGTGGTGTACGGATAAATGTGCCCGGCAGGTAAAAGGCTTGGTTCGGTCGGACCGAACCAAACAGTGGTCTATAACTTGTGCGAACGGCTACACTACACTCGATGCGATCATTGACAGTTGACCCAAGCTTTTAACGGCGTCCCCAGTCACGGACAGCTTCCTGACAAGAATCTTTGCCCAGCGTTTATTCGGTGTTACATAGCGATTCAGAATGGTTGTAGTTTAACAGAGACAAAATGTGTTACTCCCAGTGTAGTGTAGATATTCTTAAGCTCCACAAAGAGTTCAATGAAACGTCATTCTATGGAATCGGCCTAAAATGCAAACGCAACCATTCTATGGAATCGGCCTAAAATGTAATCGTTTTTTTAATAACTAATTTACGCGACTTTGATAACCAACAATCAGTACAGATCTGTATACAGCATAGTATTTATGAAAGGATGGGATCATTGAATATAAAGCTAAGTACAGCTTCTGCGGAATGAAAAAATAATAATATTGATTTGAAAAAATTTTGATAAACATTCTGCTCCGGTACGTAACGACAACAGGGTATTCTGCCGGATGAAGCTGGCGTATGCTGCAGCTGGATTTCACCAACTGTTCTGCAGATATACAGTACGAGGGTACTCCCCCTGCATGATTATGGGTTGCTGGCTGATCTGAGCCATCTCCATAACATGAAGTCATGAACACATTTTTAGCTATACCGGCATCATGTAGTAAGTGCACCGGCAATGTCAGGCAGTGAGGCTGTGAGCCTCCCGCAACTTTGTGCGCACGCATAACTTTCCCCTGTGTGTGCTTGTGCAGGATACAACTGATGGAAGCGTATTACAGTACTGCCAGTCAGGTTTCAGCACGTTTTCTGCTTTCTTCGTCGGTCTAGGGTTTCTGGGTCGCTGCACAGTTGCGTGCATCTTCGCGAAATTTTGCCGTTACCAGGTTTTGTATATTATACACAAGCAGGACGCGCGGCGGTTACGCGCCGCGCTGACGCGGACCACGGTTTCAAACGGTTTAAAAGTGTGGATACCGCACGCGTGGCCTTCGGAGACCAAAAGGCCTTTGGTGACCAAAGGCTTAATAAGGCGGGTACCGCACGTGTGACCTTCGGTGACTTAAGACTTAAAGGCCTTCGGTGATCAAAGGCTTAAAAACCTTCGGTGACAAAAAGGCTTAAAAAGGTGGCTACCGCACGCGTGGCCTCCGGTTACCAAAGGCTTTAAATGGTGGATCCCGCACACGCACCTTTTGGTTTCGAAAGACGTAAGTCAATCACTAAGTACTGATTGACCGCGTGGCCTCCAGTTATAAAAAGCTTGAAGGCGTCAAGGCGGGTTCTTAAGGTTTCGTAAGCTTAGTAAATACTAAAACTAAAGGTGTAATCTGGATAATCTGAATATTTGGACTGATCATCGTAGGGGTACTAAGAATTTGAAAGCTTAGTACTAATGCTAAAAGGAGGATCTGGCTGATTTGGCTATCCAGGCAATCTCGTACAGGTGCTTAAGTTTTGGATGGTACTGGATGATTTGGTAGTTCAGGCTGATCGGGTAGTTTAGAGTGATTGAGCAGTTCTGGCTGATCTGGTAGTTCTGGCTGATCTGGCAGTCCTCGATGATCCGGTAGTTAAGGCTCATCTGGTAGTTTTGGCTGTTTTGGCAGATTGGTAGATTTAGCCAATTATGAAAGTTTGCTACGGTGCAAAGGTTTTAAAAGCTTAGAAAGGACAAACGATTAAAGAAATAGGTATCAAAAGCTGGAAAGCTCAAAGGCTATGGCTATTTTGCCGCAGTATAACAATAGGGGTCTGAATAGCCCTCAGGCTAGTTTGCCGCACACTGCGCCGGAATAGCCAGTTGGCTATTTTGCCGCACTATGGTGGCCGAAATAGCTTGTTGGCTATTTTGCCGCACACTGCGTTAAAACAGCCCGTTAGCTATTTTGCCGCAGTATGGACGGGAATAGGGTAATTATATTAGGGGATACTCGCTAGTCGGTAATACGGGCAACTCTGCCAACACATTCCCTTAAAATGCCCGCACTAGTTATCGGTTCATTGACTTTCCTCGACATTAGAGGCTTACAACTAGTGCGGGCAATTTTTTTGGATTCGCTATCTCTTAAAGAAAGAGTAACAGCGTGCGAGTTACGCTAAGAGTTTGGATATTCATGAAAGTAAAAAGGATTTTGGGTTACACCGCCAGTTACGTTAGCATAGACGAGACAAGAGACCTCGACTACGCCTCAGGTGCATCTACGATCAAAAGTCGATTTCTTTAGAGTAAAGTAATGTTGGTGTTATTTGAAATTTAGGCGACTGGAAAGTAATGTTGGTGTTATTTGAAATTTAGGCAAAGGCAAGAAGTGCTTTTTATATATCCAAGATTTTATCAAAATAGTTTTGTCCGCCATAACGAACTAACACCAGACAGATATTAGTCTTTCATTGAGACAATTGCGTAGTGCGCGTCTGTAACCATCCAAAACGACCGGTCGTCTCAGACGATCGCCGGTCGTTTTAAACGGTTACACACGTCGGAAGCCAGGTGACATTTTAGTCGAGCCTTTAGACCAGCCGCAGTTAACAAAGTGGACGGAACACCGGCACGGCAGCCTGATCACTCGGACCAGAGAGAGCGGACCAGCTCACACCAACGGTTACTCAGCAGAATTCGACCGAGAGCTCAGGACTAGTCGACCATACCGTCGCCGGTCGACACTTTTCGAGCCGGAATTGTTCCAATGTCTCTAGTAGACGGCAGCCCGGAATCGACACCGAAGGCGGACATAACTCGACCCGACCCGAACGAGCCGGTATTTCAGACGCCGAAAGGACAGCAGTTTTAAAAACTAGCGGGCCGCCGGACCAGATACCCGATGGCACGATAAATGGACAATTGGCCCATCTGGGAGTCCACTTAGCAGCCGCCCGGAACATGACTGACCGGAAGAAGGCAACCTTGGCGGAAAAGGATTCGACTTTCACCACCCTGAAAGCGGAGAATGCGGACATGGTAGAAGACCAAGCGGGATGGAATTAGGCCGGCGAAAACTTCGGAAGCCCAGTGGGCACGAATTGGCCTGGCCCGGCACGACGCTGGGGAACGGAGATGACGGACGGGTACAAGGAGCAGGGAACGGCGCAAGCACCTACGCTTGGAAACCTGAGCGATCACCGGCTAGTGCTGCATGCCGGAGAACCATGCGACGGCAATGAGTAAGTTCGCGGCTGGCGACCTGAACTAGAACCCATACCAACGCAGGTACCAGGATTGGCGCCGTCGCTAGAACGCCGGATTACCCGTCAGAGCGGCGAATCCTGACCATCCCGGCCTGGCGCTTCCACCTTGAACACTAGATTTCGGTTGGCCAGACTACCGGCAACGGGGTTCTTAGTTTCCAGGGCAGCCGGAGCCAGAGAGCGCGCAGGACGGAATTCGCCCTGGGAGGCAACTGGATTGACCGTGATGGTTGCCTTGGGAATCCTTGCGGAAACAATCAGAGAATGCAGCCAGTGCGCTAGCTAATGCCTCCCTTGACTCAGCAGCCGCCGCCAATGGTGCAGTCAGGATGCAGTCGGGATGCTCCTGTTTATTAACAGCAACATCAGCCGATACTGCAGCCTGGAAAATCAAGCGCACCCGACGGCGGCAATAGCGGCGCCGGCGTTCCAGCTAGCCCAGATGGCATAACAACAGCAGCCGGATCACCAGCAGCCGCTGATGTACCAATCCGGACCAATATGCGCTCCGGTGCAGCAAGAAAAGTTGAGCGGCTGGTTGGCGTCCGTCCAGATGCCCAGACAGATGTTCGGCAGCCGGGCAGGGTTACACAATACCTGAACGTCTAGCAAACTGCAGGTGACTTACTCGACCTCTACTAAGACGCAGGACATAAATGGAGCGGGAAGGACAAACACGACGCCGGGCGGCACGCTTGCGCCTGAGCAGCAAGGTGGTTGGGGTGTCCCTGTGCAGCTTAAACAAGCGCCGGTTAATAAGGTCATCTCCGCGCAGCGAGTGACCCAGAGTGAAATATGAATTTCCTCGAAACCAAATGACGGATTCTACCAAAAGCAGCAAAACGAGACCATCAAACCGCCGTTCCCGGCTGTGCCGTTCCCGGCTGTGCCGTCCCCGGCTGTGCCGTTCCACGGCTGTGTCGTTCCACGGCTGTGCCGTTCCACGGCTGTGCCGTTCCACGGCTGTGCCGTTCCACGGCTGTGCCGTTCCCGGCTGTGCCGTTCCCACAAGCTATCGGCTGTTAGGATGAAAGGTGGCACGGCCGGCAACGATGCTGGCCGAAGACGCTCTTACTGATACAACACAATTACACACGTGTCTCCGATTGGGATGAAGCTGGTTCATCCCAAGCGGTCTAACGCAACAACGTAACTGAAGGCATGTTTAATGACAAGGGCAATGCAAGAAACGGAGCAAGAATCAGCGCAAGAGCTGATCAAAGAGATGGTGCAAGCTGAGCACAAGACTGAATTCCAGAAATTCATGAGAAGGTAAAGGAGCCGTACAGAGCTCATTGAAAGTGCGCGGCGAGACAGCTGCAATACTGATGTGGCAAAATAGCCAACTGACTATTTTGCCGGCCATAGTGCGGCAAAATAGCTGAGCAGCTATTTTAAAGAACAGTTAGCAAGCTAAGTGCAGTTAAATTCGTGGCAAATTCCCTGTACTGCTTTGTTAAACGAAAACAGCAGAGGATTAAATCGGCAAACTGAAACGTATCAGATTGTCAGATCGACTGAACAGAAGGCGAGCCAACTGACTACTGTCGCACATGCGATATTTGAAAGACGCCTTAAGAGCGGCCGGCATATCAGAGTACGAACAGCTCCTGTACTGGACGACGTTCGCATTCCTGTTCTTCGGCTTCTTCCGTATTGGAGAAATAACAGCAGCCGCCGCCAACCGTTTTGACCCACAGCGGATTTTGTTATGGGGGGACGTAATGGATGCTGGCCACCGCCTAACGGTGCAGCTGAAGGTCACAAAGACGGACCAGACGGGGCAAGGTAGTTCTGTAGCGCTGACGGCGACTGGGCGTTCAGTCTGTCCCGTGCAGGCATACCGGAATTACCGTGCTCGCGTTTCGGAGCCTGCAAACGAGCAGCCGCTGTTGCAGCGCGAAGATGGCAAGTACGTCACGAGGGCAGATGTGGAGAAATGCCTCCGCCTCCTCCTCAAGAATCACCCCGAGAGAGAACGGTTCAACACACACAGTTTTCGTATCGGCGCGGCAACGACGGCCGCCGGCAATAACGTGCCTGACCACGCCATTCAACTGGCTGGACGCTGGCGGAGCAACTGTTACACCCGCTACGTTCGCCACTCCGGGCCACCTGTGACACTGAATCCCTATCGGACCGGATAGATTGTTTGGGGGCAGTCGGGCGGAAGTGGGGATATCGGAGACTCGAACCGGTGAGGTCATCACCTGCACCTTCGATCTCGTGTATGCCGCCGCGCCGTCGACCTGTTCTTCCCGCAAACGCCCAACTCTGTCTGCCGTTCGAGTGTACGGAATTTCCACAAGAATTTAACGCAGTGTGCGGTAAAATAGCCAACAAGCTATTTCGCCCACCTTAGTGCGGCAAAATAGCCAACTGGCTATTTAGCCGCAAACACTGCGGCAAAATAGCCACTTCGTTAATATAATGATTGTCGCGGTCTATCACGAGCCAGCCATAGTTCACGAACACCGAGCGTCGAGGAATGGTTCCACAGATCGCTAATCGAATGAAGGCGGTTTTATCCAGCGGCGAACTTAGCGACATCAAATTTGCAGTAGGACGCGATCATGGTGACTTGAGGATCTTTCCAGCCCATAAGTAGGAACAATGGAGCTGTGTTTTCGTTTCTTAATCTACGGTAAGACGAAAAACGGTTCTTCATGATGTACGCAGGTTTGCCTTGAGCATCAGCAGCGATGTCTTCCACACAATGTTTCACGGTAGCTTGGCCGAACGCGAGCTGGATACCATACACATCCCCGAAATCGCTCCCGATGCCTTCGAAATATGCTGAAGTACACCATTTCACGCTCTTTTATCTGCTGTGGTACTATTTCATACCACGAATCAGCGGTTTGTCTGTCAGCAGTGCCTGATGTAGCGTGTTCGCGACAGTAACGAGTAGCTGCAGGCTGTAACAGTAGCACAGCGGTAGCAGTATTCAAGTACTTCGGTTACGCCTTTTATTTTTGGTTCGCAAGACTCTAAATAGGGTTTCATGCAGGCACATCTATATGATTTAGTGGACAACCTTAAAGGGGAGAACGTTGTACAGACTTTGTATTGTGCTGACAAATACGATTTGCCATGGCTGGCTAACCGCTGCGCCGACTTTATCCTCAACCAAATGAAGCCCGACAACTGTCTGCTCTATCTGGAAAAGGTTAGTGGTACAGTAATCAAATAACTATAATGACGTCTACGCCTGCCGCAAACCAGTTTAATGATGTTGCGCTTCTAACTTCTGGCGCAGGCGCTTCGTTGGACGCCGGATTCTGACAGGATTGTGGAGAGATGCCTGCATATTGCGGATGAGTTTAGTCTGATCGTTTTCCAGTCAGATCAATTTATTGTAGCTGGTCCGAAAACTCTGGAGATGATTCTGCAACGGGATACGTTAGCGGCTGAGGAGTACGTTATATACAAAGCCGTGGAAAAGTAAGCAGTCATCTGTGGCCGGCAAAACCGCTTGCTAGATACTAATTCCATTAAAGTTATTAAACCGCCGTATAAAGTTAAGTAATCTCACCAGCGCGGTATTGATAATTTCATACAATGTAGAGATTTGACATTAAGCAGGATTTATGCAGAAGTTCTGCAGCAGAACTGCTTCAGTATTACGTAGAAGTGGGTAGAACATTGCAACAGTGACAGAGTGGCACTGTGAAACTGACAGATTAGCACCGTTCGCAATGTTGTCCATACATTTTCGAAATAATTTTTTTAATCGAAGACCCTCTTATAATTTTCTCCTTGTTTTTGAACAGCACATTTAAAGCTTCAGTGTTGCACAAAAAAAGTTCAGTAATGCAAAAACTGTGCAATACTACACTCGTACGGTATTTTGATCTCTGGCTTTTACTGTAGATGGGCTGATGCGGCGTGCACGCGTCAGAATTTACCGTCCTCGTGTGGTAATCGGCGCCTGATGTTGGGTGATGCTTTGTGTCTTGTCCGTTTCCTCGTCTGACTGACGCTCAATTGGCGGACGGTCCCGTACAGGTTTGAATGGCTTCGGGCTTTCTGTAGTTAATTAAACGTGGCGGTCAGCTTAGATTCAAGTCATTTAACTCTGCTTACGTATGTGTATTATGCAGAGTATGCTACTGTATCCAACAGAAGTGTGCGTAATTTACTTACGCAAGCATTCCACAACTAATGACAGCTTCCAGCAACCTTCGGAATTCTCCGCGAAACCCCGCAAGCATATTCTGAGTCGCGTTTTGGGGCTCTTGTGCCAACAGGAAGAGAAGATTTTCTTCCTCTCTTCCAACAGTTATTGGTATCCCGGTGTAGTTGGTGTCCCGAACTAAGATCCTGCATACTCCTCGTTATAATGACGAGAAACCAAAAGCCTCAACAGTGGAAATCATTAGCGCGGTGGATATTCTGAAGCGGGGTCTGGCCGTGTATGCGCACATTGATGGATCCTACAAGGAGGCAACGTACGGCTCAAAGCGGGATGGTCGACATACGGTCATCGTTGCGACTCGAGAACTCACTGTGACCTTTCTGGTGCTAAAAATTACCAGCAAACAGATCGACGAATGGAAAGCGGCTAAAAAGTAGTGCGCTGAAATCTTAGTAGTGCGCTGAAATCTTACCAAAAACGCTAGCCGTTGATATGTTTTAATAATTATACGTCTTAAGGGATTTGGCCCGGTACATAGCACCAAGTTCGTGAACATCCAGGGGAAGTTTCGCTGGTGCGCGCTCCCAAAACCTTTTTTGCATTGCTTTATGGTATTTTGTAGCCAGAAGAATTGTTTACCAAGGTGAGAAAACCGTTTGCGCGCGCAACATCCGGTTGCGAAGTTATGAGGGTATCAAAATTCCAAAAAGTTTAAATACATTCAGGTGTACCAAAAGTCTCATTATGGACCAATCCCTTTCAAATTTTGCGCGTAAATGCACATTCCTGCCTTGTTGGCAGACTGAATAAGACTAACAATTAACTCACTGTTAACTTGTGGAAGATGATTGGCAAAGCGTTGTACATTTGACATAAAAAATCCGTTCCGTTTATTTACAGACGTGGTTAGTTTACAGACCTAGTTAGTTATATTTTCTGTACCTACTCCTAGTTAGTTTTCTGTGCGATTATGCCGTGAGATGTGACGCGGAATGCTCAGAGTGTTACAGGAACTGTTGCATCTCATGCTAACTGAAATGGATTCTACATTTACTGTACAGTAGATACTGCCAGCGAAGTAATTTGTTAACATCGAATAAAACCATAACACATTTACTATGGCACTGTTCGTTTCTGCACTGCTGGTTCCTGATTCCTACAGCCGTGAATATTGCCCGCCAAACTGGAGTTTTAGAAATTTAAGAATATTTGTTGAATTAGCAGTGAATTAGTTGTAGTGTATCAGGCTCAGCAGTTGTCATCCCGATCCTACGCAGCCACGGCAGTGAGATGGAGTTGAGGGAACTGGGACGTTGCCACGTTGAGTAGGCATCCGCTTGCTTGGCGGGCATGTGACAAAGGCTAGAGCAAATCCAAATCAAAACATAGGGTTTAATAGTGTGAAACACATTTCGATCGCATTAAATGAAAGTTAAGTGTAACTTAGCTAATGTTAAATTGGCGTAATTTACGAATTCCTGTACAGTTGTTTCCCTGTTAATCCCGGCACCGGCAGCATGGTGCCGTGTGCATTTTGCCTTTCGCGCGTTACAGCTCACTCTCACTCGCATTCGTGTTTTCGGCTACATTCATGCTGTTACGTCGAATTTCTGGAATTTTCGCTAAAATCTTCCAGCAATACACTTCGTGTCGTTAATTAACGGTGATCAGAAGCATTCTGCATAATGCCACCAAAGAAAAAGCCTAACCGAAACCTTAGCCCGAGAAAAACGCGCTCTGGCGGTGGCATCAGAGGAGGCCGGGCTCCACAATCAAGGATGCGTCCCAGTCGAAAACGCGATCGATCCCAGTCCCCTGCTCCTACAATCAGGTCGAAAGTCGTAGTTGTGGATCCACCGGCACCCGATTTGCAAATCGTGATGGTGCGACAGGACCAACAGCAGCGACAAATCTAACAGCTCCTGGATATTGTCACATCGCTGGCAACCAGGGAGCTTGGGGTTCCCCGGCCTGTTTCTCCAGCAACTGCATCTGTCATCCAGATTGAGTCGCAGCCGGACGGAAAAAGGGATGTGCATCACAGCAGAGGAAGCAGCGGACGCGCGCATCGCCGACGAAGAGGTAAGAGCAGCAGTTCAGGAGCCGCTCGTCGTCTCGCAGCCGCTCACCCGCCCGCCTGCCGATTTTTGACCGTCTGGATCCCTGCGGAAATCAACGAAGCGGATACCGCGCATCATCGTCCGCTCGCAACGCTCTGCTCGATCGGGCGAAGCACCTGCCAGCGGTCCCCAGCAGGGTTCGCCGGCGACTGGCGGACCCAACGCGGTACGTCGATTTTGATTGCTTGCTACCAAAAAACCGGGTGGAAAAACCGAAGCATGGAGGCTCCAAGCTAGTAATGTCAAGAGGACACGTCGTGTTAAAGCCAAACGAAGTGCGCGTAGTCGTTGACTCCTTCACCTCCTGATCCGCGCCTTTTCCGTGTTTCTGGCATACCGCGTCACAATCGTGCCGGAGCTAGCTACAGCCCTGGCTAAGTATCAAGATCTGATTGCGGCATACGTCGACCGGGGGGTTCCGACCGCCCATTGGCTCGAATATGACCGGCAATTCAGATCGCTCATGACCAGCCACCCTCACGAAGTTGACATGTGGGCCCGCCAGCATGACGACACTTACGCCGATTATATCCAAAACGCCGTGCCAGAGGAGGCTGCCAGCGACAGCGCCCCAGAAAATAGATTGAAGAAGACAGCAGCCTCCACGGACAAATGCCGGAACTGCGGAGAGCTGGGGCACTTTATCGCCCAGTGCAAGCAGCCACGCCGCGGCCAGGCGGGTTACGTATCGCCCTTTTGTCCCGCCCCAGCAGCGGGGGGCGAAATCTGCCGCAATCGTAACTACGGCCACTGCACCGAAGTTGACCGAACCATGCAAATATCGGCGCCTTTACGTCTGCGAGCACTGCCGGAAAAAGGAACACAAAGCACCCCAGTGCAAAGCCGGAAGTCGCTGAGCCGTCGAGAGTTCCCTCAAGCGCTTGGACGCCCCTGCGTGCCGACGCTTTTGCCAGGCTGCTCACGGATCATCCCGATAAAAACCTCCGTCAGTTCATCCTTAACACCTAGCACACCGGAGCTGACATTCGGTATACAGGACCGCAACAAAGCCGGTCCACAAGTAATTCACAGTCCGCACGAATTCACCACGACGCGCTCCTGAAAAGCATAAGAAAGGAGGTTTCGCTGGGTCATACCGTCGGGCCCTTCTCCGCTCCTCCGCTGCCTCACTTCGTTGTTAACGCGCTGGGCTGCCGTCCAAAAAAAGACGGGGGCCATCAGACTATAATGGACCTTTCCCAACCGTACGGAAACAGCGTCAACGACCACATAAGGGGCGATGAAATGCCCTTGCAGTACTGTTCAGTCGACGACGCTGTACGCCTAGTCGTGACCGCCGGCAAAGGCGCAGTGATGGCCAAGATGGACATCAAGTCCGCGTTTCGCCTCATTCCCGTCAGACGCGCTGACTGGAACCTGCTGGGGTTCAAGATTAGCGGTGAGTACTTTTTCGACATAGTGCTACCGTTCGGTTGCCGCTCTTCACCTTATATCTTTGAATTCTTCTCCCTTGCTGTTCACTGGTGTGTGGGAAAGAGAGCACAGCTAGTTACTTTGCTACACTACGTAGATGATTTCTTTTTCGTTGGCAAACCTCGGACGATCGAGTGTAATCTGCTCATGCAGTCTATGGAGGCAGTGTGCAGCGAGCTTGGGGTGCCATTAGCTCTGGGCAAAACAGAGGGCCCCGCCACTCGGCTGACATTCCTCGGCATAGTGCTTGACTCGGTGGTGCAGACTCTCAGCCTGCCCAACAATAAGCAGCTGGACATATTGGAAACCCTAAAGAAATGGGTCGGAAGGGAATCTTGTACCACTAACGAGCTGCAAAGTCTGATCGGTACATTGTCCTTTGCCTCAAAATGCGTACCATCCAGTCGGCTGTTCACGAGGCGAATGATAATGCTGCTTTCCGCCTTCCATGGACGTTCCACTATCACCCTCACCGACGACTTTCACAGTGATCTGGATTGGTGGAGAACGTATCTGCCACAATGGAACGGCACGGCCCTCTTCCTGGACCCTGACTGGACCACCTCCGACGTACTGCACCTTTATACAGACGCATCCGCCACGCTTGGTCTGGGAGCCTTTTATCAAAACGAATGGTTCCAGCTTAGGTGGCCGAAGTGGATCCTGCAACGCCCGCCATCAATTGAGTACCTGGAGATGGTTCCCATCCTCCTCGCGGCTATTGTTTGGGGGCGGATTTTGTGGCGACGAAAAATCATTTTCCGTACTGACAACGCCGGCGCTGTGGAGGCATGGGCACGCCTGCGCTCCAGCAGCCCGGGCGTCCTTGATCTTATGCGGCGCTCGACGCGGGCGGCGGCAGATAATAATTTCACCCTAACCTTGAAACACGTTCGCGGTGTTGATAACGGAATAGCTGATGCCTTATATCGTTTTCAGACGGAGCGGTTCCGAAAGCTGGCCCCTCAGGAGTCGCAGTTGCCAACACCATGTCCGGACATTTTCGGGAGCCTACAGGAGTCTTACGACCAAACCCGACTCTGCAGCGCCTCCTCGGCGCAAACATTTCCTCATCCTCCCGAACGACATACGATCCTTCATTGAGCCGTTTCCAAGCTTTCTGCCTTGCCAATCGCCTAACACCACTCCCAGCAGCTCCGGCGACGGTCGCGGCGTTTGTCGCGCAGCTTTTCGAGGACAAGGCAGCTTATCGGACATGCAAAGTGTATTTGGCGGCGATCCACAATCATCATCGAGAAGCAGCGTTGCCTAACCCAACAGCCGACGACCTGGTCGTGCGGGCGGTTAACGGATACAAGCGGCTTAAGGGGCCGACGCCTGATCAACGTCTACCGATTACGCTGAACGTGATGCGCATGCTCAAAACGCGACTGGCAGAGCACGATAACACTGAAGAGGCCGTGATGCTATGGAGCGCGTTCTGCATGGCTTTCTTTGGGTTCATGCGAGTCAGTGAGCTGGTCAGCAAGACGTCCAGCTTGTTCGATGCGGCATCAACTCTGACATGCAACGACGTACAGTTGACGGGCGCGCGTGTGATAGTCTCACTGAAACGGACGAAATCGGACCAGTTCGCAGCAGGCACAAAGATCGAGCTCACCGCCACTAACCGCTCAGTGTGCCCTGTCCGCGCTATCGAAGCTTACCACCGGCAGCGGGAGATGCAATGGGGAATGGCAGAACCTTTCTACCGCTATGCCGATGGTCGCTATCTCACACGGGAGCGAGTGGATCGATCCCTGAAGTCTCTCCTGGATGGCCACCCCGACCGCCTGCGCTTCAGTACACACAGCTTCCGCATCGGAGCGGCAACCGAAGCGGCCGCTCAAGCGCTGCCGAACGAGGAGATAAAACGAGCCGGACGATGAAAAAGCGACTGCGTTGACCGTTACATCCGGCCTGACGCGCTCACTAACCCGAACTTTTACCGGAAAGGGGCTTGTTTGGGGGCGAAGAGACCGGGCACAGGCGGAAGGTGCCGGCAGTGAGCAATCTGTACCGCAAGGTAAGATACTCAGCTGTAATTGCGCACTTCCGGCCATGCCGGCACTCTTCAAACCTCAGTTACCGCACGGAAAGTCTGCAATATCCCAACATACCGGATCCCAGGATAGAAAATTCGCTTACAATTTAATTTGATAATACGAGGGGTAATTACGAGTATATGTTGAGTATGTCCGCGTTCTTGTTTCACCATTTTCCATGTTCGACGTTCGTTTTCCATTTTCGACACTTTGTTACCATTTTCCATGTTTTAAAACCAGAATAGTGTGCGCTCATTTTTTGCCGTGTGGATATAAGTTAGCACTTTTCACCTCCTTCGCCACAAAAACCAGCTTTGCAAAGTAGATTTGCGACCCACTTGCACGAATACAAGTTACAACTGTACTCGTGCAAGTGGGTTGTAACTTGTAAATACATTAACTTCGGCAAAGTCCCTCTTCAGATTGTTGTTTGATTTACATATATACATATCATGGCTGTACTTACTCGTACCCGAGGTTTATACAAGTGCACTACTCCTAGTATTAACAGATACAAAACGCAGTTAACTTTTGCGAAAAGCGGGTTACGTTGTTGCATGTGCGTCAAGTAAGTACAGTAGAGAACAGTCTGTTTGTTATCGAATGAAGCTTACTAATGTTGCTACGTTGCCAAGCGGTTATGGCGGTGGATGAGTTAATCGTGCTTCTTTTGCAGTTCATGTTTGCCATGTCTAAAATTAATTACCTATTTCAACAGTCGGCTATACATGGATAACGCTTGCAATTCATAAAAGCTTGACGCTCTTGTACTTCCTGAGTTGTTACCAACTTCCGAAGCTGTATAACTTCCTAAGTTGTTACCATTTTCAATTTTAAGATGGAAATTGCCCGTGACATAGCAAAGAAAATATTTGCAATGTTAATGTGTACAGTGGAGATGTCTGTTGCCGGACGCGCTGCTTGGTATCCGTCTCTTAACGCCCAAAATGACGCTGCAAGGCTCGCAGCGCCACCAAAGGCAGTCGTTCCATGCTGCCTTGATTCCCGTACCGCCGAACCAATTCCTACCCGTCATCTCGCTGGTGAGTACGGATTGCTAACTGAATTAAGTTTAGGACATATCCGTAGAGCAGCTGCAAACTGTTTTCGATCGAGTGCAAAAAGACACCTCGAGCGTCTGCAGTACGAGCCAAACATGCTGTGCAAAGCTGTCGAAGTACTGAGTTTTTTATTAATTTTATTTTCAGCTCATTGCGCATTTTGTGATGAAAAGTGGTTTTGCTAGCGGTTTAAAATGTTGTATTCCTTACTGCTGGTAATTTTTCTTTACTTCTTCGTATAAATTACTTCCCGTTTAAGTACGTTCATTGCTTTTTGAGCCAAAAGGTTAACCTTTAGAACCTGATAATTACTCTGTTCTGTATGCTCCTAGAATACCACTTCTTTTCATACTCTTTTCTCTAAACCTGCGTTTGTTGACCAGTAACAATACACGTATTTCCCAATAGTGACGAGTACCGTCTTTAGCAAAAATGCTTGTACCAGAGAGCCTATAACGGTCTGAACGTGTTGGCCTGCTAACACAGCTAAATAAATGTTAATCGACGAAGAGCTTTAAATGTTAATCGACGAAGAGCCTTTTTAACGCTAAATTAGGACGGTAAATGTTTTCACGGCGGCAAAAGCATAGATAATGCCGTAATAGTAAATTTTGAAAAGGCGAACTGAAACTGCCAATAAGGCCAAAGGAACAGCTGAAGTGAACTAACCAGAGCAGAATTTCAGGTTTTAAATTCGAAAAATTCCGGTATTATGTAGAGAGATAGAATATTACTGTAGAATACTTGAAAAAATAAGGCCCGGAGGGCGGAGCCAACCAAAATATGAATGAGTACATAGTAATACATACTACGAGTACGTATTACAATGCACCAGTGCATTGCAGGCGGTTCTTTATAATACTCGTATACCGTAATTTTATTTTGCACTAGCAGTGCCCGTACAGTTGTCGGCAACCAAAGTAACCGAATTGCGCAATACGAATGTAGGTGCCATTTCTAAAGAATTATAATTTCTCGAAAATTTGAACACCGAACTTTGTTCGAATGTGCTAGCAAATAGCCGGTATGCCCCGAGACCGAATTTCTAAAATTTTGCGAATTGGCAGCAGCGGTAGTGGCCACCCATGCACTATTACGCACACAATTAATTTTTGGTTTCGCCCGCCCTTTGGGCCGTTGCAGATGAAATTATTTTTTTAAGCATGCTGCCTTTCTACATTATATCGGAATTTTCTGAATTTATACCCGGAAAATGTGCCCTGGTAAGCCGACCCGTGTTGCACCGGGTAACCGGCATATGGAACAAGCAGGTTGACAGTTAACAGACATTTCTCGTTATAAGCTTGTACCAATGCGCTCCTGTTACTGGGAGAGGTCAGTTGCTCTGTGTAACCCTTGCGCGACGCGTAAGCGGCAGTCGGGTAAAAAAACATGACGTAACGGCGCGTAAGCAGGTAAACGATTTACTTGGTAAACCAGAATTCTGGGATGGGTTTTCAGCTTACCCGTACGAGTAACTCGCGCCTGCACAGATCAACAAAATTTTTGTTTGTTTGAACCAAAAGTGCATCCAGCGACCCAGATTCACACTCCAAAACTCATAATTAACTTTTTTGACGTACCACCACATTTACCACATTACAGCAATAAAAATGAGTTTTCCAGTTCCACTTCGGTGTTCAGTTTCTTTCTTGGCACGGAAGCGTACTCGACTTACGATTGGACGATTGTTTTTTGCTGAGACATGCCTAATTTTTTACGCATCTCTCCATTACCCGACGCGCAACAGTTACCCAAATGTAATTGACCTCCACCAATATTGCTAACTGCAGTGCTCAAGTCCCTGAAGGATGCGGAAGCAAACATCTCTAACAATATGACAACGATGCGCGATCCACATGCTGTAATGGTCAACAGATCTACTAAATGCTACTGCTCGTTCCCCGAAATGTCGCCTTCGATTGGAACTACAGTACGTCTCGCCTGCGCACCAGAAGCTCCGGCTGGCCAGAAATCCACTGCTTTGTTTTCTGACATTGTGTGGAAGCACCAGACGAAAACGCTTCCCGTAAATGGCTCATACACAGGATTTTTGCGTTACAAATTCGAAGTAGATGTTGTCAACGAAGAAAGCCTCTTAATCCTGCCGAACATTACATTTACTGCCATAGGAGAGTTCCAGTGTTTTCAACGTTGTCGGCGTGGCGGCTCGGATGACCTGTGTCTACGCAAGCGCTACTGGTTGCGGCCACAGCCTCGCAAAAGCGCTGACGTCTTCGCTTCCCCGCTGGTCGTCACTGTGCTGGAGCCGCATGTGGCATTTTCCACCACGTGTGCTCTTTCATTTCCTTGTAGTCAGACTTTCTCTCATTTCATATGGAGATACAGAGGTGCGATCGCCGCGGTTCCCGGAGATCATTTTACTCTGGAGATTGGCTACCTGCTGGCGTTTGCGGGCGTTAAACTTAATCTGTCAACCACCTCCTCTGGACCGAATGAACCAGGACACTGTGCTCAAACAGCAACCTTCACCGTGCTGTCGGAGGAACATCGTGCCGGGAAAGTGGAATGCTGGGCCAGGGTGGAGCAACATCCCGATTTGTGGTTTGTGCAAACCGCGGACGTCATTTTGTAGGGCGGCATAAGCTCCTCCTCCTCCATTAATCTGGTCTATGTTTAATTGACTGTTACCATTATTTATTCGTAGTATAATGTTACGTAATACAGTACTACGAATAAATAATAATAATGGTTCCATAGTCAACTAAACATGGACCATTACTTACTTTGTTCATTGACCATCGGTAATATTAGCAATTACTTTCTTCATTGGCCTACTATATTCAGCGGCGATGTCGTACTTTTTTTGCGAGGTACCGTTTTGATAGACAATATCGACGAAACTAGTTTTATAAAAGATTGTATTCGGGCAAACCTCACCGACACGGGTGATGGAGAACCTTTTCAGTGCGAGCAAAACATCAATAAACCTAACCAGTAAGAGGTTTAAACCTTTAATAAGCAAATGTTTAATCTTTCAAATGTAAGTTCGGTCATGCACCGGCACGCTGGCTGGACCGTAATGTCGTTATCATTAAATGTTAGTATTGTGCAGCAAAAAAAATATTGTGTTGCAGTTACTGCTGTACTTCTTTCGTGTTGTTCTTGGATAGTGCCAGTTCGACCTAAATCTGGGCGATAAATACAACCGCCGGTTGCAGCATTGCATTATATCTATATCAATTTTTATTGTTGTAGCATCTACATCGTATGATACTGTAAGTGGTAAGTTGTGGTGCCACTGGTAGCTCATCGTCATGTTTTGCGTTAATGTAGTACAAGGTGGTATAATCAAAACTGAGATGGTGTAGGTCGTCTCACTGTCCAGTGGCCAACCAGAAAATAAAGGTTACAGTACTAAGTTGCACCGTACAATTTGTACAACTACAGTCAAGTACTTACTATAGTGTGAGAAGGACTGGTAACCTACCGTTTGACGTCATCACTCTCGCATACACTGGAGGGCGGCTGCCATGGTGACAGATGCGCCTTTTTTACGGTTTTTGTCAGTTTTCTCAGCATATTTCTTTTCTCTTCTATTTCTGGCCCCTCATGTTTGGGTTTCTAAATTCAATATTATCTGCTAAAATATCAGAAAGCTTTAGAGGAGAAAGGAAGTAAGAATATCTTTTAAAAGGGACAAGAAAATCTGTGGACCTATGGTAAGCAATAGCACAGCAGTGCATTCTGTATGCGACAGTGATGACGTAGTTGACCGTTGCAGAGTCGGTTCCCAGTCCTTCTACCTATAGTAAGTTCTTGCTACAGCACATACCATGTGCGTTCTGTGCGTACAAGGTGGTCACGCACATTCGCGCTTGGTACTTCCGTACTGAAGAGATGATGGCGGGGTGTGTCGGCAGTTGGTGCTGCTCAACTATACGGCGTCCGATCGAAACTGCAACAAATCGCGCCTTACCATGTTCTACAGAGGGGTTGGTTTTCCATGGCCCGAATACGGACCAGGAATTTCCCGGAGTGCAGCGGATAGCCAGCTGGACATAACGATCCCCATTCTGCGCTTCCGGTCGACGGAAACGGCCGGCGGACATTGCCAACGATTTTTTAGCCGCCGTTAACAACAGCTGTCCGGCTGTTTGCCAACGTATGCAGGAGAAGGTCACGGTGGTACATGCGCGTTGGGTGCAGACGCTGGTCTACCCGGATGAATGGAGCGGCATTCGACGATTCCTGCAGCTGAAAGTAACAAACTCCAAACTGGAGCTTTGAGAATCTTAGAAAACTGGTTGGTTTAGGATTGCATTAGTTGTGTTGAAATAGGTTCAGCGGTTGTCATCCAAATCCAGCACGGTCTCGCCAATGGGATGACATGGATTTGAGGGAACTGGACGTCGCCACGACGAGCAGGCTTGCTGCATCCATTTGCAGGATGGCCATTACAAAGACTAAATCAAAAATGGTGTTTTTGCAAAGCAGATGTTCCTCGCCTCGCATATCATGTGCCGCATATGTTCGCGGTCTTGCTCCTGCTCTGTCGCATTACTGGCACTTTTTCTTTCATTGCCTTTTTTTTACTAAAACCAGATTAGGTAATGCCGCTTACTTTAGCCTCGCGGATCCTAAGACCAAGCGAAAAAACGTGCAACGTGTCGTACGCTGTTTTGGTTCTTTCGGACGCTAAAACATAGCTTTTACTTGTAAAAGATGCCCGTTATAAAGAAATTAAAAAGCGTATGATGGATGGTTGTTTTTAAAATAATTATTTGCTTTACTGGGAACAATAAAATTGCACAGAGCTCGACGCTTCTTCGTTTACAAATTACGGATGCTATGCATACATTCTAAGTATAATGTCAGAAAAAAGGTCAAGCAGTAACATAAGATGTCTCTGGAGAAAATTCTTAAGCGCAGCTTTTTGGGAGGTTATTATGCATCGCAACATAATCCAGAAACTACAAAAAAACACAAAATCTTTTTGGCTCAATGGATTTAATGGATTTACATCATTTTATTCCAGACCAGAATAACGCATTGACACTACTGTGAACGTGTTTAGCGACATGATGGCGGATGGAGCCAGTAGGTTATCATATCCTCTTTTCCTTTTATCGCTTGCAATCCTCTTGGCTGGACAACAAACTGGGGAAAGTCTTCGAGAAGTAGATGGCTGTGCGGACTTAAATGAATGTATCCTGGCAAGCCGTGACTGCACATTCTGGACGCCATGTTGACGGTATCCCCGAATCTGTTACAAACACGATGCTCAAAAAATATTGTATTTTCTTTGTAATATGCTTTGTGCGGCACTAGTTCATAGTTATCAGTGTACAGAGTATCTCCAAAGACACAACAACACTAGTCCAAAAATTAATTCCTCAATATGAATGCTAAATAAGGAACAAACGTTATCACATAATAATCACAGTGATATCAGCGATATTGTTACGCTTCGATCATGATGTGCGTACTTTCATATCTGTAGTATAGTTTACATACAGACAGTAACGTGGCCGTTTTGACCCCATGAGTCCAGCGGCACATGAACCTGAAATAAAAGTTGCCGTCGATGCAAAACTGACCCTTACGGCCAAGTCCAAAAATTGCCATGTGTACCGGAATGTATGCCAATCTTCAATTGCAAGTTCAGCAGAAAGGTCAGCTGGGACCGTGCCTCCATCAGTCGTATCGCAAATCCCGCGATTCTTTCGACATGATTCTTCCCGATTCGCTCGGGTAGGCCACTAGCTACCTGCGCACAAATACAGTATGTCCACATTTATGCATAAATCGGTCTGTGCAAGTGGCGCATACCATAAACGAATCCATAATTGCCTCCACTTTGTAAACATCGCACTCCGTTGACAGTTTATCGATGAAAGTTTCCGTGGCTGAGATTAAATAAATCGTCATCTCGGGCGAACCACTTTTGATAAAGTCAGCGAACCCATATAAATCAGTGAACAGGATTGTCACACATTCAAAAATTTCGGGTAAAACTTTTTCGCCGGTTCGGAGTTGCTTTGCCACAGACCTGCATGGAAAAACCACAACAATAGTTAAAAAAGGCGGATTTTTCATCAAGATTCAAGAATAAGAAACCGTTTGAGACTCTTAGCTAATTATAATACATCGGCAGAAACTGGGCAATGAGAGCATCGCATTTCTCCATTTCCTCCTTCAGTTCGGCGGTTCTAGCTGCCACCTGCCCTTCTAACTCGGCTCCATAACGCTCTAGTCTGCTGCAAATTTTTTCGAAAAGCGCAACCTTCTTCTTATCTGGAGCCAACAGAGGACTAATTTGTGCCAGTTCACGTCGAAGTCTCTCGACATCCGGTCGCTGAACCGGATCCGAGATAAGGCACAATTGAAGTATGTCGGGACTGTCTAAACAAAGGTCGACAACCCTTGGGAGCCCATGATTTTCTGCAAATTTGTGCTGTATTGTAAATTTGTTACTACTAAAGTATCCAGGAAACTGCATCTGGACTCACCTTGATAGCTGTTTTTCTTACCTTCAGCAGCGATAATTATTTTGGTGAAGACACTCCCCGTAGTCAGTATGTCGTGTATGATTAAACCAGATGAATATATATCCACCCTTTGTAGCGACTTGTAGTCAGCGGTGTTTGTTACCTCGGGTGTCGACCAGTAGGCAGATTCCCAGTCATTATTCTGACATAAATTCGTGGTCAGATCGTGGCAGGTGTGCAACAGGCTTTGCCGAACTCTTTCGGATCCCAAATGCGCTAGTTTTAAAGTGAAATGCCTGTCCACCCAACAGGTCAGAATGCTGATTCGCCCATGGTATTGCAGCGACGAAGAATGAATATAACGAACTGCCTGCAAATGGGAGGGATGGATTCAACATCGCTCGAACAGAGCTACTAGCCTACTACTTCGTACTTTAATGTAGTCGAGCACAAGTGAGCTTCTCATGGTCGGATCCCTGCTAACATAGCTATCGAACACGTCCGGCAAAGCTCCTCGCGAAGGGCATTCCATCACGGCGGAGATGTAGTGAATGCCACTTGAGGACTTTGTTATGGCAAGTCCCAAGAACTGGCAAACGTTAATGCTTTCCATTCTGTTGAGCTGTTCATAAAAAACCTAATTGGGGTATCAACACAGCGGCTATATCGTAAGAAGTCACAACACCTTGCGTAGTAAAAGGAGGAGCTCTTTGTTAGCAGCGATGTTGGCAAAGGTGATGGGACTGTTTCTACTGGCTACTTTCCAACACATCACCGACTTGTTCTTGTAAAATCCAAAAATAACGGCATTGCAAAGGTTCTAAGAAACCAACGACCTATGGGGTAAATGTTGTTAACCTTAATCTAAGCAGTTTTGACTTGCGCGTGATAAGGCTGCTGCGCCATATAGCACATTCGATTCGGATCCGTAGTCATTGAAACGGGACTTTTTTCCTTTCGCGAGTATCAGCGAGCGACGGCGATGTAATGTGTCCTGCAGGTGCACTTGCCACCACGGGTCACGGAGTAACCGGTTATCAGCTTGATACTTCACGCGGCTAAACCGAAAGTTTTATGACCTGAGGCAATTGGAAAGTTAATATTTTCTTCTTCCTAGGAGTCACCATCAACATAAACAGTTGTTCAGATGATCATAAATTTACTTCCTTTAGCACTTTTGATACTGTATGGAGATGGAATCGAGCCTCCGACTAATAACAAATTCGTTTCTTTCTTGGTATGAATTTTCAGTTGGTACTAATTCGATATAAGCATTCGAATGCTATCGAGTTCCTATCGAATTTTTCAGGCATTGCTGGTGAACAGGGGCGGATTATGGTATTTTTTGAGACCGGCAACGGCAATTTCTTTTTAACTATTCATCGGATTTTTTTTCTGAATACAGATTCGGAATCTGTTCGATTTTATCTATATTTTGGTGTAAGGATTTGCCGAGAAGTGCTTCGAACATTTTGCCCGGGGGAAAATTTACGTTTATGCCTTACAGAACGCTGATAAACCAGTAAATTTCCACCCGATACAGCTGTATATTAATCTGCACGCCCCCAATTTTGCTTCTTTTGTTATGACTCCCTTATCTAAGCCCTCATAAGCAAAAAGGTTTATGAAAGGTGCTAATTGGTGATATAAACCAAAATGGGTCTTCGAGTTCGAGGTCGCTGGCTCCC